CCCTCAAACCTTCACATCCCCCCCAAACCCCACAGGCCTCCTCCCCGGCTTCTCGGGAAAATGCGGCACAATAGCCAACGCCTTATACAGCCTCCCCATCCCATTCGGTCCCCTATCAACCAACCTCTCCGCGCCCTTCTCAATCCTCTCCCTAAACAGCTTCTTCCGCTCCCCCTCCTCCTTATCCCCCACCTCCCCCTCCCCATCCTTCCCCCCCGCCTTCGCCTCCTTCCCCACCACCTTCCTCACCAACATCCCCGCCCTCTCCCTCACGCCCATCGCCTCGAGAAACCCCGCCTGCTCCACCGGCCCGTGCACCTCCACGCCGGGGCTCGCCGCGATCGCCGCCTCGGCCAGCGCCGTGAAATCCACGTCGGCGCTGACGTCGACGAGGCCGGGCAGGGCGAGCGGCGACACGGGCCGGTGGTGGCGGATGCCGCGGAGGGAGTTGGTGGGGACCGAGTCGGGCGGGCCGTAGTCGAGGATGAGGGCGGCGCCGGAGGGGTGGGGTTTGGTGGATTGTTGTTGTTGTTGCTGTTCTTCGTTTGCGTCTGATGCGGATCCGAAGGCTTTTTTTTGGGGCGAGGAAGCGGCGGCGCCGCCGATGCGTTGGGCGAGGTCGGCGGCGTGGGAGAGGGATTCGGGCGAGATTTCGATGACGGAGCCGGGGGTGCGGAGGAGGGCGGCGTAGCGGGGCGAGGTGTGGGGGAGGTACATGCTGTGCGGGGTGGGGCTTTTGCTCTTTGTGAGCTGGAAGTCGGGGACGGGGGTGGCGGCGCGGAGGGAGAGCGGGGTGTTGAGGGAGGCGTGGGTGGAGCGGGGCGGGACGGGGGAGACGACGAGTTCGCGCCATTCGTTGGTTTTCTGTTGGCGTTGGTGCTGTTGGCGGGCGGCGACGGCGGCGGCGACGGCGGCAGGGTTGGTGAGGTCGGCGGGGGCGGCGGGTTCGGGGGTGGTGGGGGTGTCGGTGGGTGGGGGTGGTGCGACGCTTTCGAAGATGTGGATGGGGAGGGCGTCGAAGAATTCGTGGGCGACGATGAAGGGGGTTTTGGTGATGTCTAGGGCGGGTAAGCATGTGGGTGTGCTCTCGGTGGGGAGAGAAGGGATTGGTATACCCTTGGGGATGAGACGGATGTCCTCAGACCAGACTATTTTCAAGTTGTTGTACTTGCTGATGCTTTCGTGGCCGATGTCGTTTTCCTTCAGCGGAGCATCGGCGCAGAGCAGCTTGTGCTGGGCAGCGCGCAGGGTCGGGCTGGCCTCGATGAGATAGACCGTCTCGATGGCGGAGGACATTGACTTGAAATTCCGGATGGCCTGTACGCCATCAGCTTCGGATGTCACGGATTGCGCAGCAATTGGGCAATACCCGCAGCATGTCGTCCATCAGCGTGCCCCTTCCCGGGCCAAGCTCAATCAGCTGCACGCCCGAGCTCTTTCTGCCCTGAAGCATCCATTCGGCGACGAACCACAGCCCAACAAGCTCTCCGAATATCTGCGAGATCTCGGGCGAGGTGATGAAGTCTCCCTTCTGGCCGAATTGGTCGCCGCCTTCGGGTCGCGACGTGTAGTAACCGCTGTCGGGCGCCGTGAGGACCTGTCGCATGTACGCTGCCACGGGGACTGGACCGGTCGTCTGGCGGTGGTCAGATGTCTCGCGCGATACTGCACGACGGGGATTGAGGCACGGTGCTTACTGTAATAGCTTCGGTCAAGGTCTTCGCCAGCGGCGTCGACCACTGGCGGCCTTCATTCGGCGAGCTGGTAGACGACCATCTTGGGCCGAGACAAGTCGTTCGCGGTGCGCGCAGCTGGCCGGATCCAGCGCGATTCAGGAGACGGGACGGCAGCCTCGTAGGTATGCGCATGGTTGCGGGGAGGCGGCGGGCGGGGAGCTTTGACGGCGCATGGCGGCCGAGGTCGCGGTGGGTTGGAGCTTGGGAAAGTTTCCCGCGGCGCCGCACGAGCTCCGCAACACCTCCGTCAACGACATCGTCATCGACCCCGCCACCCACACACGCTCGTTCCCACCCGGTCAATTCGCCATGGCTGGCCCGTCGCGATGGGCCGATGGGGAGGAGGACGCCGAGATCGAGGCCCAGCGCAAGCGCGAGAAGGAGGAAAAGAAACGCCAAAAGGCCGAGAAGCAGCGCAAGCTCGAGGAGCAGGCCCGCCTGGCCGAGGAACGCCGCAAACAACAGCAGGAAACTCCAGCCGCCGACCAGGACCGTCCCGCCAAGAGGCAGAAGGTGGCTTCGCAGGGCGACGAAGATGGCCCGAGACGGCTGTTGCGCTTCGCCGCGCCCAGCTGGGGACCTTGCCGCCGCGTGGACAATTTCGAGAGGCTGAACCACATCGAGGAGGGCTCCTACGGATGGGTGTCGCGCGCCCGCGAAACCGCCACCGGCGAGGTTGTTGCCCTCAAGAAGCTGAAGATGGACAACCAGAACGACGGCTTCCCCGTCACCGCCCTGCGCGAGATCCAGACGCTGAACGAGTCCCGCAAACACCGCCACATCGTCGATCTGCGCGAGGTTGTTGTCGGAGACACGCTCAACGACGTCTTCTTGGTCATGGATTTCCTAGAGCACGATCTCAAGACCCTCCAGGAGGACATGGCCGAGCCTTTCCTGCCGTCCGAAGTCAAGACACTGATGCTGCAGCTGACCTCCGCTGTTGGCTTCCTCCACGACCACTGGATACTGCATGTATGCATCTCCCAACCCCCATTCTCACGACCTTGCTAACTCACTCCAAGCGAGACCTGAAAACCTCCAACATCCTCATGAACAACCGCGGCGAGATCAAAATCGCAGACTTCGGCATGGCCCGCTTCGTCGGCGACCCGCCTCCCCCAGACCTAACCCAACTCGTCGTCACCCTCTGGTACCGCGCCCCCGAACTCCTCCTCGGCGCCAAAGAGTACGACAGCGCAATCGACATGTGGAGCCTCGGCTGCATCTTCGGGGAGCTGCTAACCAAGGAGCCGCTGCTGCAAGGCACAAACGAGGTCGACGAGCTATACAAGGCACGTTCCTTCCTCCCCCATCCAACCTTCTTTGCCGCCACCCCTCACTAACCCACACCACCCCCACAGATCTTCAAGCTCTGCGGCCTCCCCACCCCCCACTCCTGGCCCTCCTTCCGCCGCCTCCCCAACACCTCCTCCCTCCGCCTCCCGCCCAACCCAGACCCGCACTCCACCACCTCCCTCCTCCGCGCGCAGTTCCCGTTCCTCACATCCGCCGGCGTCGACCTCCTCTCCTCCCTCCTCGCCCTCAACCCCGCCTCCCGCCCCGCCGCCGCCGCCGTCCTCGCACACCCGTATTTCGCCGAGAACCCACGCCCGAAGGCGACGGAGATGTTTCCGACGTTTCCGAGCAAGGCGGGCCAGGAGAGGGGGAGGAGGAGGAGGGCGAGCCCGAGGGCGCCGGGGAGGGGCGACAAGGCTGCGTTGGGGGAGGCGGGGGAGGCGGGGGTGGTGGATTTTAGTGGGATTTTTGCGGGGGGCGCGGGGAGGGAGGAGGGCGGGAAGGGGTTTAGTTTGAAGTTGGTGTAGGGGGAGGAGGGGGAGTGTGTGGGACGGATGGGTCGGATGGGTGGATGAGGTGAGGGCATGATGCTGGACCTGGATTGGTGGATTGGTGGGCTTGTGGGTTGGGGGGTTGTAAGACTTTCGCGAGAGGAGGGGAGGTTATTTGTGGGTTCATTTTGAAGAAGAGGAAAAGGGGGAGAGAAAAAAAAAAAGAGGGAATACCTAGGGACGGAAGAAGGTTGGGAAATGCGCAACTAACGAGCGCCGAGGATCGGCGTGAATATGATACCTCCGATAGCGAAAGCATGGATGAAGATAGCGATCTATTCTCGAGCCGGATCTATTCCTCCTTGTGAATCTGATAAGGTACCTGAGCCGCACAGACCGAAGCCGGACCGAGGCTGCATACCGCAGTATAAAATGTCCAGCCTTGTCCTGAAGCACTGAAGCACTCAAGACGGAATAGGAGCTCGGAACACCTTCTGCAAGCACTACTGTCTGTCTTTCGGTGGTTTGTCTCTTCGCATACATCTAGAGTGACTCGGACGTTGGCGCCAGCCTCGTGATTTTACGGCCTGGTTCTCCGCGCTGTCCCTCTGTCTGGTGATTGCTGATTTAGTTCACGTACCAGAGGGTCGGGGCGGCCAGCTGATAGATGCGCCGGCCTCATGCTGATTTACAGCTACGTCCTTCATTCTGGCTTAGAACTATGCCAGCAGTGAAGTTCCCTGCTTCGAAAATTCACCTCACAACGGCGGAGAAGGCACATGCCACTGTGCCGCGTTTCGACGGCTGTGTTTATTGTTTACAGGAGCCAGGATGAAATATTCATCGCACGCTCAACTATATCCATCACCGCGCACGCCTCATGATGAACAGCGGCATTTTGACTTTTCGTAGCAGCGCAGAAAGTACGCAAATCAGGCGTTTTGGCGTAAGCGCGAGTGAAGAAGCACTGGAGTTTGACTCAAAGCCAGATAACGAGACCACAGTTCTGCGCAATTTGTCTCAAGGTGAAGTCCTTGTGAAATCCCCGCGCCGTGCATCTCACCATTCCGCGGTAAGGATACGAGCATTTTATGCAGAAGACAGGAGAGTATCTTCACCGTGGCCCTCCGCGCTCTCCCGTCGTCTGGTGACCGCCCCTCACGCTTGTCTGCGTGCAAAGCGACTGTGAGCCAGCCGATTAGCGCACCACCCGCAATATAAAGACGCTCCTCAGCCTAACATCAGGCTTCACCGTTGCGGAAATACTTAACTTCGTTTACTCTCTACATGCGAACTGTCCTCTGGGAGTGCTGTCTGCGAGACTTCCAACTTTCTGGGGGCCGGATTGCAGCACGCACCACGCGCATGGATCCCAATCATCACTTACACCTCATGACGATGAGCAGCAGCATTGTAACCTTTGGGGGCAGCGCAAGGATTCAGCACGTCCACGATGTTCCACCGTAGACATTGATGGAATAGCGAAGGAGTCATGGCAGCGTCACACGCCCGAAGTCAGTCATGGCGCATAGCTTTGCCGCGGAGACGGCAAGGAAGTACACCGTATGTGTCCTTGTTGAAGCTTGTCTGTTGCTTGCGTTCCCGCCGCCCATCAAGCAAGGTGAGGGACAGTGCGTGGCTTCTGGCTGGCATCTGGAGCGCTATATAAACCGATTCCCAAGCCTGCGTTGTCTGCGTAGTCGCAGCATGCAGGTGGCAAAGGATCCTATCCAAACCACCTGCTGTGGATCAGGAGCGGTTCCGAAGCGGTCCCGTGCATCTTCCAAAGCATGGACCGCAGCACGTGGAACCCACGACCGTGGTATGTGAGCAGCCCATGAGTACTGCGGGGAGGCGATGCTTCGTTCTCACTTTGGTTTCGTTGTATCGGACACAACCTAGAGCATGACAGACAGCCACTCTATTATTTAGAGCAGCCTTTAATTTGACTCGGCCGAGCAAAGCCCCGCACTTCCTCTGAGCTCCAGCATGTCCTGTCCCGCGAAGGTCGCTTCCACTATGTTATCATGGTGAGCTTCAACACTTTCAATCATTGGTAGTGAAAATCGTCGTTCATCAGTGTCGAGGTGCGCAGCCGAGTGGAAAGCAACACAAGGTCCCGGAGTTGCTTGCTATAGGCGCAGAAACGGCCGGCAAGTGCGCTCCATGATTGAATTTATTCGTGCTATGAGAGTAGAACACTTGAGTCGATGTGGGTAGAGAAAAGGAAAATGGCGAAGCAGAGTCGGGATTTATGATGGAAGCTTCCGGCGGGCGACAACGGGATCACGGTGTTAGGCTCGTGCCATGATGGCATTGGCAAAATTGTGCTACCGGTATAAAGGCTCCCTCGCAGTGGGATTTTTCATACTACACGGAACTCTTGCGACCTAAAACCTCTTTGATGGTCTTACATGCTGCTCGTTGTAGCGTTCACTGTGGTCTTTGGTGGCTTTGTGGCTTAGGCTCTGTAGTATGTACGTATGCGCATTACGTCGGGCATATTGGGCTGACTGGCTGGGTGGCTGCCACAAACAATGATGGAGCGCGCCATTTGATTCTGAAGCTGACTTGCATCCAACTAGATCCTTGGTTCACCATCAACAGTGGAATCAATATAGCAAGATTTGCCGTGCAAGTAGCGTTCGATGTTTAGGCTGAGTTTCAGTAGCTTCAGTAGGGAGAGATTTCCAATAATACCCGGTCAGTCTGTTGACTTGGGATAAAGATGATCCTGCAGACCCTTGACACTGAAAACCGCATATGTATTTAGCGTGGAGCGCATCTGTGGGGCCGCTTTGCTGAATTAGTAAGAGAAAGCGCGTCAGCCCCAACAGACTCGGCCTTGTCCTCGATGCATCCGACATCTCATCCATCCGACGCCCTTCTACAAGCCTGATTGCCGAGTATGACTACTTCTCAGACAAAGGGCACATCTCTTTCCTCGCCGACAAAATCCATCGTCTTCCGCGTGCGAGGACTGACGGCGGTCGACGGCGGAGATGGTCTACAGCCAGGCTCAGCCTTGTCGTCGGCGATCAAGTCACGCCTCATCAGCGATGAGGTATCTCAAATCCAGACCTCGGTCGCCATCATCTCCTCGTGTTATGACGCAGGAAAGAAAGTTGGCCTGGTCGCTTTCCGCGGAGCGGTACCGTCGTTTCTCTCCACAGTATTCAAGAACCCACTTCAGGAAATTCAAATCGAAGTGGGCGAGGATGACGTTACCTTTGACTGCAACTTCTTTGGTTTCACCCAGCTCTACAACGTCAAGGCACCAGTTCTTGCAGAGTAAGCAAACTGTTTCTCTCATCACCTGCTTTGAATCTGCTCCGACTGAAGTCAAATAGTGTCATCGCCATAACCGGGCTGGATGGCCATGCATACGGCTCATGGAGAGGAAAGGGAGATCTGTCGAGAATGTGGCTCCGCGACTTTTTGTCCCAAGATCTTCCTCAATGCCGTGTTTTGACCTACGGGTACAATTCAAAATTGACCGGCAAGAGCCGGGGGCTCGAAAGGATCCTTGACTATGGCAGAGGCTTTCTCGAAGAGATTAAACAAGTTCGCACCACGGACGAGGTGAGCACTCTTTCGGTCCGGATAAGCTAAACAAAAGTCCTCATGTGCGTATAGGAAATGCGGCGACCTTTGTTTTTCATCGCTCACAGTTTTGGAGGACTCATCCTTGCCCATGTAAGAAGCATCATCTGTACCCGATCCAGTTACTGATGCATATTAGAGTCTCGTGAAAGCCGTCCTCTCCGCAGACAGTGCCAAAGAGCTTGTCTACCATGCTACTTACGCCATCCTATTCTTTGGAACTCCCCACCGGGGTCTGTCCGTTGATGACATCCGTGGGCTTCTGTCGGATCATGATCATCCAAGACACGGGTTGCTAGATCAAATCAAGCATAACTCAGATGCTGTGATTGATCAACTAGGCGACTTCAAGAATATCATCCAGGATAGGAAGATTGTCAGCTTCTATGAAGCGGAGCAAACCCCACAATTGACAAATGTGAGTTTTTGGAATTCACACAAATTGAACCTTGCTCAATACAGCGCAGGACAATGCAGCTGGAAGATGGCAGCGTACGGGTAGTTTCGCTACGGCCGTTGGGCCAGACTCGGCACTTCTTAATTTGCCAGACCACATGGAAGAGAAGATCCCGCTGTCTTCTGATCATTCGATGATGGTCAAGTTTGATTCAAAAGACAACAAAGGCTACCAGATTGCCATCAGTCGCCTTCGCAAATTCGCGGAAGAGGCTAGCTCCACAGTCGCTACAAGATTGAGCTTACATACGCTACCTGAACAACGAGGCCATAAGGGAGCGAGAGAGACTCCAAACGATTCCGTCACGTTGGCGGATGATACAGTGGCCTCGAAGCCACCAAGCTGCTGCCGTGATCGGCCGGAAGCCAGCTTCTCCCAGAATGATCTTGAGTCCCTGGCCTCCACTGCGTACGAGCTCTTCACTTCACTAAAAGTGAGGGCTTCAAGCACAGATGGCACACTGAAAGATGTTGAACAGCCTCTTTACAGCTTCAGGTGTGCTCTCATTCACCTCACAAGCAACTTGGATCTTGTTCTATCAGGCCCCGAGCCTGCAGAAAAGCTTCATGCTATGGCAATGAAATTCGCGAGGACACTAAAGGCACTGCATAAATTTGTCGATCATGAATCGGAGGACATCGACATCAATGCTATGAGAAACGACTTGAAGAGCCATTCCGCATATGCGCAGAAGCTGCTGGACACTGTACTTACGTAAGTTTCCGCCGCACCTGTGCACCTAGTCTCACACTCCTAGTCACACAGTAATGCACGCTAAGATTAGGTTCAGCAGGGACTTGGAAAAGACCAGTACACCAAAAAGCGGCCTTAGCCCGTCTGGTGATGGGGCCAACGATGCTTCTCTGAATATACACGGTTCAACAGTGGTAAAAAGACATGCTCCAATGCTTTTCCACAGTTCCCTTCACACACGTCCAGAGAGAGGGCCAAAATCCATGATGGCTTTGGAAATGCCTGGCAGAAACCTTGGGTCGTCTTTCATGGCAATGCCTAGCATGGGTCCCACGGTTTCGCCTCCGCCCTCGGCGATGAAACAAGTGGCAAACGATGCTGCGGTCTTCACAATCAGCACTAAAGAAGTGCCTGAAGCGAAAGCGAAAGAGCCACCAAAGGATTTGATTGACATTAACGTCCGACGAAGGATTGCTTCTGCTAGTATGCAGGACAAGCTTTCGCAGAAAATGCCGTATCTGTCAGGCGGACAATTTTTTGACTATCTTCCAGAAGTGCAAGCTGGAAGAAATCGAGATCCTGACCCTGCCACACCTATGGAATGGACAAGACGACTGTCCGCCGTGCTGCCAACGCAGCTAAGCGATAAACGCCAACGTTCAAGAGAGTTTTCCGACCGGTTGTGCAGACTCAATGTTCACATGTCGGAGTTGCCCAAGCGCGATCGTGTAAACTTCAGGAGACGTTTGGAGGAGGATGGGCAGTTCTTGAGAGCTATTGAACAGGCACGCAGCGAATTTGGCGAGTATGCTCTTGTCAGGAAGGAAATCCAAGTGTACGAAGATGACAAGGAGGATGATGCGTAGTGTTCCTCAATGAGCCAGGGAAATCCAATTTGTTGACCAACTCATTCAAACATCTCCATCCTGACGCCCCTATCACACAAGTTCAAGAGATATGCTGGCCACGACGACATCACATCCTCATTTTCGTGCACTCTCTGAAGCTTGCACGACCATCTTTCACCTCGAGCATAACAACAGGAACGTTTGCCTTGTACGTCTCTTCCCCGGGAAGGTTCATAGGCGCAGAAAATCCTGCCACATGTTTTATCGTATTACCGCAGATCGGGCATCCTTCGGTCTTGTTGATAGCCGTGATGCATTCGCTACAGAATCTGTGGTCACAAGGGCGTATGCTACACCGATAAATTAGCGTTCATATAGAACGGGGGTGACAATGACTTACACGCAATCGCACAACCTCTTCTGACAGGTCTTGCACTTCGTCGGCTTGGACGGGTCGACTTCTTCGCTTTGGTCTTCGGAAACGCCAGCCTCTTTATCAAGAGCGCTCACGCTCTTGACCGCGCTCACGCTCTTGACCGCGCTCAATGTCTCCGATGGCCCAATTCTGTTCTCTGGTTCCTCGTCGACGATCCAGAATGGATAGCCCGCGTCAGCGTACGTTTTGGCAGTAACTGGTGTGGAGGGCGGCACTATATGAGTTGCTGCCTCGAATGTCGCTGCGTCGAATATCTGGACGTTGATGAGCCGAGTACGGGTCTTTTGCCACTGTGGACCAGGGATGGCATCCGTGTAGATGTCCTGCATGAGTTTCCCTCCTACTGCGACGCCCATGTTTTGTAGTGTGTTGACCGCCGAAGTTTTTCCTTTGTCAGAGTACGTTTTGTTGGTGTTTGTACTCGCAGACATCGGCCGCTGGGAAGGGAAATTCTGAGGAACGAACATCGGGTCATGCCATGTAGAAGTAGAGGCCGGATTGTGAGGTATTGCACGGAATGGATCCGAACACATCTGTGCATGATCACATACTAGGGGAGAGTAAGATCGTTCAGATGGGGACTGCCCCGAAGAGGATTGAAGGTAGCAAGCCTTCGATAGTAGTCAGCTACTGTACCACAACACAGTCCAATCGATTGTCATACCCCTAGCACGAAGCTCTGATCAAAGTTCTCGCCTTGGTGGTCATCAATAAAATCGACAACCTTTGGCTTCCGGCTATGATGATCCCATCTCATCGAGATCTTTGATCCTGTAGGGATATTCTCGTCCTGTGGGCTCTTGAGGATGTCAAGCTGGCCGAATCCAGATAGGAAAAACTGAGTGTCCTTATAGATGTCGTTGGAGATCCGTGGAGTGATCTCAATCTGGAGGCCGCCGATCTTTTCTTCACCTGTGACCTGGCCCTCCACTGTGTAGCCTCTGCCCACTACATATATTGTCGTAGTTAGCAACATGGGACTGCTTTTGAACACAAAGGAATACATACGTGGCATGGCTACAAACTGACGGACAACTCCAGGTTCAACAAGAATACCGTCAACCCAGTTTTGGCCGGGTACGAGGACGTAGTCTTGCTTCTCCGAAGGGTCCCGAATGGAACGCCCGGTGACGGCGTTGATCTCACCAAGATTGATCCTGACTGCGTATTGGGTCGCGCCGCTACTGCCTAGGTGTTCAAAGGCCTCAAGTTCGATCCACATGGCCTCCCGTTGCCACATCGGAAAGAAGATGCCCCCCTTGGAAGCAACGTCTTGAGGGAGGATGTGGCTGAATGCGTTGACGTTAAAAAGGGGGAATGTTCCAGTAGATGCGGGAAGCGGGTGAATTCTGTTGTCATCCGGAAGCCGGCTTACATACTTTGTCAACTCGGTACCGCTCCTTTACTTTTTTGAGGGCTTACATTGTTCGGTGGAACCGAATCTCAAGATTGTCGTCCACAAAGAGTGTTTTCGAAGCTGCCGTACCTGATGCACTGAGCTTTGCGGACATCGGGCCCTTCGGAGCCTTGAGATCAAGGAAGGCTGAAACAGTATCTCGGACGTTGATTTTCCCTTCAAAAAAAGTCTGAAGGCCCATCGACCACTTCAATAAGCCTTTGCTGCTGGGGCGCATTGACCGTCTCGTTGACCCAGTATAACCTTTGCGGGTTGGAGATCAACGCGAGCCCATCGGGCTTCACAATTTCTGCAACTTTTAGCTCGTACCAATGAGGTAAATGCACTGAGGGATGTACCTGGATGGTCCTCAAACAGTTGACAGAGATCCGTCTGTGGGCTGACATCTATCGAGATGGCCTTTCTCTGAACCCCACCGTCGTCATAGCCTGCTTTTACCGCGAGGTCCTGGATTTCAAGCTTCATGGTCCTGGTTCCCTTTTTGAGGGTGCCATACGAAGCCTGAATGGTGAATGGCAGTGTCAAGAGTATGAGATCGGAAACTTTCAACATATAAGGCACAAGGCTGGCTAGGCAACCATTGTTACACAAGCGTTTATCCTATGCCGGGATGTACGTGTCAGTCCCGGCAAGGCTGGAGAGCGCAAGGCTGAGCTTAGTCTTTTCGAAGAAGCGAATTCGCACAAGCCAATCAGAGCGAAGAGTCAGCCGCGTATCCGATGATCACAGCCACGAACTTAACAAGGAATGTCACATAGATGAAATGTCGGCATAATAGGTGCTGATGTATATGAGATTTTGCAAAAGTAGCGATTGCAGCTGTGGAGTCACTGTGAAGTGTGAGAAATGAAAAAGCAGAATGCCACCCCTGTTATTCCATGCACTAATCCCGGTTCCCTGAGTTTTCCCTATGATAGAGCTTCAGTGCGGGGTGAATTTTCGGGTCCGCCCACACAGAACCGTTGAGTCTCCCATGTTGAAGCCCATCGAAGCGCCTGGTAGCTCAGTAGAAAGTAGGATCGTACGTGGTACCTGTCCTTGACGTGCTCTGTCACAAGCATCGCACGGATGCGGTTGCCCGTGGTCACTGCCGGTATGCCGCTGTAAAAGCCTAGCATGACTGCAAAAGACTGAGGCTCATGGGGCGGTGGAGTGGTCAAGGAATTGCAGCTATCCTGAGCCGTCAGATTAGAGATGACGATCCATGTAGATCCATCCACTGCCTTGAGCCAAGTGGGGTGAACCTCGTCATCGTAGGGAGAATCGGCGGACAAAGCTGCTGCTGTAAAGGTACCAACAACCCTGACTGCCATTGCCTCAAACGTGTGGTAGCCCATCTCATCCATTGAACCAGCGGGGAGCGGGAAGACTCCAATGTCATTGGGATAGACGGCTTCTGTAAGTGTTACGGGCGCTTGACCACCACCAGGAAGATCGTATGTGGGCCTTCCGGCGACAAGGGTCCGTGGAAACACTGGGTAGGTGGAAAGATATGGGCATGGGGGCAAGGACACCGAGAGACCGAGCCAGCTGGCGTTGCGGCCTTGCCGAAGGATCTCCCGAGCAAGCGCAATAGTAGCTCCCAGCCGGTCGTCTGCAGCAAAGTCCGACGGATCAAGCATGACTCCAAGTATACCCATGATGCTGAAGACCATGTCGACTGGGCGCGATGACGTGCGCACAAGCGCGCACTGCCAGATACAGGCGTCGCGCATGTCATCTGTATCCATGTAATTCGACGATGCGAATTCGAGGGCTGCTACATTTGGCAGCAGAATAGGATTGACGGCACTCAGTGTCTGTCCTTGGGGCTTGTCAGTCGATGGCCTGCCGAACAGTGCAGCTTCGATCAGTAGATGCGGTTCTGCCTCTTTAGGAGCATCGGGTGTAAATTCGAAGCATCCAGCGTTGCAACACCCAAGGACATCTACCAAAGGCATCATGGCAGACTTTCCAGGGGTGACTACCTCAACTCTGCCGTGCATTGCTTCACCGGCAATCTTCAAATGGATCTCGCCAGCACCATGTGTCCAAGCAAAGAGGACAGCAACCGATGGAGGGGCTACAACCTCCTGTAGCGTCCATCCCCGGTGGATCCAGTGTGTTTCTTCCTTGAAAGGTGCGAGGAACCGCAGTCCGCTGGGGACAACGATACATACAGCGGCGAAGGTATACATCCTGTACATCTCGCGAATCTGCCACCGCTTGTCTTGCTTACTCGTCTGCATGATACATAGCCGGTCCAGCCACAAGTACGGGGCATCACAGGCTAATGATGCTGTGCATGCATCAATGAGAACGTCCAAGCCGATGGGATCTGCATCTTCAGCGCCCGAGACAGAAAATTCATGCGTACTCGGCGCGCTGTTGTTGGTGGGTTGATTTCCTCGCCATACGTAGGAGAGCGCTGCATATTGAACGGACGGAAACTCGGTAAACTCGACGATTCGTAGGCTTTGCTTGGATATAACATCTGCGCAACTCAAAAGGCGGTATCTCTCAGGGGTGGCTCTTGACATGATGTCAACAGGCTCGTCGCTGATCCGTGAGAGCTCATCGAAGGGAATGTTGCAAATCTCTTTGAGCACCGACTCCTAATCGTAGACCAGTCAATCTTCTCAGCACCAGGCAAACACTGTTATGCGACATACTGGTGCACTTGTATTGCCATTTCCCGCATCATCACCCAAGAGTAGACTTTGTATGGCCTTCGTTTGCCCGGAGATCTCTTTGGGAAAGCCCGGCAAGTAGGCTCCTATGCGTAAATGTGCTTTCCGTCGCGCTTGTGGATCCGGAGAGAGGCTCATCATAGGCATGTTGTGATGAGAAGAGAGACGCAGGACAATTGCCGAGGGTCCAAATTTCGCTGATGGCGGCATCGGCTTCGGCCCGGGGCTACCCTTTGCTTTTCCCAGGGCTGCCATGATTCAGAAGACAGAGCTCGTGATAAGACGTCTACGATTTGATTCGCGGGCGGCTATCTGTATTGTTCTGCCCCACACATAATACACCACCCCGTACTCGCCGCTTTGCCTTTTCGCGTCCTCGCCACTTTTACAATATTGTAAGAGAGGCAACTTGATCACAACGGCCGCTTCAGTCGGATGTCGTGGACTCAAAGATCAACTAGTCGGTACGCAATATGGCACCGGCAAGGAACCACCATGCACGGGTTTCGGGTTCCCACCATTTTTGACGCTTGGTGGGGCTATCAGTCACTCAGGCTGGTTCGGTTCTGTTAGCGACGCATGCAAATGTTCCGATGAACTCTAAGAGGGTCCCGTCATTCTCTATCCTATCTTCTCCATGCTTAGTATGGATCAAGTACGAATATCAAGCGTGGAAATTGCTTCGGATAAGCTTGAGGAGCTGATAGCAAATCTACAAGTGTATGTATACAATGAAGCCATGTGTTGTGGGTATCGGAGAAGCGAAAAAGAAAACCGGTTATGAGGCGAGTTTAAAGTAACAAAAACTTTTGATATCCTTACGTCATTCCTGAGGTTATGCCAACGTTGTACATAGTGCCATGCGAAGTTCTGTGCCTCTGATGCAGCTGCTGTGTTTCCTCCACTCTGATGTGAGACGGCTCCTGCACGTCCGTTTGTGAGGCATGATGCGAAATCCCCTCGTTCTCATCTTGTAGGAGCTCGACGGAACTCGTATCAACCAGATCCTTCTCCAGATCAGGGTCTGTAACAAACCACCGACTCCGAGGCACGCCTCTTGACAAGCCGCTGCTGGTCTTTCGGTTCAAGCGGTCTCGGTCGTAGTGGTCTCTGTGACCAGCCCACCACTCAATCTCACCATTGTCTTTGCGCAACCTGCCCGGGAAATATTCCTTGATCAAGGGCTCCACAATGGCTTCTCTCTCAACCTCTCCGAACAGCGGGTCTCTTTCCAGGGTGACTTCCAGATCCATCAAGGCATCCATGACCTTGTTGCCCAAGATCTGATCCCGGAGTATCAGGGGAATCAGCTGCATCTCAGGATGCACACTGCATCCAGCAACGTAGATGTTCTGCATCATCCCGAGAGCGGCCACGACGAACAGGTACCAGGAATTCCGCTTCATCCCTGCCACAAGCAGCAAGAGCACCAGCCACCCCACCGCAAGGGAAAAGCACACAATCCGAGTAAACCAGAAATCGAGCGGAAGGCCGTTGAACGTCCGGACGAAAGGCTCCCCACCGACGTCGTTCCTGAACAAGCCGCACTGTTGCCACGCCCGAGAGAGCCGCGGACTCTCAAACGTCGACAGATCCTCGAGGTCGTAGCTCAGCCCCAGATTCCGAATGATCATGATATCCTTGGACCCGTTCCCGGCCGTCACCGCAAACGTCTTCCGGTTCGTCCTCTCCTCCGGCAGCTTCTCCGCCCGCCACTGCGGCAGCAGCCCCATGCCCGCCGCCAACCCCGTCCCCACCGCCGTCACGACAAACGGCAACCAATCCCCTCCCCGCACCCACGGCACGACCGCCACCGCGCACTGCGCCGCCGTCACCCCGAGATGCGACACGCGGGCATACGGCGGCGCGCCCGCGCCCTTCAGCGGCGCCCGATCCCGATCGCCACTGCCACCACCACCACCAGCCGGCTCGTAGATGGCGATGCGCAGCGCGCGGCCGAGCTGCCCCCCGCGGTCCCTCCCGGCCTGCACGTCCAGCCGCTCGCGCTGCCGCGCCATGAACAGCTCGTTGTCGCGCAGCAGGCGGCCGACGACCCAGTTGCGGTTCGCGCGCGCGTACGCGCTGCGCATGTTGTACACCTTGCAGGGCACCTCGGCCGCCGGCATCAGCCGCCCGTCGCCCAGCAGCTGCACCGCCGCCACGAACGCGTACGACGCCCACCCGAAGCTGAAGCAGACGGGGGCGAGCTGCCCGCGGCCGGTGGCTTGCGCGAGCGCTTTTTGCACGACTTCGCCGCCGAGGAGGAGGAGGAAAGGGAGGAGGTCGTGCGGGTTGCGGAGCGCTTGGAGGATGAGGGCGGTGGGGGTCGAGTCTGGTGTGGTGGTGGCGGCGGCGGCGGCGGCGGCGGCGCTGTTGGTGGAGCGGGTGCGTAGTTCTTCGGTGGGGGACGCTAGGGTTGGGGATCTTGTGAAGGGAGACATGGCTTTGATGTGAGGGCGAAGCCCTGTGCGTGGTGTTGACTGTTGTTGTTATCGAATTGAACGCGAGGATAGAGGCATTGAATTGTCGACAAGGTTGAGTGGTGGAGCATCGGGGCTGCTGTAGAGGTTCTGCGTACGGGTTTTATACAGGAATATGGGGCTCTCGTTGCGGTGAGGCCTGGGGGCGCCTATCTCCCAGCCCTATTGCAGGTGACACAGTGGGGGGTCGATTGCCTGATTTCGTCCTGGCATTCGCCGCAGGCTCCCAAGCGAGCCGAGACTGCGCTGCATAGCCTGGCTTGACTTCATGCCAGGCTAAGACGTATGTACGCCTTGCTGCGCCCCATCTCTCTGCCTGACAGTGGCCTTTCAATCGCTGCACAACACCTGTACGCAAAACTTCTCTTGGACAAGCGAATCCAATCGACCATGGGACTGGTGCGGGGTCAGCGCCGATCACGCTTCGCCACTTCCCGTCGGACCACCTTGGAGCAAGTAACACGAGACTCGGCCGGCATCGCCCTCGAAAATCAGAGTGATAAGTCATCTGTCAAGCTCAAGCCATCATTGACTCCTAACCGAGCCCAAGACTGTACTCAGTTCTCAATAAACGCCCGCATCTCTTTTGCTTCTTTCGAGTCTTTCCCAAGCTCGGCTTCACATTTCCCAACCACCTTCGCTTGCTCCACCCCAGTTCCAGCCATCTGAAGCTCCTTCTTCCAAGTCAAGGCCAGATTGTATCTACATATTCCAGTGTCCGGGTGATCTGGTCCGTACTCTCTCTCGTGGATTCTCAGAAGCTTTAGCTGCATTTCTTCAGCCTCTCGCAGGTTTCTTTGCGCCCAATGAATGGCTGCTATGTCGGACTGAACAGCCAACAGAAAAGGGAGGACTCTCTTGCTTCTAATCGTCACAGGTCGCTCCTCTTCCTTTCTCCCCTCCAATTTGGCTTCCAGCTCTTTCAGTGTTCCAAGAGCCTTCTCCGTCATGCCAATTCGTTGATAGATGGCCGCCAGGTCGTAGTGAGCTTCCAAGCTCTTTTTAGGGTAGTCGCTGAGCGCAGGCTTCTGTTCTCGTTCTTTCAGAACATGTACCTGCAGCTCCACAGCTCTTTTTCTCTTATCACAGTCGGACTCCTTCTGTGCTTGTTCGGAGAGCACAGACGCAAGGGTACTGTCCACTTCCAGGAAATCGAAGCGTTGCCCCTCGCTCGAAACCTTCTTCTCCCTCAGCTTCAGGTCCGAAAGCAGCGATCCTGCCTCATGCAGCTGCCCGAGAGACAGGTATATCTTGGCCAGAAGCATTTGGCTCTGAAGGACATCGGAATGAGTGTTTCCCAAAATTTCATCTCGGGCCTCAAACGTCCTTTCTGCGCTCTCCTTTGCTTCCTCCCACTTCTCCATTAAGCAAAACGTCACCGACATCTCATGGCCTCCAGCCAAGACCAGTGGATGCGCGGATCCCAGTTCTGCAGACATTTTGCGGAGCAACAGCTGAAGGTCGACCAAAGTCTTCTCTGAAATGGGTCCTTCTGAACTGTCTCTTTCGGTCAATAGTCTTTCGAAATCTGCCGAGAGAATCCTTGAATGCCCTTTGGGAAGGACGGAACCGAGATGTTCGACGGCCAGACCAAGGAACTTGGATGAAATAGTCATCAATTTGTCCGCATGCGCGCTTCCTTCGTCTCTCAGATAGAGAGCGTGGCGTCTTACAAGGACTCCAAACTTTTCCTTGGCCATTGCATAGGTTATACTCTTGTATCTTGTCCTGGCCCGATCGAGTCCATTCATGATGCTTTCGAACCTCTCGATAAGCGTGCCCGTCTCCTTGAATGCGGCTACATTGTGGTTCATCGTGGCCAGGCGTGCCATGTTGAGCACCGTGATGGGATGGTTGGGTCCAAGCATCCTCTCGCTTTGCTCGAGAACCTGAATCTGCAAGGCCCTCGCCCTCGCTGACTTGCCCAGCAGGTCCAAAACTTCGGCCAAGTTGCCCTCGCTTTCGATGGTCTGCGGATGGCTTTCGGGCAGGCCGTCCCTATTCTGCGCGACGACGTAGGTAGCAAGCTCTTCAGCATCGCTCCAACGCCCTTCAGCGCAGTACAGCTGGACCAAGGTATTCAGTACATCCATCGCCCTGTAATGGTTCCAGCCCAGCTTTTCCCTCAGGTGGTCGAGTGCCTCCATGCACCTAGTGCCGGCCTCTTTCAGCTTCCCACCAAGCAACTGTATCGCAGCATCGAGATGGACAGACCTCAGCGTCACCACATGCTTCGGTCCCCAAACCGCCCGCATACCCTCAAGGGTCGCCCCATTGATCTCCAGCGCTGTCTCATACTGCCCCATCTCGTAGCAGACCCTCGCATGCAGCAACCCGCAGTCCAACCTCCCCCTCTCAACCCGCTCCAACCGGCTTTCCACTTCCTCAATCTCCCGCCACCGCCGCACCGCATCCCCCTCCCCCCCGCCCCCAGGATCCAGCCACGCCCGCACCTCCCTCAAAACCCCCTCCCTCACCTCCCTCGCCTCCCCCCACCGCCCCCGCTCCACACACCCCCTCAACACTCTCACCCTCTCTTCCCACCGCTCCCGCCGCCGCGGTCCCCCATCTCCCAACAGCTCCAGCTCCCGCTCCCGCTCCATCACCACCTCCCCAACCACCTCCACCCACTCCCCCACCCGCCTCCCCACCAACCCCTCCCAATCCCCCAAATCCGCCTCCACCCTCCCCGCCGCCTCCTCCACCCACCCAAACCCCAAACACAACCCCGCCAGCACATCCCCCGCCACCAGCCTTCCTTCCTCTTCTCCCTCCGTCCCCACATCCCCATCCCCACCCACGCCCCCAATCCCAGCACCACCACCACCACCGGCCAACCACCCCTCCAACCTCCCCCTCACCTCCCCAAACTCACCCACCCCCCAACACACCTGCGCCCTGCTCAGCAGTATCCCCACCCACAACCGCCCGTACCCCGCGTCCGACATAGTAATAGTAGCACTGCTACTGCTACTACTCTTCCTCTCCAGCTCGACCCGCCGCTGCAATTCGAGCAGCGCGGCCCGCGCGCCCGTAAGATCGCCGAGTCGGAGGCGCGTCATGGCGAGGTGGAGCTCGGTGGTGGCGAGGGCGAGGGAGAGGGGGTCGGGATGGGTGTGGGTGTGGGTGTCGGTTTGGGTGTCGGTTTGGGAGGATTGGGGGAGGCTGGCGCCGCGTAGGAGGTGCAGGGCGCGCGTGTACCAGTCGTGGGCTTTGGGCATGTTCCAGGAGGCGAAGAAGCGGGAGGCAGTGGCGAGGGCGTGGGCGTGGGCCGGGGAGGAGGAGGGGGCGGGGGCTTGGGGGGTGGTTTGGGGGGGTGGTGGTGGTGGTGGCGGTGGTGGTGGGGACGTTGGGGATGTTGGGGTGGGGGGTTGGCTGGGTGTATAACTATAGGGGCTGTGGGAGAGGATGTGGTGGGCGTCGGGGATGTAGGGGGAGGATGATGGGGAGGAGGGGGAGGAGGAGGAGTCGTTGGGGGTAGCTCGTAATGGGGTCTGCCATGAGCTGGGGGCCTTGGATGGTACTCGGGATGGGACGCGGCGGGGCGGGGGTGCTGAGCTCACATCCGCCGGCGGGAACGGGTCGCGTTGACAGGAGAGCTCGATGAAATCCAGGACGTCTTTCCGTTGTTCGGGTGACAGATCCGAAATCTGGCGTTGCGGTCAGACAGTCTGGGTTGCATGGTGCTGGATGAGTGGGAAACCGACCGTGTTGAAGTACCTGACCATGGGCCGGCCCTCTTTGTCTTTCTTCCGAGCGAACAGTTTGTCGAACTTTGGACAGCTGGTGGCTTGATCCTGGCTCTGCGGTTGCAGAGATGTCGGTGATGATCTGAGCAAAGCAATGCCTGATGTTTTGCCCAAATCTCCCCAAAAGTCGGCGGCAACCATCGCTTGGACTATCGGGACTGTGTTGCCATGGGCGATGAGCACGAACCGTGGAATATTCTGCAGAGTGTCAACCGCACGACAAGCTCCAGCCGGTGTGGCATTGAATACCTTGTCCAATAGCAGCCTGTTGATACCACGCTTGATTCGTTCAACAGGAAAGACGTCTGCGTCGTTCCCGGCTGCCGTAAAAAGGAAACTGCCCATGCATGGTGTTTTCCTGTCTCTGAACAGGCTCACGAGACTTTCGTCTTCTTGGTCATGAATGACAACCAAGGCTCTGGTCTACCGGTTCAGTCATACAAACGAGGTATACAAGATTCGAACCCAAGGGCGACATACGTTGCGCTTTCACTCGAGTATTCGCCGTTCTTTGGGACCTCTTTCCACGGGAGAGGATTCAAAGTACCGCGTTTGGGGCCATGGCGCACGTCGAGCATACCTGTGAGCAATATGTCCGCGCGACGATATGTTGGATCTCCGGTGGTCGTTGGTGGGGTTACAGACAGCGCTGGACAGAAAACGATGGCCAGGGTGCGAGGGTGAAGGTGGGGTGCGCACGTCAGGAAAAGTCAGCGTGCATGAGCTGAGCTGCATGCAGTTGTTGTTATCACACTGCAGGCGGGGCCATGTCTTTCGCCCCCACCTCGCCGGCGTCACATTCCGTCGATCTCCATTTCTCTCTGTCGGTGATAATGCCCCAGTCTTCTCCGCCCTTGCATCGGGAGCCGCACGATCAAATTTCTTACTAGCTTCTAGTAATCCCTCCAGCTAAGCTTTTCGGAACTTGCGGCAGCGCTTCCCAGCAATCTCGAACGCTCTATCCTGGAAAGAGGTACGTGACTGATGGCCTTATTTCGACCTATGTGTATCGTTTGACATGACTCAAGCGAACGGAACTGACTGAGAGCCGTGATAACAAGCATCGATCCCGTTCATGAAAGCCGTCTCCTCCATCTTGCCTTGGCCGTACGGATGGATCACATCCGAGGCATCGACGACTACAAAGTCAGGCTATTTTCCTCTAGCTACGATGATTGGAAAGAGGCCGGAAAAGAGCCGTGTGGCTTCCTGAACTATCCGAAAAGAAAGAACTGGACGGTGACCGAGGACGGCAGCTGTGTCCCGCCTGGCCCGGACGATCCTAGCTTTCATGAAAGCCACCGCATGGAAAGCTTCCTACAGTCCTGGCTCTTTTTCGGGCTGATACAAGCTGTTCTCGGATACTCGAATCGCATCAATTTCGAAATATTCAAAGGAAGCGGCGCCATCGAGGAAAGCGTCACCACGAGCCATCTCCCCCGTCTCCTGAACAACTGGGACGACTTCGAGAGGCAGGAAGACAACAAAAGGGATCAAAGCGTAAGAATGGTTCGAATCCAGATGGCGCTGGACCGCGCCCGGGGCGTGGTGAAGCGTTACTGTTCAGTGGAAGAAGAGGGGGTTCAGGGTTCCCGACGGAACGACGAACTGATAGACGACAACTTGGCCCTGTCGCTGATTGTCCTCGGGGAAACGCTTTCCTATGCCAAAGCACGCATAGTGGAACGAGCCGGCTTCACCATCAGAGGCTGGCACGGCGAAACCTCCGCCGGTTGGGGCACCAGCAAAGCCGTGGTCGACCGAATGAAGATGTCCTGGTGCCCAAGAACCGTGGCCATTCTCACGCGCCAGCTACGCGGCAATACCACTGCTCTACTTGAGGCCCACAAGCTGTACCCGCAGCTCGGAGAGCCCAAGCACCACAAATGCTCCCGTGAGCAGTGCAAGTGGACGTCGTTTGCTAATGGCGAAGCATATGAGCGGCGGCATACTGATAGTTGCCCGTGCAAGGCTTCGGGCTGCGACGATCGTTGTCTAGACGCCGGCCCAGATTTGAAAAAGCTGCTCGACATCATCAGGGAAGACAAGATCCCCGTCTTCACGCTGGCGAGCAAGGAACAGGGTGGCCCCCTCTTAGTGAACGTCAAGAAGGCCACTGAGGTCTCCGAGTACGCCACAATCTCCCACGTCTGGTCAGATGGCTACGGGAATCCTGATTCCAACAGCCTCTGCCAATGCCAGGTCGACTTTCTCCAAAAGGCGCTAGCCGGGGCTCAAGAGAAACGAGGCCAGAAGGGCAAACCGATTGCCTTCTGGATGGACACCTTGGCGATTCCGGTCGGCGACAGCAAGGGAGCAAAGGAGATGAAATCAAAGTGCATCCGTCGGATCCACGAGACATTCGTCCAGTCAAAGTACACGGTTATCCTCGACGGCGGTCTAATGCAGACCGGCATAGTCGGGGACGACTATTCGGCTACCGCCGTCAAGATCCTGGCAAGCGGATGGATGCGTCGCCTATGGACTCTTCAAGAAGCTTATTTGAGCGAAAGACTGTTCTTTGCCTTCAAAGACAGCAGCTTGGACCTCGAGGATTTGGAAAGCCATTACCATGAAGCGAGCGATAACTTGGTCTCGGATATGCCGACTGCCGCCAGAAACTATTTCCACAACCTCCTCGGCACGGCGAGACGGGCGAGAGTCCACGGCTTGAGCCCAAAAGAAGGCATCGACCTCATTTCTTCCGTGTGGAAAGCAGCGAACTGGCGTACAACCACATACGGCGAACACGAAGTTGTGGCGTTGGTGTCTCTTCTGAATCTCAATACCGATGATTCAGATCATGCCCAGGACATTAACAGAGATTTCGGTGCAGGCGAAAAGTCCCCAATGGTCATCGAGCGTAACATGAAGCAATTCTGGATGTTGCTTGAGGAACTCTACCCTGGATCCATCCCTGCTGGAATGATCTTTCTCCCTCCACCCAGACTGACAGAACGCGGTTTCGGGTGGGCTCCGAGGACGTGGATGTCTGGCAAACAGCTTGAACACCCCGATCCTCTCCTCCTGTCGGCTTTGACTCCTCCAGGCATCTTGAGCATGGACCACGGCCTCCTGGTGCAGTTTCCCGGATTCCTCCTGCATTCTACCGAGCAGACGTCACAGAAGATCCTCCTTAATATCGATAAGAGCCTGACGTTCCCTACGGACAGCACCCTCTTGGAATGGTACAAGTACAGAAAGGCCCAAGATGACGAAAAGGATTACCACTTCATCCAGCAGCCCGTGACAGCGCAGAAGGACTCGAGAAAGTATGCAATCATCCTTCCCCGCGAGCGGCCTGGTGCAGTGGAGGAGATAGGGCTGCTTGTGGAGATTGAGAAGAGACAGCCCCAAAGGTCCTTCGCCGACAGCCAGGAAACAAGGGTCTTCCATGTGTCGATCAAATTCCGGATCCTGATCAAACGGGAAACCGCCTCTCATCAGGATGGGAGTTTGAACAAGTTTTACCAGGACATGCACACTCGTGGAAAAGACCCTCCCGTCTTCGGTGAAGTTCTCGGCCCAAGCCAGAAATGGTATGTGGACCGGAAAGAAGACTCGAGGCAAGCGGGACCGGCGCGGGGGTATCCATCTGGATTCGAGGCTCAGGAACATGTTGAAAGACCGTCTCGCGCTGGCGCCGCTAGCGCTATCACAAACTTTCTATCAACATTTTCCAACAGCATCGGTAAAAAAGCCGAAGAACAAAGTGACCAAAGTGAAGAGCTCGTGCCAATGCCCCTCTCGGGGGGCTCTAGAAGTAGAAGGGTTTGGTAGTCTATACGTTTAGGGTATATGGTAATGACGAAGCAACTTTTGGGTTCCACAAGTCATGTTGTCTATTTCTACTTGTCATTGTACACACACTCGAGCCTCGGTGGTTTGGAGATTTAGATTCCCTCGTAATATTTATTCATTGACTGCAGGTACTTGACTTGACGGTCTCCGCCATTCTTGCAACGCAGTACTTGATCATATGGGAGCCTGGATCCCGATAGGCGGACCACGGCTTTCATCGCAGCTGTGTTTATCGTTTTGTCGAGAGCGTGAAGCTTGAATTCCGGTTCCTACCCTTGTCAGCTTCGACGAATCTCATGCACATATCTTAATTGTGTATGGAACAAACCAGAATTGAAACATAAATTTTCCCACTGAAATGGAATCAGCATCCCCAGACAAGATCAAAGTCATCTGACAATAAAGCGGCATCAAGGTTTGGTTCGGCGACAACTTGATGTGATGGAAATAAGGTAGAACCTCGGTGAACTCATTGCCCGTTACCCCTTTCAGTATCAGCCTCGGATACGCCCGCCCTTGGCAACGTCTTCGCCCCTTCGGACAGGGTACAAGCAACAAGGCCAACCGTCTGTAAAGTTTATGTTGTTTTACGACCCGCTTTTGACCTATCATTTGCCTGAAGAATGGGTTCCTGGCAATTGCACCTCGGTTGAGGATCAGTCAAGCATTCAACAACTAGGGAGTCCCCGGTGTCTGTTGTCCACAATAGATGAAACTGAGATTGCTCATGCCTACTTGAGAATAGTAACCACCGTCGTCCTCCGCACTACTCCAATGGTGCTTTTTGTAAGCGAGTTGCAAAACACTAGTCCCAACTCCGGAGCTGGCTACCTGCCACCTCACCTGCATTCGGCTTGGGAAACCCGGGGAGACTCAAGAAACGTCAGGCCACATCCAGCGCACCAGCAAAAACGTTAGGGCACGAATTCTCCACCCATGCAAAACAACCTGCGACGTCGCCCACACCGATATAGGGTTGCAATTCTTAAGACGGTTGGGCCACACAGCCTCACATTCCTGGTATGCCGAGGCATCGAAGGCTGTCCTCGATGATCCTCCAATGCGGTCCACGAGAGACACGCCAGCGTCCCGAGGCTTCTCAGGCTCAGGCCGTCCACTCAACACGAATATAAAGCACCAACACTTCGCCATCACACCTTCCTCCGCTCCACCCGACAAGCTCGTCGCGCCGCTCACTTCTCCTCCACTTTCGTTCACCCCGAGCCCGAACCAGACGCTCATTCATTCCGTTCCATTCCACCGCCCACTCCCTCAAACCCCAGCCACCAAGGCCCCCCCCTCTCTCCATCTCCCCCCAACACAACCAGCCCGCCCGCGCGCCCCTCCACCCAAAATGAAGCCCACCACCAGCACCACCACCCTCCTCGCCGCCATCCTAGCCATCTCCTGCCCCCTCACCACCTCCCACCCCCTTCCCCAACTCAGCACGACCAGCAGCACCAGCTCCAGCAGCACCAGCGCCACCCAACAAAACGGCATCACCTCCCCCAGCACCGGCAGCAACGCCTGCACCGCGACCACCCTCATCTTCGCGCGCGGCACCTTCGAGCTCTCCAACATGGGCTCCATCGTCGGGCCCTCGCTCGCGTCCGACCTCGCCAAACTGCTTTCCTCCTCTTCCACCAACAACCAACTCACCATCCAAGGCGTCAACTACGCCGCCGACGTCGCCGGCATCTTCGCCGAGATCACGGGCGGCACGGGGACGGCGGCGATGGTGGCGGAGGCGCGGGCGGTGATGCAGAAATGTCCGGACACGAAGGTGGTGCTGAGCGGGTACAGTCAGGGGGCGATGGTGGTGCATAATGCGGTGAAGGCGCTGAAGGGGGATGGGGTGGAGATGGGGAGGGTGGCGGCGGCGGTGACGTTTGGGGATCCGTTCAAGAGCGTGGCGTTGGAGGGGGTGGATAAGGCGCGGTTCAAGACGTTTTGCGCGACGGTGAGTTTTGCCTTTTTTTTTGGGCTTTTTGGTTTTTTGGTTTTTGGCGAGGGCAACGGAACTAACGGCTGGGCTTTTCACAGGGCGATCCGGTTTGCGGGCTTGGTGGCGTCAGTGCGCTTACTAGCATGGTCTCCTCGGGCGGAGACCAGTCGAGCAGCACGTTGAGCCACTTGGGTTATGGCGCCGATGCCCCGGCGGCGGCGAAGTTCATTCAAGAACAGCTCAGCGCTTGAGTCGTCTCGATGAGTTTTGCTGTGGGAAGTTGGGTCAGAAGGCGCGCTTGGGACTGTTTATTTGTACTTGATGGCTGCGCCACCGTGTGGGCATGGCAGTTTTCGTTCGACTGTACACTTTTATCGCATTCGGAGCGAATATGATACGTTCAAAGCTCCAAGTGTGAGTGCAACTGTGAAGTGAAGTGCCTATCTTGGTGGGCATGAATACACCCAGTGGTCAGCTATGTACTTTGCGAGGGGAATAGGGTGAGTGCTACGGGATTTTAGCTTAACAAAACTTTGAATGAAGTCTGATCAATATGCCTTTTTCAACCTCGGAGTGCAACCGCTGTAGGTCCAAAGAATGGCATTTGACAATTTGAGAGACTAAGGGAGTAAGAATGGAGCGAAGCAATTCTGTCACGCTGAGAGAACCACCCAGCCGCGGCGTGTGCCCTTAGTCTGCTACCAGAAGCATCACACTCTTTCAGCCATATCGTCGATCCTCCTCTCATGTGACTCATCCATTGTCCTTACGTTTGGTGGACTCACGTCGACAATGGGACTCAACACACCCATCAGAGTGGTAACCTGCTGCACCCGAGGAATGGCAAGAGGAGTCGTCCGTTCGACATCACCCTTCCGCACACCTTTAAGGATGCCGACTCCACTGACATATGCTTCACCAGTCTCCTTTGCATGCTTCTTCTTCATACGGTCCTTTGCTAGAGCGACCGAATCACGATGAGACCATTGGTTGCTCATGGGAAACTCGTCGGGAGTGCGTTCCGACATGAGAACAACCGAGTCGCGGTGGTTGGCGAGAAGAGACGTGGCATTGTCGGACATGTCGGAAGTGTTTGAGAGACTCGACGCAGAGCGAGCTTGTTCCCTGAGACTATCCGAAGGCGCTAGAAGTTTGTTGGGCCGAGGGCTGTAGTATCCACCTGTCAAGAGGAGATCATCGTTGACCCGAAGCTGATGCGGCACGGCAAGGGCGTCGAAAACATCATCTCCGTGCTGCTGTCGAGGGCTGGTTTCGTCAGAAGACGGAGAAGACGAATCGGAATGTAGACGGCCGCCGTATGAAGGTGAAGCTCTGCCTGCACACTCTGTCTCTGTTTCGCTGCCGCGCCGGGAAGCCAAGGCGGAAGAGCCCGGAGTATCGTCTTTGGAGTTTGGTGGAGCCATGAAAAGGGCATTGCTATCGTCTTCCATGGCGAAGACAGAGTCGTAATCATCCTGGTATACCTCAACGTAAGGTTGGAAGTGAGGGTGGCTCCTGCTCTTGTCGAGAGCAGTACATTCCCGCGCTGCAAAGGACCATTCTTCCAGTTTCGTATTGACTCGGTCAAGACCAGTGGGGGGTTCTGTTTGCGAAGCGTTTTCTTCAGGGCTGACCGATGTGGAATCCACATCAGAACTGTCCAGGTGATGAGAAGGTGGCTCATCCCAAAGAACATGGTAAGAGCCATGTGCGGATTCAATCAAGTGCATGCTTGGGCTAGGAGCTGCTTGGCCTGGTGTGAGGCGCCTATTTCCCTCGCCGGAAGGAACCTTGACTACATGAACATCGGTCAAAGTGATGGCGGTATCTGCACAAGCGCTTTTCACCGATGCAGCAGATGAGCTTGAAGGACTGTCGTGATCAGATGAAGAGGAAGCATTTGCCCTTGTCGATGATGACCTTCGATAGGTGCAGAGGTGAAGCGACGGTGTGCAACAACGATGGAGTTGATTCTGACTGGAGGAACTGACAGCGCTGGCGTCGGATGTAGCTGGAGAGCTGGACGACGAACGGGCACCAAGGACCTCGGGAGCCGAACACAAGGAGCCGACACTTTCCTCTGAAGGCGTTTTTTCAGGTAAAACGTCTTGAGACTGAGCACGAGGTTTGATATGGTGACCGACACGGCGCAAAAGAGACTCGGCACTGGAGTCTCTCGGTGTGTGCGAATCCCTCGAGCGAGGTCGAGCGAGCCACAGAAGGGTAGAGGAGCGTCTCCGGACAAGGCCAGGGGCGGTGCGAACTCGACGGATTGAGCTTCCACCGGAAGGTTTTCGAAGGGGCTCCCGGTAGGTGGTCTTGCGCTGTTTGGCCTTGTCGATGAAAGTCTCCAGTCGCTTTATCCTTCGGTCCCGAGTGACTGGATCAGCAGAGGCCGAGCACTGCCGGACAGGCCAGTGAGGTCTGGTCTCATCCGACATGGTCCTGGGAAGATACTCGCGATTGTCAACCGTAAGCAGAGGGGAGGTATCGCTGTCAATCGCTGGGGCAGAAGCAGCGCGCTCTTCCCATCCGGTGACCTCCAGGGGAGGTTCCGCAACCGGCGACGCCATCGAACGACCCGCTTTCCCCTGGCGCTGCTTCTTCCACGACGAAGGATGGAAGGGATAAGAGGAACGGTAGACTCCAATGTCGGCTAGCGACAGAAAGCCTGGGGCAAGACGTTGAGGATCTGGAGGTTGGGATTAAGTGATGCAACAATGAGTTTCAAGCCAGGGTGGGGAGAAGCACAGGCGAAGGGAAGGGCCAGCAAAAGAGATTGATGACATTGTAACGCCAAAAGGAAGGCTCGTTGCTCGACCGTGACCAGCGCCTTCGTTATCTCTCGTTCCTGCAGGGCAGCCCGACACCCGCGCGACTTCCGCAGCTCGTCGGGTGTCACGTTGGACATTCATCTGGCCAACATGCTCGCTAGTCGCGATACCAGCATCGGATAGATGATGCACACCAACTCCATGGCGCAAAAGTCGTCTGCGTGACAGTGCAGCAATGGCAGCGTCGGCGGTGGAGGTGACAGGCGACGGGGCGGCGGCAGCTGCGGGTCTGGCGTGTGGGGAAAAAGTGGGAGCTCGGGCCACGCCCTTCGATCTCACCAGCTGGCATCCGCCCTCCCCCAAAAGCATCCCCAGATTGTCCCCCTTCCGCTGCTCAACCCGCCCCAAAATGAGGAGCACATCTCTCGACGCCCTCCTGCTCCTCGGCACCGCCCTCGCCCCCGCCGTCTCCGCCGCCGAGTCGGCGCGGCCGCGGGGCGTCGGCCCCGAATGTATGTAAACACCTCGCCGCTGCACTGCTGCAGTCCCGCCTCTACGCAAGCCACCACTCCGCCATATGCCATTGACTCACACCCCCGCCTCGAGCAGTCGCCAAATTCTACAAAGATGCCGACAAATTCACCTGCATCTCCAACCCGGCCATCACCCTCTCCGTCGCGCAGGTCAACGACGACTACTGCGACTGCCCCGACGGCTCCGACGAGCCCGGCACCGCCGCGTGCTCCTACCTGTCGCCCTCGTCGCCGCGGCACGCCTCGAGCCCCAACGCCGAGGACCCGAACATCACGCTGGCGCTGCCGGGCTTCTACTGCAAGAACAAGGGCCACCAGCCCGGCTACCTGCCGTACACGGCCGTCAACGACGGCATCTGCGACTACGACCGGTGCTGCGACGGCAGCGACGAGTGGGACGGCGTCGGTGGCGTGCGCTGCGAGGACCGCTGCACGCAGATCGGCGCCGAGTGGCGCAGGCAGGACGAGGCCCGCCAAAAGTCTCTAGCCGCCGCCAGCCAGCGCCGCAAGGAGCTCGTCGTCGAGGCCGCCCGCCTGCGCCGGGAGGTCGAGGACCGCCTGCAGACGCTGCGCACCGAGATTGAAGGGTCCGAGATGAGAGTCGCGGACTTGGAGCGGGAGTTCGCCGACGTCGAGCAGCAGGAGAGGGCCAAGGCGGCGAAGCGCGGGAAGAAGGGCCAAGGCAAGTTTTCGCAGCTCGCGGGCGTCGCGAGGCAGCGGGTCGAGGACCTGCGGGATGCGTTGGCGAGGGTGCGGGGCGAGCGCGATGCCGGCCGCGAGAGGATTGCAGAGTTGGAGCAGATCTTGTCGACGTTCAAGGAGGAGTACAACCCCAACTTCAACGACGAGGGCGTCAAGCGTGCCGTCAAGGCTTGGGAAGACTACGCCGCCCGGGACAAGGGCCCTGACGGCGATGCTGCTCACGATCGGGACATCGATGAGTATCTCAAGCCTGAGATCGAAGGCCTGAACTGGGAGGACTTCGACTCCGATGAGAGCGGGAGTGACGTTTGTAAGTGCACAGGTTCCCCGAATGTCCTTAACACGCCTGACTAACCCGTACTCAGTGTACAAATTTGAGGAGCTGCTCCCCGAGTCTATCCGCCCATGGGTTGACGAGAAGCTTCGAGCGCTGCGCCAAGCCCTCGTCGACAACGGCATTTTGCCTGACGATGACTCGGCCGCTGCGGCTGGCGAGTCACAGGCAGTCAAGGACGCCAAGTCGCGTCTCACCAGCGCCGAGAACGACCTCAAGAACCAGAAGAAAGAGCTCGAGAACCACGACAGCGACCTCACCAAGGACTACGGCCCGGACGAGATCTTCCGCGCACTCAAGGGCCAGTGCGTCAGCGTCGACTCGGGCGAGTACACGTACGAGTTCTGCTACATGGACAAGACGTGGCAGAAGCCCAAGAAACGGGGCGGCAACACCAACATGGGCAACTTCGTCCGCGTCGAGACGGTCGTCGTCGACGAGGACGTCAGCCCCGACGGCAAGGGGCTGGGCTCCGGCGAGCGCGTCGCCCTCAAGTTCGAGAACGGCCAGCACTGCTGGAACGGCCCGAGCCGGTCGACCACGGTCATTTTGGCGTGCGCCGAGAAGGACGAGATCTGGAAGGTTGCCGAAGAGGAGAAGTGCGTGTACCGCATGGAGGTCGGCTCGCCGTCCGTCTGCATCCCTGCTCAGAAGCAGAAGAAGACTGAGGAACAGCAGTCGCGCGACGAGCTATGAGAGGTTCATGACCGGAGAGAAGCACAAAGCTGACGGAAGAAAAAGCTGATGAAGCGCGGCTACCTAGAAGGTGACTGATAGATGGTAGGGCTGTTGTCGATATGCTACTTGTACTTTCTTGGCGCTTTTGGCGGAGCGGGTTGTCATTCTCTTGTACGCGCACGAATTTGTCACGAACAGAAAAAAAAACATCGCCTTGGTGTGGTTTCATGTCCCGCTATGACGCTTTGAAGATTGCATCACGAAGCTTAATTGCGAGAGAAAGAGAGTCATACTCACCATTTGCCACGCGACCAAACCTCCGTGCCTTACTCACACCCGTGATACGAGCAGCGCAATTAATCCAACGGCGTTATCCACCCACTCACGATACGCAGCCAGGATACACCGTCAGAGCCACACGGAGTCCAATACGATCATGCCTGCCCTAACCCAGCAACGACCAGGTTTCCTCGGGACCTTTTTTTTTTTCGCGCCCTACAGCAAACCATTATGAGACGGAGTGGGAGGGGGCGAAGCGAACACTACTAGCTACCCATCACTACCTACGCATCCATACTGTTGACTACCTACCTCTACTTTCCCACTCACCTCCCCCTCAGCCCGGACGAACAACGAACACGGGCCCTTCCGTCCGTCCATCTAGGCACTCGACAGGCTTTCTCGTATTCAATGACGTTTTGCCCCCCACCCCACACAGAGTCTAGAGCGAGCGAAGCCACACACACGAGTTTACCCATCCGAGCGCGATCGATCCCCGTCCGTTCGCCCACCCGCTCGTTGATCGTCTCGTGGCGTTTGCCCGCGTGTGTGCGCTGGAAGGAGCCGTTGGTGATGAGGTAATTTGCTTGAATGAGTAGGTATGTACTTGGCGGCGCGGCGGGGCGGCGGGCGGCGCGGCGCGGCGCGGCGCTCTCGCTTTTGTTGGCTTGTGGTGTGATGTGTTGTGTTGTGGAGGGGTGGGAAGTACCTAGGTGGTGTGTATGTATGGTAGGCGTGAGTACCTAGGTGGGTGTGTAGAAGCAGCGCTGTTTTTGGATTGGCTGGTAGGCGCGTAGTGATGCATAGCTAGGGGATTATTGGAGGCCGCGCGATGGATGTGCCGGGGGGTGTATGTATGTGGATCGTTGGGATGACGGGTCATTGCGTGCGCGCATTGTGTGATGGGCTGTGCAGTGCCGTGTAGGAGATCGATCGTTGAGCGGAGATCGTGGTGGACATGTAACTGCGCTCCTCTAGGTATTATTATGCGCCCCGACTCGCATGGAGAGCTCGATCCGTTTGCACAGAGAATAGAGAATGTCCTATAGTCCGCGTCCATACCGCGACCGGCTAGCAATGTGTTTTCCCCGACCAATCAGCTGGTTGGTAGGTACTGTGTAACAGCCAGCAAGCTTGCTCCTACCTACCTACCTACTTCCCTACGTCTCGGACGCTTGCTCGGCCTGCGCCTTCGCGTAGTGCTGCTGGATGGGTGGGTGCGCTAGATCCTACTTGTTTGGCCAACCGTCGACGCTAGCCGCCGAACGCAGCCCTATGGTCATGTTTTTTCTTTTCTTTTCTTCTAGCGGGGTGGGTGGTGAGATGGTGCGGGCGTAGCGCGTGCAGTAGCGTTGGGTACGCTTGCGTGCAAGTACTCCGCCGGCGGCCGCCGGTACCTGCAGGAACGCATGCGCACCGAACCGTGGGTCTTGTCGGAGGGTTTTGACGGGCAAGGCCAAATTTTTCTTCTTGGAGATTCTGTGGGTGGGTGATGAGGGACTTTTTTTGCTGGTTCAAAGTGGGGCGGGCGATGCACGGAATAGCTTCCGTTGTTTCAGGATAGAGTTTTTTTTCCTACATTTTTTTTTCTTTTTATTGAATGCGACGGAGTGATCCGTGTTGCGCAGACAATCCGGTGGTGCTTCAATATAGGCGTTGACTTGATCTTAACGGATAGAAGGAAAGAAGCTTTTCGTTTGCATGCTGATCTGAGCGGGTGTCTGACGATAAGTGTCGATCTGTTGCTAAGAAAAGACTATATGGACCACAATCTGGTAGGGGCCGCGCGTAGACATTCCACTTGTTCATCTGTTTGCTATTTGTTGTGGATCTGCGAGGGGGCGGGTACACCCTGATGTGCGGGTGGATGTTCCAAGAGCATCTAATTCACTTCCGGAAACCATCAAAGTGAAGCTTGACGACATGATAAAGGACATATCGATGCGACGTCACCCGATGAACTGCCAACATTGCATGTACATAACTCATGATTCACGGAGGGCGGACCGAAAAACCTGGTGGAGAAATGGCAGATGAGATGAGTGGTGGTACTAATAAGCAGTCAGGTTCTGGGCATGCAAGGTTACGGGGCAGCATCATAATAGTGAAACGACCAGAATGACGCATTCGACGTCGTGCATGCGGTTGCTGCTGGAGCCGTGGATAGATTGATCATGACTTCGACATGAGATCACGGGACGGAGACGGCCACGATGGTAAGGCGCTCCGATGGTCATGATTCTAGGCCAGCCATCCGCGCTTCCCCGGCCAAGCATCTACGTCAAACCGTTGGTCCTGACGGCAACGGGGCGAACGGGGCGGTGGCTTTGGCGGGCACTTAAAGTGGGCTGGGCGAGAGCGGTCGTATCGACCACGAGTCAGGACAGAGAGATGCTGAAGCAGGCTAGGTAGACGGAGAGGTGGCGCTTTATGCTTTGCGCTGCAACTCCCGAACTGCAAGGCGATGGTGTAATCAAAGAGGTAGTACCTGTGTAAGCCGTCGGCATTGAAGTGACTTCGGCAAGGGGGCTCGAGCAGCGAACCATCATCCTGCATGCGTCTACTGTGTACTGCACACGCCTTGGCACGGTTATGCACGCGTGAGCTGAGGCGTGAGGCGCACCAGCTGACAAGAGAGACGCCACGATGATGGCGGCGGCGTCGCGTGTGGACGGTCTTGTCTCTGGGATCATGGCTGTCGCAGACCCCGCGCTCCTGTCTCACGATGCCACCAAAGCAAATCTTAGGGGCGCCGGCTCGGCGGGCCACCGCACCGCCCACAGCAGCTTTCGCTCCTTCGTCCTCCCGCTGCGTGTGTTCGCGCCAGGTTTGTTTCGACGGCGGATTCGCCACCGCAGTGTCCAGTGCGTGCAATAAGCGTGCTGTGAGGCTGCGGGCTGCTATAGGGGAGGCGCCGAAATAGGAGATCATCCTCGGGTACAGGACCGAGGCCGGCATGTTCCGCACGTCGAACCGGCCAAAAAGGGCAGAGACCGAGCCAATTGGAGCTAGAAAGGGGATTCGGATGAAGAAGAAGAGACGAGCTGCGAGTGTGGTGACTTGAGGTGGTTGCCTGAACGGGTTCAGCACTAGCGAGCAGCTGATCCGATCAGGCAATCTGCCCCGCCGACGGTCTTTGTAGTGTCCTGTCAGTGCAACGGCGCTGCTCCACACGTCTCGGCGCCGCTAACATGGAATGGCAGACAGAGTCTTTGGTTCGGCGCTGCGCTGCGGTGCCTGGGGTGCTGACGGTGCGGAGGACCCTCTGCCCGGGCTTGGCCGGGCGAGGAGCAGGATCTGGGACCCAAACTTTGATGACAAGGACAGCTATGTGACAATTGACTAGTACGAGGGTGAAGAATAGACAGCTGGGGCGGGAGGGCTCGGAGATCAGCGCCGACGGGAGAAAAGTTCATATATATGAGTGACGTTGCAGGGTGATTAAGGCCGTGGTCTGGACGGGGTGCCTGGTGTTGCGAGAGCGGGCTTTCTGAGCGGGCTTTCTGAGCGGGCTGCCCCTCAGCGGGAGATCCACTAGGACTCTTTGCAGCGTGGCCGGGGGGCCCATGCGTGTCGCACGCCGGATATTGAGGCGGGCGCGACACTTGAAACAGGCAGCTGGCGAATGGCCGCGCAGCCATGTGGTCCCAGGGCGGCAGCGTGGAAGCAGCGTGCCCGGCGCCATCGCAGCGAGCGTTGTGAGCCAGCGCAGCCCGGCATCCGCGCAGCCTGTCAGACGGTGACCCTGACCGAGCCTCGATGGCAGTTTCAGGCAGGAGTCCGCCGCAGCGGCAGCTGGGCCAGGATTGCCGGGAGCGCGCGATTGGCGTCGCGGTGCGCGCCGTGCTGCTCGAATCACTTCGTGGCCGTTGGTGGTCGCCGTCTCTTAGGTTGTTCGCAGCCCAATAATAATAGGTAATGCAGGTGCGTATGCAGCCCCCGCCCGCAGCCGCCGTACCTGGCCCTTAACCCCTTCCGGCTGACAGCTTCGCAGAGATAGCGATCACCTCTACCGCCGAGCTCCCCCGCGGCTCTCGGCCAGCGCACCGTGCAGCGCTGCAGCCCGGGTTGGTGCTGGTCTGTATCCGTACGCTGGCTCTGTTGGCGACGCGCCCCCCTGCTTGCACCGCCGGCCGTGTGGGCTTGTCGGCTTGCGGCTGGGATGCAGCCGCGGGAGTGGTCAGTCGCCGCCGGTGCGGGCCAGGGCCTTGCCTCGCGTACACGCCCCGACCGGCCAACTGATCTTCTCCTGTACAATAGTCTTCCTTCTAGCTGGCGATCCGTGGCCGCACTCGTCGTCCGCCCGCGCCCGACTCGCCCGCTCTCAGCCCGTCCGCCCGTCGTCTCGGCGTTGCTCGCCCATGCATGATGCCAGTGCTGCGCCGACTGCCCGCGCGGCATGCTGCTTTGGGCGTGCGGGCGCGAGTCAACCAACGCCAAACATTGTCGTCGGCGGCTCAAGCTCGCCCCGCGCCTCCAGTTGGCGCCCGTGAGCCCGTGAGCCCGATCGGCCGCGTGCCATCTAGTGCGGTATGCTGGTTGATGTGGAAATTGTGACATTGTCTTGCCAGCGACCCCCTTGCAGGGCCGTGCTCAAATTGCCCTCCTCCACCCTGCGCGCCCGCCCGCCGCTGGCCCCGTCGTTTGCCCGCGAGCTGCTGCGCTGCCGCTGCTGCATCCAGCACCTCTTTCTTTTTTTTGCCGCCCTGCGCTGGCCGACCAGAGGTCCTCGCGCGTCTTCGCTTCACCAGCTCCCCCAAGTTCCCAGCGCCGCCTGCCACCGCCCAAGCCGACGGCGAGAGATCAGGAGCCCGCCCTCCTCCCAGCGCACATCCATTCATTTCGTGCATTCCGCCGCTGTTGCCCGGCCGTCAATCCCCGATTATTTGATTGCGCCACACCCGAACACCACGCCAGGACATATCCACAGCCCTGCGCCGCCGCGTGCGCTCCCGAACCACCACCTCACCACCGCCCGCACCACCCGCTCCCTTTGCTGCCCCAAACAGCGTCCGCTCGTTCAGCCCCGGCCCCGCCCTCCACCACCCTCTCGTCCCACCTCTCACCCCGGAAAGAAGCATATCGCACTCGTCTCACTTCGCATTATTCTGCATGGCCGCTGCAGTGCAACGTCACGCTCTCTACAACTAAACACCTCGCCGAGGAAGGACGCGTCCTGCAGGTACGTCGATCTCTCACGGCCACATCATAAGCCACCCCGGTCGTCCTTCCGCCCAGCCCTGCCTGCCGCGCCGCCTGCCGCCCGCCTGTCCTGCCCGCCCCAACGCTGCTGACCATTCGCCTAGCTCGCGCGCCGCGCTGCGTTGTCAAGAGTCGACCTTGGGGATCCATTGAGCCCTCTCACTCGTACGTACACCTTCCGCCATGGATCGGCCGCCGCGGGTGTCGTCGTCCCTCTCGGACGCCGGCTCATCGAGTTCCACCAGCTCATCGCGGAGCAGACTATCTCTGTCCAGCATACGCAAGACTAACCTATACAAGGCGACCATGAATCGTTTCCTCACACGCAAGAAGACCGAGGCCGCACTCGAGAGCCCCGATGGCCCGCCGCCGACAAGCAAGAAGACCAAGAAGGGCAGGAAGAATAAGGAGGAGGAGCAGCCCAAGCCGCAGCTAGACCTGTCCCAAGCTCTGCCATCGACGGACAATTTTCGGACCAGCCTCCTTATGCCCAACCTTTCGGCGCGATTCAGCATGCTCAGAGAGCAGGATGATCCAGAGTCGAAATTGGGTAAAGCAAGCGACGATAGCGTTCTGTTCTCCAAGCGCCAGTCACGGCTAACGGACTTTGGCTTTAATTCAGCAGGCTTGACGGACATCGCTGAAGTCGCTTCCATCAACGATTCCATCCGGCCTCCCTTCCTCGCCGGAAGGTCTGGCTCTATTGACTATGGTACCGATGACGGTGATTCTATCCACAGCGGAAGCGTTATGAGCCGGTCACGTCCAGGTGAAGGCAACGTCCTTTTTGGTGGCCGTCAGAAAGTCTACATGGGCAATCGAGCCCTGTACGATGATGATGTAGGCATGTCGGCATACCAGCGGATGCGGGCCGAAGAACGTCGGAAGAAGCGTGAAGAAGAGGGGTTTGAAGATGGCCAGGATGAAGAGGAGGATGAGGAGCCAGAAACCCCCGCGCACGAACTCAAGCATGCATCGTCGTTCTCCGGATCTCTTCGTCGCCGCGAAACCGCTTCTTCGACGGCGTCTGGAGCTGGCGCCCGTGCTTCCACAGCTGCAACTTCGATCGCCTCGCAGGGCGCCAATGCCATTCCACCGCCGTCGGCATCCAGCCTGGAGCGTTCCGGCACCAAGGGCAGGAGACTTTACGACCAAGGTCTCGATAGAAACTTTGGCGAGGGAAACTCCGCAATAAGCAGACTGAACTCTCTCCAGAAGCAACGGACCATGACCACTGGACGCGCGACTCCTCCGCTTACCCAAACAAGAAGTGCAACGAATCTTAGCGACCGCTTCAACCGTGGTAACCAATATCGTGCAGCCAGCCCACCGCCATCTGCGCCTTTGGCCAACATGGGAAGTTTCAAGGCAGCGATCGATGGTGATTCGCAGCAGTCAAGCCCGGTTGTCGCAACATCCTCTCCGACCAGCCCGTTCCCTCCCATCAGTCCTTTGGATGAGAATAACCCGCTCGCCTCGGCCATTCAGCCCGGAGACCGCGGCAAGGCGACTGCCATGGGCGCGTTCCAAAAGCCAGCACGGCAGTTCGATGAGACCCAGTATTTGCAACGGCAAAAGCAGATGCTGCAAGGTCGGGATACTCCGCCGCCGAGAAAACCTTCACGCTCGCCACAGAGAGCTGTTCAGGAGAGACTCAACAAATTCGAGATGAAGAGCAAGGAGCCGGAGGTGATACTCAAGCAACCTCCTGCGACGTCCAAGAACGTGTCGGACGCTCGGAAAAGACTCGACGCGCTTCGCACTGAGATCGCGGCTGATTTGGATGACCTCAGACCCTCATCCGATTCGGAAGACGAGCCTGAGAAGAAGGTCGAAGAACGTCCTGGCCGTAGCCGCTCTCGAACGAACTCCAGCAGCCTGGTGCCCTCACCTCCCAGGGTTCCAGCTTCGCCTGCGATGCCTACCGCTTTCCCCTCCCCCGTTTCGCCGCCAAAGCAGGCATTGCCTCCTACGCCGAACTCACCATCGAGGCAGAAGCCGGCTGCTAAGCCTGCTTCTCCACCCAGGAGAATCTCAGAGGACAGGATGCCTCCCGAGCCGGCGTCACCTGAACTGCCCGTGAAGAAATCAGCCTTCTCTGTTTTCCAGCGCGCGAAGCAGCAAATGCAAGCTAAGGCCAGCGATGAGCCTGCTCAGGAGAGCCCCGACAGGGGACAGATGACTTTCTTCTCCTCCCGCAACTCGAGCGACGATGAGGACGACGATGATGTACCCGAGGTCCAACCCCTACGATCTCCCGTAACTCGGACGGGGTCCAGGCCTGGGAGTAAGCCGCAAAGTCCTATTGCTTTCAGGAGCAATCAAGCTTCTTCTGCTAGCGTTTCACCGGCGCTTCGTTCGCCTCCGCCCGCGCATGAACATCCTGCGTTGCGTTCGTCTCCTAGTCTTGCGTCTCCCGCCTCGCGTGCCTCTGAGAACATGCTGCAAGCCCTCAACTCGCCGCGAGAATCAGAAGGCAAGTCGTCGGTCTCCACCATGGTCAAGTCCGACGCAACGGATCTCGACTCCCCGACTCTTGGTCCCGAAAACGGTGGGCTCAACGGCATGATTCGGCAGCACCTGCGAAACCAAAGCCAGCAAAGCGGCGTATCCTCGGAGTACGATAACGACAGGGAGGACTTTGACGACAACGACCACAGCAAATCTAGCCACTTGACGGCCGATTCTATGATTTCTGACACTCCCGGCCATTCTAGCTATAGCCACTCGAACCCTTGGGATCTGGAGGATTTGGATGGCAGTTACTATGGTGAGGCAGACAGTTTGAGCTCCGTCAGCCCCGTCGACGGGTCGAGATGTCAGACTCAACCGTTCCCCAGGCCCGGTCCCAGCGCGGTACCGCATCGCTCAGAGCCTCCAAAGGAAGAACAGTTGGACCGTGAACAAGTCGCGCCTTGGGAGCAGGAAATGAAATCCAAACACAGCAGGAATGTCAGCCATACCACTCTTGCGGAACGCGAGGCATTCCAGAAGGACCTCGAGGAAAGACAGAAGGCCATTCAGGAGGCTCTGAGGAGCAAAATGGACGAGAGCCGCTCTGGCAGCCCAACGCCGAGTATGGGTGGGGCAATGAAGGCATTCGGCATGCTTCGCAACAAGTCCAGCCGTGATACCCTCGCCGGTCGTCAGCCTGCAAGCTCCAAGGCAATCAACATGCTTGGAATGGGTGCGAACGCCAGCAGCGCTTCTCTCTCCCGGACAAGCGAGGATCATCTGAAGAGGCAACGGGAGAGACTAGCAAATAGCCCTATGCCTTCAGACGACGACTACCGCAAGGAGTTTGAGGATCGCCTGGCTCGTGGCGCTAGCGGCAATGATCACTCGAGCAAGAGCCGTTCTCCGTCGGCGAGCCGTGGAGAACGCAGCAGGTCGAACTCGACGATTTCTGCAGTGTCTGGTCGATCCCGGAGTCGTACTGGTCGGCGCGAGTCCTCGGACCAGACGCCTCCCCCTATTCCATCCCAGATGCCGAGGGGTGTTGTGCCTAGTCCTGATTCGCTGCCTTCCTCGTCGCCTGTCGTCGAGCCACCGCCGAATCCTCCGGCGCTACGCATGCGAAGCAGCAGCAGACCTTCCCCGTCTGGCTATTTCGATCAGAAGTCGCTGCACCCCATCCAGACTGGCCTAGCTAACGGTACGTCGCACATCGCACCTGCCTCGGCCGGAACCACGCCCCATGTTTCGCCTGGTTTCGCTCCAGGTCGCTCGCCCGTTGCTCCGGGAAGCAAGTCTGCGGGCCACAGCCCCGGTATCGCTCCAATGGCAGCGAAGGCCGCCACTTTCGCCGCGCACTCGAACCATTCCTCTCCGGCGATCGCCTCAGCGCCTCCGCCCCGTCGCATTGTTGGTGTTCCTCCGGAGCGCAAGAAGTCTATTGCCAAATCTCTCATTTCCGAGCCCTTGTTCGTTTCTTCGACTTCGGTGGTCGACACGATTGAGCTCCCGGCGGGTGCTTCCCTGAAGAATGGCATGGGCGAGGGAGCGCCTCCTTTGCCTCCGATTAACCCCATGCGCCGGCGTTTCGGCTTTGGTCGTTCCGACTCCTCCAGCACCACGACCTCGGATGGCAGGCCCAGCACCGAAGATGGAGACAGCAAAAGTCGCACGAGGATGCGGAAGAGTAGCAACCCGTCGCTCTTCCGTTCTTCGAACCACAGCAACGAGGATCCGCAACCCATGAGGCCGCCTCCGGTCGAAGAAGGCGCCATGTTCTAGAGAATGAGCCGATGCGCCACGTCCTGATCTGACACCGTCCTGTACCGTCAAACCGATGACTGACTACCTTCATCTTTTTTTTTCCCCTTCATTTTCATCGCCCAATGTTTCAAAGTTGAATCAGCTCTTTTGCCTTCACTTTTCGCAAAGCGTGTATTGCACGATACCTTTTCTTCGTCGTTCAAACCGCGAGATTGGTCCTTTTCAGCAGGATGGCCCTTCGCAGGGCTGCTTCGACACACTTCAACCTTCTCCCCTTCTGATACAATGTTCGTTATTCGCTTCTTCTTGTAGCCTCGGAGCTGCATAATACTCTGCGGCGCATCGTCCGGAGCTTATTGCTCGACTTTTAAAACACCTGACACGCGTCTATGCGGCGTTTTTTTTTTTCGAGAGAGAGGCGGGTGATCGGGAGGAGTCTGTTTTTTTATCGTATCGAATCGGGCGCCAGCAATGTCACATCGGCCATTGAGCGGACAAGATCTCACGGTCTTTTTCTTCATTGTCTCATGGTTTTTTCTTTTCCTCTCCTAATTGCCTTGCCTTTCTCCATGCAGATCATCTGGCGCAACTTGCACTTTTGCTGGCCATCAACGCTTAAGAGAGTGAGAAAAAAGATGGTTTTAAAACGTTTTGCGTTTTTTTGTTCGTTTCTGGTATTGCAAATCGGTGCGAAAAGATGATTTTTTGGGGCAAGCCTGATTCACCCCCCCGTTGTCCATTATAACTCTGTATTGTGTTTTGTCTCTTGTTTCTTGTTTTTTTTATCTCTGTGGTGTGTGGGTGGGTGGTAGCGCGGATGGGATGGGATGGTATACAAATCGGACAGTCCCCCCCCTGCCGACGGGGGGGGTTGGGAGGTGTTTTCTCTGCTTATTTCGGGACCGGAAGGAAAGGGTGAGGGGGCGGGGACGGAAACATTTTACATGGGTATGAATGGGGAAAGGAGGGGAAACTTTCGAATGGGAAGAGGAGGAATTATACGATAGGGAAGGGAAGAAAAGGAAAGGAAACGGCGGAGTTGGTTCTCTTCAGCTCTCTCTCTCTTTCTCTTTCTTTCTTGCTCTTTTTCCCTCGCTTCCTCCTCGAACAATCACATTTGTTCTCCTCCATGTTTGTGCTGATACACGGCAATGTGTGATGTCTTCCTGCCTGCCTGCAGTTTGTGCTGTGTCGCTCCATTATGACTTATGAGATTCGTTATTACGGTGATTTGGGCGGGATATGTTGAGGCTGGTTGGCTTTTTTTGCGGACGAAAGTTTGAACTCTTTGAGGCCGATGTCGTGAAATTGTAGAGTAGGGTGTAAGAGACTGATCTTTTCACGCCCCAGCAGGGTGCTACAGCGAAGTTCGATGCTGTACGAGCGCGGCGGAGCGACATCACCCTACCGGCGAAGGTGATCAGAGGACTATTGCAAAGACAGTCGATTGGTGTTCTGCAGTAACGATGAAGTCGCACTTCGCCCCCCTTTTCGGATAACGCGCTGGAAACCATCCCAGACAAAGGATACCGGCGGTATTGGCGCGTTTCGAAAATTTTCCAGACGTTCGACGCTGGACTTTTCTGTCCTTGGCTGGCGCGCGTTTCAGGAGGCGTGCGCCTTTCGGGTAGGCATCCAATGGCCGGTTCATCGGGTTGATCGTCGGCCATATACATGAGAGCGATCGATCGCCTTCGTGCAACCACGAGGCGACGGGAAATTCCTACTGCCTCATTTTCCTACTTACGCTTGACAGTCAGGAGTCGATGAGTATTTGTGCGAGGGTGAAAAAAGCGCATTCTGGTAAGTGTGTACTCGTTGCATCATCTCCTTTTGCTCGCATCTGACAGATCTAGCTGGACGAAGGCCATTCGTGGTGAGAGATGCACGACGACGCCGAGAGCGACCCGGCCCGAGCTGGACGACGAGGATTTGCTACAGACTGAAGGCAGGTTTCTTCGTTGATGTCTCCATCGTCGACCGGCCGCCGGGCACTCAGCGAGGTCGTCGCTCAGTCCCGACCCGAGGTTTCGGATCCGTTACGAGGGCTGGATGGAGTCGATGTCGAGTGGGCTTTCCTGGACTGTATGTCGATGTGCAGCCCACGGGATACGATTTGGCTTCTTTGACGGTCCTGGAGCAGGTTTTGTCACGTCCAGAGAATGCGGAAGCACTGATGGGTTGTCGTAGCTTGCAGCCTTGCGTCGTCTTCTGGAAATGGCCCTTGGTTGGTGCGTGGTTAACGCTCTGCCCCCGCTCATCATCTCGCAACCGGTATAGCCTTTGGGAGTCGAGTCACAATGGTAGCGTTGACGCTCTTCTGCGTAGCTGCATCCGTTACAAGGCGTGCCGGTGGATGTCTTTGGATCGACTGACCGTCGATGGCCACGAGAACCACGACGATGTTTACCAAGAAAACAGGCCGAAACTTCTCCCAGCAGTACTGGTGGCTCTGAACATTGAGCCAAGAAAACAACAATTGGACAGCTCTTTTATTGTTACCCCACGCTTTGCTCGTGTCCACGAGGTAGTACCGGCATCTTCAGCCAAGGAATATCTCAGACGAGTATGGGCGGCTGTGGGGAGGACGACCAACAGGGTAGAAGGAGTGACAGGCCAATCTTCGACGTGCTCGTTATCCCATAGGAAAAGGACACAAAGGCTACACGACACGAGAAAATCGGATCAAATACGTTATTGGCATCAAGCGCGACTTGTCGAGTTGAGGGACACTTGCATCTTGGGACTCGGACGCGACCAAAGTCAAACGCGACATCTCGTTCCACGTTCCATGGTTTAAGAGAGAGAGAGAGAGAGAGAGAGCATACAAGTCAAGCATTTACCAAAAGCCCCGCCCAAAAAAAAAAAAGAAAAAACTCCCCCATCATCCACAACACGCAGCCCAACGCACTCCGACCGAACCCACCACCTCAAGCGCCGCCGCCACCCCCAGCCTTCTTCGCCTCCTTCTCAACCTCCCCCTCAATCTCCGCCATCCTCCTCGCCGCCACCCTCGCCACCTCCCTCACTTCTCCCCCACACACCTCCCCCTCCGCCACAGCCTCAAACGCCCGCCTCCACCCCTCCCACCTCTCCTTTCCCCCCTGCTCTCCTTTAACGACAACCCACCCGTACACCTCCCTCCCCGCAATCATCACCCAGTCCGCCGCGACGGGGACGCGCCACTCGAGCGCTCGGCCGCGCGCCGCGAACGCGCGCGAGCGCGGGTCCGGGCGCGTGTGTTCGAGGGCGTGGGCGAGGGCGTAGACGCCTTCGGTGGGGGCGCGGTCGTCGAGGTGGGAGCGGGTGAGGCGGGCGGCGAGGGCGTGGAGGTTGCGGTGGGAGTGGCCGTTGGAGAGGAGGGCGTGGAGGGTGTTGTCGGCTTTTGGCTTGGTGGTGGGGGATGGGGGTGCTGGGGCTGGGGCTGCGTCGGTGGAAGGGGCGGCGGCGGCGGCGGCGGCGGCGGGGTCGTCGTCGGTGGCGAACATCGTGTCGAGGTTGTCGAGGGTGGGGCCGTCGTCTTCTTGTTGGTCTTGCTCGGCGGGGGGTGGGTCTGGGCTGGTTTCTGCGGTGGGGGGTCAGTAAATGGGATGCTCGGGAAGTGTCTTTGTCTGTTTTTCCCTTGGTTGGTGGTGGGTGGGGCTCACGGTGGAAGATGTCGGTCAGCTCGGCGTTGAGCTGGTCCAGGTCGGCAAACGGGTTCGGCTCGATGGGGGCATCGCGGAGGGCGGTGATGAGGTCGATGAGCTTCTCCTGCGAAGGGTGGTCGTGCGGGACTTGGGCGGCGACGCGGAAGACGATGTCCCACAGCTGCAGGATGCCGATTTCTGGCAGAAGCTCGTTGAGCTGCAGGGCAGCGGCCGAGGGCGAGGTCGGCGACTGCGGCTGCAGGTAGTCGTTGAGGACATCGAACGTCTTGTATTCGAAGGTCCAGGGGTCGTCGTCGAAGGGGACGGAGAAGTCGATGGTGAGGTCCAAGGATGACATGATGGATGGGTGGGAAGGTGGAAGACTCGAGTGAGGTAGCGGAAGCTTAGAGGGCGTGGCGGGAGCAAGGCGGATTTATAGGGCTGAGTGAGTGCTGTGACGTAGCTGTGGTTCGAAAGCGAAGCGTTGTGTTGGTCCCAGCAGTTGGCTGGGTGGGTGGCGCACTGGCCAGCCCGAGCATCTCAGCTGCCCCGATTTTCGCCGGCCCCCACCAAGGGGCTGTGATGCGGGGCTGCGCCTCCAGTACGTAGCACAGGGTTTGGGCTCATCATCTTATGGATCGCCCCTCGAAGCGTCCGCGGCTGGAGCCTGCCATCGACGTGGCACTTTCATGTCTACACGCTGGACCCTTTTTAGATCAATGTCGCTTTCGCCTGTTTATTATCTTGCGCTATCGGATTCAAATATACAGGACCGACTTTAGCTTCGCCGCACTTGCACAGTGGATGATGAAGAATCCCACATGGGTAGTGGGGTCTCCCATCCGGATGCACTTGCGCAGTTCGAACCTCGTGCATGTCTCGTTCAGATTTTAAGAGGCGCCAACTTCTTGTTATTGTGACTGTCATGCATGCATGCAAACAAAAGAGCGAGAGATCTAACAATCAAAAGAAACCCCCCCAATAAAACTCCAACACCCCACAACCAACTCCTCCACCCCTCACCAAGAAATCCTCATATCCGCCTCACTGGCAGAGAGCAAAGTTCCCCTTGTTGTCCTTCTCCGTGTGCGCCATGACGCCACAGAAGTCCTTGTGCGGGTACGTGAAGACGCCGCGCACGGGGCCGATCTTGGTCTTGTCGGCCGGCTTCTTCTGGTCGTACTCGAACAGGTGGCCGTCCTTGAAGACGGGGAACTCGAGCAGCGTGACGTCCTTGGCGTTGCAGTTCTTGTTCGGCCAGACGATGTTCTTCTTGTCGCCGTCGGCCAGGTTCTTGTACTCGTGCGGGTAGCCGCTCTTGGTGCCGCCCTTGGTCGCCGGCGCCGCGTGGATGTTGCCTTCGGCCTTGTTCTGGCTGATTTCGATGTTGCCGCCCGTGTTCTTGCAGACGAGCGTCTGTTGTGGGATTTGGTTAGCGCGAGTGGACTGGCTGCGGACGGGCTGCGGACGCCGAGCAGCGGGTGGTGTTCTTACCTTGTCGCGGACTTCGAGAGCGGGCGTCTCACTCTGGTTGAGGGCGTCGTTGAGGGGTGCTGCCGCTGCGCTGACGGCCAGGAGGAGGTAGCAAAGGCTCTGGAAGGCGTGCATTTTTGGGTTGTTGGTGTTTTGTGATGCGGTGGAAACTAAGGTACTTGGGAGAAGGAGGCGAAGATACTGTGTTGTCGAGTTGAATGAGTTTGATGCTGAGCGTCTGGTAGAAGACTGGCACCTCTTAAGTATCTCTCAAGGCATTCTTTCTTTAGAGTCTTTCTTGATCTGAGCCACATGGTGAGAGATCCAACTCGGAATGTTCGCAGGAACAGTGGGGCAGTTTCTTTTGGCTGATGTTGATTTTCTCGATCGGGAAAGTCGTGGACGTGATCCATGGAAGGTGTATCCTTCAGCCCCTTCAGCCCCTTCAGCCCCTTCAGCCATGTACCACGTAGGACAGTTACCGTAGGTCATGTATTACGTAGGACAGTTACCGTAGATCATGTACTACGTAGGACAGTTACCGTAGATAAATTCAACATGTATGCATACCATCGCACATCGATCCCGGCTTCTGGATTCTTTGACACTGAGCAGTCAAGGCGGCATCGGGGCGAGATTGGCATATACAGTTACCCGTATGAGTGCTTCAAGTGCCCATATCGAAGAGTGCACCATCTGTCGCAACTCAGCTGCTTTGCTTTGCGAGGCACGTGCGGCAGTAAGCTTACGCACAGGAATGTCAGCTCCCCTTGCGTCTGCCTGCAGCGCTGATCAACGATCGTCAGGCGTACAGGCCGTTCAAAACGGCCCCCATACCGACCCCGCCTCATCGCGCATGACATTCATTGCCTTTAACAGCGAACGTGGCTACCGAATACAGAAATAATAACACCAACAAGGCCACCACCCTGCAGCTGGATTTCATGGTCTGTGCACGTTCTAGTGGATGCTGCATCCGTTGGCTAGGGGCGGCTTCAATGGCGCAAGACGGGTGAGGCTGAAGATCGACAGGCTTACGAAGGAGCGACTACGTCTCTGCTGCCTTCGATTTTGCGTACCTGCCTGAGTTGTACCTTCCTGAACACGGTACATGGATGCAAGGCCAGGGGTGGCCGTTGGTTGTTCCCGCCGGGTATCCTCGGCGTGCGGAGGTTCTGATTGGCTAGTGCCCGCAGCGGGGGGGCTAGTCAATGGAACTGTTGCTGCATACACTGTGGCCGTGACCTAACAGAAATTGTCTAAACTTACGTGGCAATATGTCCGTATGTATCCTTGGGAGTACTCATCCCGTCTGCTGTTTTCGCTACTCCGAGACCCTCCAACAGTCCCGCCCCCCGCCAAGAACAAGGCAATGCCCATTAACATGCATCGCGACACGATTTGTCAAAAAGACGGCTGCGCCGGCAAGATCCTTGCTATTCCTCAGTCCTCGATCCGGATACGCCCGCATTAGCGCGCCCTCGTTGCCGTATTCCTCGATAAAGGGCCGCGAGCTAACGTGACGAACTAGAAGCCACGCGCGTTGCAGTTGGCAACGACGTGGCGCGGGTCCAAGTCGACGGCGGCGTAGGCGAAGCTACCCTGCGCGCCGATGTTGGCAAGGCCGATGCCGCCGATGGACGTAGTTGCGATGATGCGGGATGTGTCGAGCAGAAACCCAATTGGCAGCTGGAGTGATCCTGCTCACTTCTGGACGCCGAAAAACACCCTGTCCAAATTCAGCAAAATGCCTCGCGTCCGTCTCCTTGTCCGACGACGGTTGTACGGCTCCGGCGTCCGCCAGCAGGATGCCCGCGTGATTGGTGGTCATGCTTAGAGCGTCGATGAGCTGCTGCACGCCCTCGACGGTCGAAGTGTTGGCGTGGACGGGGATAGGATTAGCGCAGGCGTCTGGTCGTTTTGCGAGTAGTGCGTTCAGCAGCGGAGCACGCCTCGTCGCACGCACTTGCCGTGTGGGATGTGATGTACACCTGCTCAGTCTCTTACGTAGCACTTTGCCCACCATGGCGGCCACAACACTACTCGACTTCCAAGGTCGCGGCGTCGGACATGCTACAAGCCGGAGCGTCAAAGGTCTATATGCTTGCAACAGAGATATATTGACAAAGCTGAAATGTTATTAAGGTCCTCCGTCTTGAGTCCATCTGTGGAAGTGGTTGGTGATTAGACGTGTTACCCCCGGTCGGCGGTGTCACTTAGAGAGAACTGGATTTTGCGCGTGAGAGGCGAAAAAAAAAAAATGTAGAGATTACATGGAGAAATAGTTGCGACACAAGCCAACAGCCGACCGGCCGCAATGGACATCAAAAGAAAGCGGCAGCCACAACCTGGGTTTACAGACTGTAGTAGTTCTACCCTGCGCTCGGATGTGTCTCGGGCCAGGCCGGCAGTCAGCTTACCTTATTCGGCTAGCGTCGGCCCGACTTTCCGGATCCGGTCTCCGATATCAAAAAATTTCAACCTCACTCCGCCACCCCATACTAATTCTCACCACCACAGCACGACCGTCACCATGGCAAAAGATACGCATGACTCTCCGACGAGGAATCGAACCGAACTCTCGTTTTCAAAGGCAAAAAAGTATTTCTCTCCGACGGGGAATCTATTAATTATTAGTTTTTGCTTGCGGACAAGAATCGAACATGGAAGCTTACCGAACCCCGGTCTCCCGCGCTTGCTAGAGCAGATGCTTTGACAAGCGGAAATCATCACCACTAGACCATCGAAGACGAAGCTCCTTGAAGGAACTGATGGAGGCGCTATGGAGAAGAGCGCAGCAAAATAGGGTTATGTTGTGTAACACAGATCTTCTTGTGGAAGTGAGAGGAAGGAGCTTGAGCAACCGCGAGAAAGAATGTGTGAAACCCGGTCTCCCACTTTTGGACAAGCGACCGTGATGGATCTTCAATGACCCTACAAGCGCCTCTAACAGACCCCATTCCAGCCTAAAATCCAGAAAACAGCCCTTTAGATGACGTCGAGCATGAGCAGTGCTACTGACTTAGCTACCAAGAGCCTAGCCAGATACAACCTGCTGGTACATTTCACCACTTCAAGAGCATTTCACACAAAAGAGGCCACAACGAAGCCTCTATTATGCCGGCGAAAATCTTTTCGCTCGGGAACACGCATTGATGGCTCGATGATTCCAGAATCGGCGCGACATATTCAACTAGTAAAGCAAAGTACGTTTGCTCAGACATCGCTACGTATTGCCCACGACACCTTAAAGGGACGCTTTGTTTGGGACTAAACAGCTTGCACGCCTTACGGTAGCGCTGAAGCGTCGTAAGTCGTGCTCCTATTTCTTATCTGTCTCGTTCTCCAAACGACGATGGTACGTTGCTCGTGCAAATTTCAGCGTGTTTTTTCTTTTCTCTTTTCTCGGAGCCGTTGCAAAGATCGAAACCAGAAGTTCATAGACGCAGACTACATGACTTTTTCAATGTCTGCCTTCATGGATTTCCGGTGTTTCCTTCTCGCTGTCTTGCACCGAACCACCTACGGGCTTCATGCCTGCATCAACAACTTTCCGGTGCTCTGTTTGCTATCTTGTCCTAAGCCTGTGACAGTCTGCACGAACGAGATTCCGGCCTTTGATTTTGTAGTGTGTGTTGACGAGTGGAGTTCTTGGTTCTTTGCGTTGAAGAGGCTGCGCCGGACCGGGGTTTATCCGGCAGGTGGCGTTAGCGCGCTCGCTTAGGTTCGCGCGGGCTAACAACACCGGCGCACGCAAGTTTCTTAACACTCTTCAACCACGACACTCGACAATCCCGCGACCTGTTGCCCGCGCTCTCGACGACAAAATGGCCCCCCGCAAGAGCAAGAAGTCTAACGACACCCTGGCGTCTCGCCTGGCCCTCGTCATGAAGTCGGGCAAGGGTGCGTCCCGACTCCGGTCGCGTTTCCCGGTCGCGAAAACCCACTGACAGGCCCGCGCAGTCACCCTCGGCTACAAGTCTTCCATGAAGGCTCTCCGCATGGGCAAGGCGAAGCTCGTGCTCATCGCCGGCAACACCCCGCCCCTCCGCAAGTCGGAGCTCGAGTGTACGTGTTTCCCGATCCCACTCACCGAAAGCCTCCGGCCCTGACTCTCGCTCCAGACTACGCCATGCTGGCCAAGACCAACGTCCACCACTTCAGCGGCAACAACGTACGTTCCACCCATCCACACATGTCTTGCGCGGTTTCCCATGCATCACCTCGGCCATTTCCATGAACATGGGCATTGGGTGCACAACCCTTTGCCCGCCTTGAGAAGAAGCTGCGCATGAACCAGCTTCGGAGGGCAATCAGGTGCTAATAAATTAACAACAGATCGAGTTGGGAACTGCGTGCGGAAAGCTGTTCAGGTGCTCCACCCTCGTCGTGCTCGATGCCGGTGATTCGGACATCCTGGCCGAGCAGTCCGCTTAAATAATCGCTTCCCTTTGTCATCGACATACCATGGCTGAGATGAAAAATAAAAGCAACAATGATTATTTGAGTCTGTCTGTTCCGAAGTATGCGTCGTGAAGACATGAATGTTTTGAACAGCATGCTTTGCTCTCTGCGCAAAGAGTTGAAACCAGCATCACTCCAGTTCAATCGAGTACATGTCATGGTGCGACTGCTCCACTGAGTTTATATCCCCACGGAGCTGCCGGGGACGATGACGTAGGTGAGGCAACTACAGTGGTGCTGTGATCCTTCGAATCCGTATGCCTTCACCCATTCGCGCTCCGCCGACGGCAGCAGGCCACTTCGCATGGAGCCAGGAATTCCCCCAGCAGTACTCACAAGCCTCCCGAGAAGAGAAGACTCATCTCCGCTGCTCGAAACTCGAAATCCCTACCGATCCCGCAACCAGCACCGTCCCGAAGCCCCTGCCACCGTCCTCCACCAGCGCCAGCACAGAAACACAACCCAGCTGGCACCATACCCGTCCGTTTGCGAACCGGGATATATGTCCCACCACTTCCTCGCATTCTCGCAGTTTGGTGCTGAGGGAGGCTCATAAGCGGCGGTCGACCGTGGCTGGACGTGACCGATTTACGCCAGACGCCTTTCAGCCGGAACTCGGTGCCATGTGGCGTCAAGCGGCTGGTGGATGTACGGAAACGAAGACGGGAAGATGGGGCTGGAGGGGTGTCTTCTCCCACAGGCTCCCGCGCAACGCCGCAGAGGTCGGTGTCTCGTGCAAAACCCCCCCCAAAAAAAAAAAAAAAACAGAAGCACGTCGCTGAGGCTGGAGAGGGTGAGAAGGACTACGCACCATCAAGGCCACGTAGTCCGACGTCTCCGGGAAATATTCCCATGTCGCCACAGACTCCAGTGTCTTCTACCGGACAAAGGATGCGTTTCGCTGAGCCTGAAGAGGAACTGAAGGAAGGTTGCCTGGAATGTCGCCCCTCTCTCACTCACTTACTAGTAGGAGACCCGAACCCCCCTACGTGGTCGAGACGTGCTCTTGAGTAGTGAACCAAGTAGCTGCAATGTTCAAGTACGACTTGCGACATATCGTTGGGGGAACAAGCGTCGATGACAAACCGAGACACCCACGCCATCTGCATACCCAGAAAAGTGATTCAGATTGCACCAAGTCCTCCTATGTCGCGAGGCCTGTTCCAGCAGGCGATGACTCTACAGCCCTTCGATCTCGACTTAACACGTTCAACCAAATCGCTGCCCGCGCCCGAACGGAATATACGCATCAGCTGACCACCAACGCAGTGGCTAGCGCGCCAGCCAAATCCTACGCGAGGGCGGGGACCAGCCAGCCAGTTGCACAAAGCCTGACCCGGACCGCACCCGTCACATGTGCCAGACGGGGCTACCTAGGTAGTCCGTGAGCGCGCCCGATCGCGCGCGAAGGCTGGGGAAGTGGCAGGCATGGGCGCGATACGATACCTACCAAGCCACCGATAGAGCGCCGACATGAAAGAAGAAAAGAAGGGAGAGAAAAAAAAAAGTGCATCCTTTCTTACTGACGACGGCGACACGATCATGGCAAACACACGCGGACACGCTGTGCGACGTGCACGGCGAGCGACGCGCCGCGCCGCGGTGCTGTGCCGCAAAAGATAAGAAGCGCACGCACGCACGCACGCACGAGCTGCTGCAGGTGCCTTGTTTTGGGAGGGGGCGTTCGGGGTGCCATGTTCGAACGTCTGTGGGCATGTGTACGTGCATGAGACAGGGGGGGTCTCTGCGGAAGCGAGAGCGGGAGCGGGAGGGCGGCCGCGGGCGGGCGGGGTGTGCGAGGCGAGATTGGGGAAAGGGCGGAGGATGTGTGTGTGTGTGGGTGTGTGTGTTTTGTGAGGCGTTGAGCGCGGCTGGATCAAGGCGCCAACAACAACGTTCGGCTGCCGTCAGCAACAAGTCAGCCAATCCGGATTCGGTAAGATGCCTGATGACTAAGGCGGACATCCCTGTGCCACCTGCCCGGCGGGGTTGCCGTTCGGTGCGTCTCTTTGGGTTGCGTGGACCTTGGCTCTGCTCCTCTTTTGTTATTGAGATATCCCATCGGACAGAACCAAAGGATCCTGGAGAACATCTTCGTGGTACTGGCTACTTTATTTCGACTCACCGCTTCATGGGCGGAACTTTCCCGAAAACACTTCAGACTATGCTACATTTAAAGTGTACCAGCCCTTTCAAACAGATCTTCACTGCTGCTGATCATCATCGACTGTTTCGCTGCTAGTACTCATGTGCAATATATATTATTGAATAACATTCGTTCAAAACAACGCTGATCGTTAATTACTTCCCATTTAAAAGCACTACCACAGCCTAGCTACCGCTTAAAGTAGAATAAACAATCATTGGGTGACAGTAATCCAGGCTACACAATTCGGACGGTCTAAAACAGTAGCCACACTATCCTCCGTTTCGCATTGGGAATTGTTGCACACATTTCTCTGTCCGTAGGTGCCGATATTCCCGTTGCTTTGTTTAAACCTCGGATTATTCATGTGCCTGGGCAACCGACGTTGACAAGGCATGATACACCTGACAGACATGTCGCCTGACCCCTGCAGGCATATCCGCGCACAGTCTGAGCGCTCATATGATCTGGGTTGACCCTTGCCCTTGGAACCACTTAAGAAAGAGCTCCCGTACGCCCTCAGTCTTGGGAACTAAGGCTCTAGATAAGTCGTTCGGACGATTTAGCGATACCGTCTAAGAGCAATAACTCTCTCTCTCCGGCTGGCCAAGGCTCACACGTAAGGTTACGTAGGTCCCGACCTGGCTGACTGGAACATGCTGACGATTAGCTTCTGTAACTGGTGGGATTCACCACCCTTAATATCTACGGGTCATCAGCATTTACGAGGTATGATAGATTGCGTGGCCTAGCCTTTTCAGCGGCGGCAACATATCCGGCCCAGTGGGAGCACACGACAGTTGTGGGTGCAAGCAAAAAGAAAACCAGACAGTTTCTGGCTGCCTTTTACCAAGGTTTTAGAAGAAAAAGGGAAACTCTACCTTTTTTTTTTTCATTTTGGTAAAAGCGCGATATGGGGGCTTTGGAATAGTCTTTTAAGTAAAGTCAGCCTGGTGCATGAGCCGGGGCACGCCTGCGCAGGACCGGAAGCATGCCAAGTAACCGCGCTCCTGATGCGACTTGAGCCTCCCCCGTGATGTGTCACTCTTAACGCCATGTATCGTCATATCAATACTTGATCCTCACTTTATGGAGCTCATAGCATGAACCGAGGCCGGGTTCGTGTTGGAGTCACGCCTAATTGACATACTACATTCACTTACCAGTCCAATCTGACTTTCCAGCTTTCACTTTCTCGTAAGCCTTACCAAGGTAGCCAGATACCCAGCATTGCCTTTAGTACGCCCACTACCATCACGACATACGTCAGTTACGTGTTGATTTCAGACGCTGAAGCTCATCATCATCAACACATGATCACGGACAACCTCAAAGTAGACTGTTAAAGCCGACGGAAAAATCTTCAAACAGTCAAAGGGCGGATCGCCCACGACGATAGAATCACCAAAGACGACTTCCTCCGCGCAGTCGAACGCGTGCTTCGTATGCGGAAGAAAAGGGCCGAAAGAAGACAGAAAATCACCGTTGCCATTCCGCAAGAAAGAGTAGAGATCCCACCCACAAATATATAGCACACACCTCCACCCCCACCCACACACTCCCTCCCTCCCTAAGCCCCCACCGCGCCCTCAAAATCCCCCAAAAACGCCCACCGCCCCCTCGTCGCCAGCCCCGCCTCCCTCCAGCCATCCAGCGTCCCCTGCGGCCAAACCCACTTCTTATTCTTCCTCCCCGCCTCCGCCTCCGCCTTCGCCTCCCCCGCCTCCGCCTCCCCCTCTTTTCCGTTTCCGTTTCCGTTTCCGTCTTCGTCATCATACAACAAACGCAGCAAGCTCTCGTCGTGCGCGTTGACGACCAACACCCTCTCGTCGGCGTCGAACTCCTCGAGGCCGTCGATGCTCCAGAGGCAGTCGTCGAAGTTGTGGGGGAGGGTGCGGGAGGGGCGGTAGAAAGGGGTGGTGGCGGCGGCGGCGGCGGGTTTTTCGGTGGTGGCGGCGGCGGGGTGGATGGGGGTGAAGAGGCAGCCGGGGCAGGAGAGGGCGCCGTGGTGGTGGTGACGAGACTGAGGGGGGAAGGGGGAGGGGGTGATGGTGGTGGGGAGGGGGAGGTAGGGGGAGGGGCGGAACTGGGCGGGGTGGTGGGCGCAGTCCTGTGGGGTGGGTGGGAGATGTCAGCCTGGGACACGTTTGTTGTTGGCCGAGAGGGGAGGGGCGGACGAAGGAGAGGGGAGAGAAAAGCACATAGGGAGGAGAGAAAGAGAGAGGGAAAGAAATAAAAAGAAACCACACCACTCACCCCACCCATAAACACAAACGCCTCCTCCCCAGCCGCCGCCCCCGCCCTCACCCTCGCCAACCCACACAAATGCCCCACCGCATGCCCCGGCGTATCCAACAAATAAAAACTCCCATCCCCCCACCAATCCCTCGCCCTAAACCTCCCGATCCTGCCTGCCCCTTCAAACCGCACCTCCACCAACTCCCTCCCCTCCCACTCCACCCCCTTCACCGGCGCCTCCTCCACGCGCGGCCACCCCTCCCCAAACGCTTCCCTAAACCCGGGCCCGACGACCAGCTTCGTCTTCTCCGCAGGAAACCTCGTCACGTCGCCCGTGTGGTCGAAATGCGCGTGGCTCCACACCACGGCCTCGACTTCCCCCGCCGCCACGTCCACGCCCGCCGCCTCCAAAACATCAACGACGTCCCTCGGCCGCGCCGCGACTTCGCCTTGCCTTTCCCCCCGCTCCCCGCTGACCTCCCCGGCGGCGGCCGAAGCAGATGCGGATGCGACCGAATCTGTCTCCACCCACCTCACCCAAAACTCGCTCGCCGGATCGTCGACGAGGCGCTGCACGGCGGGGGCGAAGCCGGAGGTGTGGTCCTTGCGGACGGAGAGGTCGAAGAGGAGCTTGGCGCCGGAGCTCTGGTGAGTCACCAGGAAGGCGTAGGCGGGGCCGGTGACGCGGGCCTTTGGCGGGGAGATGGGGGGGTGCAGGAAGTGGGCGGCGGGGAGGGAGAGGCGGACGCCGCTGTTTTTTTTAAGGTTTTTTTTTCCAGCTTGATGGGGGGAGAAAAAGAAATGTAGGTGAGGGGAGGGGGGGATTGAGGAAGGTGATGGGTGTACTTACGTGTCGATGACGGAGACGGAGACGGTGGAGGTGGAGGGCGGGATGTTGAGGTTTGGCGGGGCTTGGGGCGGGGCGAGGAATTCTCCTTCGCCGTCGACGGCTTCGTTGGCTCTGGTCATCTTGGTTGCGTGGTTCAGCGTGGATGAGGTGTGTGCCTGCTCTCTCTGCTTGGGGTGTAGCTCTGGCAATGGGATTGGAAGGGCAGTGCGAATAAATGGTGCTGATGGCGGGTGAGCGTCATGGAAGCGGCGCGGTGGAGAGATTATATAGTAATCAGTCTGTGTGTATTACAAGAAGTCTCACCGGCTTCCGTTAAAGGCATACGACCCGGAACCTTTACTACCTGAACGGGCACTTTCCACTCTGGGTAATGCATCCGTCGGATCAACAAACCCTCCGAGATGGAATCCATCACATGTGCGACATCGGCAGAATGATGGCGGGCGGACTTCCGTTTTGTGAGACGCAGCCTTCAGCTGAGTTTAGTCAGCAAACACCCGCCTCTACCCATCAGACCAGCCCAACGTGCGGCATTGACGGAAACATACGGCGAGAGTAAGGTCAAGGAAAAGTCATGTTCCACGTCGGTGACCACGATGCGCAAATTGTTCGCCGACGAAGTAATCCTGTGTTTCGTACATTGACGCATTAACCATGATGTCGTCCCGACAATATCCATGTTCGGCAATCGGCCGGCAACAAGACGCCATGCGCCCCGGAAAGAATAACAAAAGAGGAAACCCAATGAGTGCATAGCAGGTATCATCAACGTCATGAATAACGGAAGGGCGGGCAAGCGACACTTACGCCGCCTGTTGCCGAATCTCTTCCTCATCCTTTTGGCTCAGCGCGCCCCTCTCAGGCATTGCCGTCGCCTTGACCTCCCTCTCGTCCAAAACGTCATCATCCCCTTTTCCCCTCTTCGCACGTTTCTCATGCATAAGCGCGCGGTCCACCCATCCATCGCCGCGTAGCATGCTTAGCCCTTTTCTCACAACGCCGCCATTCACCGACTTGGGGTCCATCTGATACATGGTGTTGATGACGGCCAAGCTCGCGACGAAGAGCAGCACATCCCCATTCTTGATGCCTCGCCACCAGCCACGCTTGACGCCGACCTTCCAAAAACTGTCGACGCTCAAGCGGAACGAGTACAGGAAAGTGGTGCGGCCGTTGTGACGTTCCAAGAAAGCCCACAGCCCGCCCAGGAAACCGGCGAGGAAGAAGCGCTGGGTGGGCAGGAAGTTCCGTGGCATGTACTGCTGAAAGAGGCAGATGCTCGCCCAGCTGGAGCCGATGGCGCCGGTGACGAACAGAGACATGCGGAGGATGGACTTCGCAAGGCGGTTGAGGGCGGCAAAGGGAGCATCGATGAAGGCCTTGTATCTGGCCAGCGAAAGGACACCGAAGATGACGGTGAAGAAACGAGCAAGAGCAGGGAAGGCTTGAATGAAATAGGAAATGTATGTTCGGGCGCACGACGGGTCGTGTGGGTGGAGGAGAGCGCAAGAGAGATTCTTGATTGCAGGGTGAGCGGGCGAGGTGATGGGAGCTATGGCGGTCAAAGTCCGGGGCAGAGTTGGCTTGTTGGGGAACATGATGGGTGAAACGAACAGACTACGGGCATGTCAGCTAGTGGGGCGTACCATGGTCGAGGCGACTTACGGCCAGCGCTGGCGGGAAATTTCGGCAAGGCTGTCAACCACTGCATATGTGTCTGGCCATGGAGCTTGCCCCGTGTAATGGGACGGCCTGGGCTGGATATACTGAGGCGAGTTCTTCAGTATGAAGCGGCCGTAGGCGTCGGGGAAGCAGTCCCGGTCGAAGGCAAATGCATGCAGCAGTTGGCCGCAGGCCACGGGGTACAGCAACCACGAGCCAAACCACCACGGACGATTCTTGAACAGCCCCTTGTCCTCCAAGGCATTGTATACGAACTCCAGCGAGCGTGTGAAGGCGTAGATGGCAACAGTGATTCTGAGCTGATCTGCGGGGCACAGGCCGAGCCAGAAGCCCGACAGGCTTGCGCCAATGGCGGGAGCGAGTCGCGAGGTGAGGACCTTTGTGACGCGAGGGTTGCGGCGGCGGAATGGCTTGGCGTTGTTTGCGAGGATGCTGTCCCGCAGGCGGAGGAAGAAGCGATGGAGGATGCGATGGAAGAAGAAGATCAGGGCGAGGGAGCTGGAGAGGCGGACGTTTCGCGACTTCCAGAAAGGCAATTTTGCACTGCAGCAGCATACGAGTTAGAGCAGGACATGGACGCAGTCGGTCGCGGACGCTCACCGTACGGGCCTGCGGGCAGAGAGCAGGCGGGCGGAGACGAGGTCCCAAAGCTTCAGCGCGGCCAAGGAAGACAAGGCGAGGCGCAGCGAAGCGCGGACGGCAGCAGCATTGTAGTCATCGGTGGCTTTGACAATGGCGTCGTAGCGGCGGGGTGGAGGAGCTCTTTGGCGGGCAGCAGGAGGAGCGCGGGAGATCAGATACTGATGCAGGAGCTTGTACTCGCGGGCGCTGAGGGTGTAGCGGAGAGCGTTGCGCATAACCGGATCGAGCTTGTCGGGCTTCCCGGAGGAGGATGCGGACGAGGAGGATGAGGGTTGCGAGCTCATGATGGCAGCAGTCGCATGGCAAAGGCTCTCGCGACGACAGGAGAAATGGTGGTCGAAGAGGGTGCTCTGGCGGGAGCTGTCTGTCGAGGCACACGAGTGGCAGTGGTGACCTCGGCTCTTGCCTGAAGCGGCAGCCAAGCGCTTGTGACGCGCCGCTCCTCATCACACTCGCCGGCCGAACGCCTCCCCCAGCTTTCTGCCCCGCGTCCCATCGCATCCAGCAGTGGCGTGCAATCTCCGGGGCGGAACTGGACGAGGTGCGACCAGCACCGCTGGGTTACATCACGTGCGGAGTGCGGAGTGGAAGAAGCACAGATTAGATAAGGCTGGCAAAGCGGTGACAGTCCCTCTGCTTCAGCCACCAACACCTTCGGCCGCGACTCGGCGCGCACAGTTCAGCAAGAAGAGAGAGAAGAGAGGTTGCACGACAGCGCAGCCCCGATGGCGCCCTCGCTTAGGTACAGTCATGGACGCCACTGGCACTGGGGCTGGCTGCGGCTCCCAGCGAAAGAAGCCACTAGCCAAGACCACCCAAGCTCGCCGTCTTCAATCTTTGTTCTTGCACAGCCCAGGTGTTGTGGAGCAGCACCGGCTAATTCCACAGCCCCAAGGAAGCCAGCCATGACGTTGCCATGCCATTCACGCCCTTCGACGCCCTCACCGCCCGCGCTGCGGCTCCCGGCTTGACCACGCAAAGGGCGATCTGCAGCCCGAGCCGCCGCGTTTCCATGAATACGGCCCCCGGCCGCCAGCGCAGCCGCTGATTGGGTCGAGGTGCCTGGATTTGGGGGCTGCACTCCAGGAGGCATCGCCGCCTTGGGGGCCAACTACCCAACCCGGCATCGTCGCTGCAGCCTGCCCCAGCTGTACTGCCTGGAATCGCCCCGTTGCCCCTAGCACGCTGCCCATCCCGTAGACAAGACTTGTGCGCCCTTTGTCTATATAACTTTCCAGCCGCCCGTCACTTGTCCTACCGCAGCAGCCTCCACAGCACTCTCGTAATCCTCTGGCCCCCACCGCCCATCATCCACCATTCCAAACGAGCTAGCCGTGCGCCGCATCCTACAAGCTTATCCTAGCGTCATCATGGAGAAGCAGCAGCAGCAGACCGGAGGTATGTCGTCTCCGTCCCCCTCCGCTCTTCCTCCCCAACAGCCTTCCCCAATTGAACTGCACCTGCACCACCATGGCCATGGATACCGCTGCCCCGCCATACGAGGCCGAGAAGCCAAAGACACCGCCCGCGTCCGGCGAGGAGCCCAAGCCAAGCGTTGCGCCCGCTGAGCCAGCAGAAGAGAAAATTCCCGTGGACGTGGTACCAGACCGGCCAGCCGCCGTGCCTGCGCCTTTGTCCGACGAGAAAATGCCCGTCGAACCGCAGCTTGCGCCCTACCCCTCGTCGCCCGCCGTGTCTCCAGCCTCGTCGCCATACCTCACCTCCGCCACCACTCCGCCGCCGCCACTGAGCGTCTTTTCTTCCCCAGACACTGACAGGCCGTCATCAGTCGCCATGAGCAACTACCCCAACGACCCTTCGCAGCAGCCTGCCGCACCCGTGTACCCCGACCACACCGGTTCTACCAGCCCCCACCAGCAATACACCATCCAGCCCGACCACGCCTACCAGCAGCCGCCCTACGACCAGAACCAGTACTACGCTCAGCAGCAACACCAGCAGCAGCCCCAGCAGCCGCCGCTGCAGCATCAGCCCGCGGGCTCCCAGCAGTACCGCACCGCAACTCCTCTTGCCAACCTGGCCCGCTCCTCGGCACCCGTCGACTGCCCTGCCTGCGCCAACCGCGCCCTGACTGTGACAAACTACCAGACTGGCAACACCACTCAGTAAGCCACCATCCATTTCACCCCTACCAAGAAGAAAAAACTAACATCTTCTCTCTCCACAGCGCCTGGGCCTTCGGCGTCTGCATCTGCCTCTGCCTCGGCTGCATCCCCTACCTGATCAGCGGCACCAAGGACGTCCAGCACAAGTGCGGCAAGTGCGGCGTCCTCCTCGCCACCTGGCACCGCTCCGGCGGCACCGAGGTGCACATGCACGCATAAAAAGCCGCTGCCCTTCCCCCTTCGCCATGCCCGGGAAAACGACATCTCAACATCTACTCGGCGCGGCCATGAGTCGAGAGCTCTTTGGATTATTCCCCCTACCTTTTGTTTTTGATTTTTCTCCTTCATGATACCTCTCTGTACAGCTTCCATCTCTCTTTTTCCATCAACGCAACTGGAAGAGCGGGCGGTGGCTGGAGTTCGAAACGCGAAATGGCGGAGCTGTGCGCGCGTGTTGATTTTTTGTAATGGTAGATTCTTCTTTCACGTACCATGTGCGATGACTGTAATGTAGAATCCAGAGACCAAAATCTCTTCCAACTACTACTTTGAAAGACCCCCCGTTTCTTCATACCCACGTAGTACTGCTTCTTCTACCACGCGTCACCGGAACCGTCGCACCACCGAACGGCGTCTCGTCAACGCAAAAAAGAAAACAAACCTCGTTCATCCCACGAAACCGAATCCCTGCAAAACCCTCTCCACGAACCTAGCTTTTCCGTCCCCATTTTTTTTTTAAATTTGTTTCAGATGACATCCTTCCAACAGGAACGAACCACCACTAAATATAGTAACCGCCCCGCCACAAGTAGTATTTACTGACGAACCACGGGAACTACGTCAGCGCTTGTTATTGGCCCGACCGCGCTGGGTACCCTACCGTACCTACCTAGGTACGTGTCGCCGTCTGCGGTTGCACTACTTGGGCTTGCGCCACGCTACGACGACGCGCTAATATCAATCAGGAGGAAAGACAGGAAGGGAGGGAGGGAGGGAGGGTACGGCACGTGCCGGTACGCATGTGAAAGACGTGTGGCCGTTGCTGCTGCTGCTGCACGTGCTGGGGCGTTGTCATGCGGAGGTTTGTTGGTGCTGGCTGGTTGGAAAGAGGGAGGATCAGGGCACGTGGGTGAGGGTTGGGCGAGGAGGGGGGTTTAAAAGGGTGCCGGTGGCTGGCTGGCTACATGTGTTTCTTGACGTGGAGCATGCGGATGCGTGCTGGGGAGTTGCAGAGAATGGGACCTGCAATATGGATCTGAAAAGCACACTTTCTTTTTCTCCGCTCTTGCGTGTTATTGGCGGATATCATTGCCTCCGCCGTACTATCTCGTACTCTGCAATAATAATGGCGGAAACCCGAGCCTCAGGAAGGGACAATGGAAGGCTGCGTCGTTGTTACCGAATCCGGCGATGCAGCTTTGTCGCATGCTGATGAAGATCTGCAGCCAAGGAAAATGCGTTTCGATGCTCCAATGTGATGGTCAATTGGCAGTAGCCGCGAAGTCCGCTTTGCAAAGGGCGGACAAACGGACAAGGCAAGAGGAGGGAAGCGAGAAAGTCGACCGTCCAGTACATCCTGAATGCAGGTTTAGTAATGTTACTGCCCCCAATTCTTGGATAGTAGCGTTTCTCAGAGACCAGCAACGTCCTTTTCATATAGACCCTGCAAAGATACCCCCATGCCGCTTCCTCGGCTGATGCAACGCACATACCGGCGCCGCCGACCCGGTGCCTCAGAACGCCCGCATGTCATTTGCACAAAACGTTCACGCAGGTGCGTGATCCTGACCAAGACGCGGAAAAGCGGCCAGATCTGCGGTGGCCCGAAGACCGACCATCGGTGAGCCCGTCAGTCAACATAAACTGGGAGACGCCTCCGAGACTCTCCTGCCAGCAGAACAAGCGCCGAAAGGATTACCTGAGCTTTCGGCAAAGTGTGGGATGAGCGACTTCGGGTCCGGTAGGCTGAACAGGTATTACAGTACCATGACCCGAGACGTGCAGAGATATCGTGGTGCAGGACATGCCCAGGTATCATGGTGGTTTAATATCGACTGGCAGCATTGAGCAATGATTGTGAAGAGCATAAAGTGTTCATGATGGCTTCAAGTAAAGATGGCATTTGAGCGAACTGATGCGTTGGCGGCTTGAGATCGAAGATAAGCTTCTGATCTGCGTTCGATTTCTCCCCGAAAGGGCGAGTTCGACAGCGTGCTTTAATTCCAATCTTTATTCGAGCAAAGTTGATTCCCATAGGTTGCTGGAAGGCAAGCTTCCGCTTTAAAACACTGCCCGCCACCTGTCCCTGGACCACTCACGAGCGCCGCCTCAACTGGATCCCGTGCCGTAGCAACACCAGCTAGTCGCTGCGAAAGATGCATGTGAGATCCAATGCAGGGTCGTTCCGCGCGCTCACCCAATGCGTAGGGGGGCTTCGCTCGTTTGGCGTCTGCGCCTGCTTGCTGTCACTCACATGATACGCCCGGGGCCAATTCAAAAGCAGACGGTGTCCATGGTCCTTCTCTCACTTCTACTGAGCCATTCTCGAGTTCTGTGGCTTCGATGACTGAAAAAGTCGAGAAAAAGTCACTTGCCAGTTTCTTTTCTTTGGGAATGACTGTCTTTGGGCTCAGCGAGTAGACGCATCCGACAGATCTTGCTCAGTGAAGATAGACGCCAACCTTCATCATTTACTACTAGTGATGGGGAGCAAATCTTCAATCTCGAGTTCATGTGGACAAGCCATTTACGGAAATGCAATTTTCGAGAAGTGCGATGTGAGATCGGGAAATGCGCCTTCTTTGCGGCGTGAACCACGACGAGTCAAGGGCGGTAATTTTCGCGGTTCATTCTGCAGAGCTACGTGCGTAAATATGGACAGACTAACTTGGTCTGGTGATCGGCACTGCAGTCACTGGGCGTTGCAGATATTGGTCTGAATACATAAAATTAGACGTGCCGCGGAGCATCTTGACTCTCGGCTGCAAGACAGTGATAATGGCTCTAAAGCTGGCAAGGAAAATGAGCCGAAGGGAACCCATACAAGTTGATGAATTACTTTCCTTGCTGCTGTGGCGGCAGTGACTTACCAGAACCATTCCGATGATCATGACCGAATGTGATACATACACCATCAATTGTTACTAATGAATATAGAACTCGGAAGTAAATGAAGACCGGCATTAAAGAGTCTCCGCGTTGCAGATTGAGAATATTTTGGATTCATCAGTCCTGAATCCGTACGTTCAACAAGTGGTGATGATCCTTGTCTGCATATGCAGGGAGTGGGCATGTTTGCATCGTCTTTAGTGAGCGGACAGGCCAAAAGCTGAAGTGGGTGAAACTGCAACAGGCGATAAAGAAACATGCACTTTGCGAAATATGCGGCACGAACCAGTAATAGGTATGCCGTCGCCCGCTTACATGCATATGACATGTAGCGGGGTACATGCAGGGCATGCCGAGTTTGCCCAATCGACATGCGCCATGACTTAATACATCACTGCTCATGCGTTGACACGTAGGACAACAGAGAGTGAAGAGGAGCAACAGCCAGCTCAAAAGTTTGCAACAATCGCACGTTCCCCTCAGGCTCGACAAGATTGCTTGTGGCTTTGAGCATGGCGACAGTTTCCCAACCCAGACCCAACGAAATATACGAGCTGGATCCAAAAGGAGATGTTATTCTACTATTGGCAGTCCCGCACCATGCATCAGGAGACTCAGAGCCAGAGATCCCCCAAGAGGAAGAGAAATCCGCAGAAGCAGTAGCAGTCGAAGCAGCTGAAAAAGCCGCAGCCCCGTCCTCCGACTTTTACACCCCTGTTCCGGAGTCTGACCAAACGTCAACCGAAGCAGCCCCAGAATGGCCTGCAGCCGAAGAGTCTGCTCCTCCGTCATCCATCGATGAGTATCCCGAGGAATACGAAAAACTGGACGACCCACCTCCACCTGAACCGGAGCCCGAATATCAGTATTCCGAGCCATACGAGCCATCGACCGACGCCCCTCCACCCGACGAGCAGATTCCAGACATCCCGCTACCCACGGAGCAGATGCCCAGCGACGAGCATCCCTCGCCATACTCGCAACCGCCGTCCCCCCCTCCCCCCGACCAGCCCATCCCAGAGGCCCCGCCGCCACCATCCGCAAAAGAGCCCTCGCAAGGCCCACCCTCCCCCACCAACACCCTCCGCATCCTCGCCTCATCCAGCATCCTCCGCCTCGCCTCCCCGCACTTCGCCCACCTCCTCTCCTCCACCACAACCAGCCCGCAAGACTCCTCCCCGGCCCCCGCTGAGCTCGACTTCACCGCGCTCCCCTCCCCCTCCGCGCTCCTCACGCTCCTCCACATCTTCCACTTCCGCACGCGCGCCGTACCGCGCGCCGTGTCCCTCGAGCAGCTCGCGCAGATCGCACAGCTCGTCGCTGAGCTCGGCTGCCACGACGCCGTGTCGCGCTTCGCCGACGACTGGATCCGCAGGCTGCAGGACACGCTGCCGACGGAGGTTGATGGCTTCGGCGCCCCAGCCCGCCGCTGGATGAGCGTGGCGTGGGTGTTTCGGCGCGAGCGCGAGTGGCGGGTCGCGACGCGCGTGGCGCAGCGGTGCGCGCGTAGGCCGCTGGGCGAGGGCGAGTGCGTGGCGGTGCCGAAGAGTGAGATCGGTATGTACGCCTCTTTCTTTTTCTTCCTTCTTTTCTTTCTCTTCTTTCCTTCTCTTCCTCCCTCCCTCCCATCCTCTCCGTCTCCTCTCCCGTCTCCTCTCCCCTCCCCTCCCCGCCCCGCCTCGCACTGCCCCACCCGCTCAAACACCCTCCACCCTCCCTCCCTCACACCCTCACCAACCACCCCCACTACTCACCCACCCACTCACACCCTCAACTCACAACCACTCTGCAGACCACCTCAACCGCACCCGCTCCCACGCCCTCACCCGCATCCTGCACGCCCTCCACGCCCCCCTCGCCGCATACACGCGCAGCCACGCCCGCCCCCGCTGCAGCGACGCGTGCGACTCGCTCGTCCTCGGCGCGCTGACGCGGCGGCTGCACGCGCGGGGGTTGCTGGCGTGGTTGCCTGGACTACCTGTACCTGTCCAGAGTGGCGGCGACGGCGACGGCGATGGTGATGGTGATATAGATGTCGATGTCGATGCTGCGAGTGGGGTTGTCGAGGATTTCTCGGTGAGGGGCCTGGCGCGGTGGGTGGAGGGGGGGTTGGATGTGCCGTCTGTGCATGGGTTGGTGCTGGGTGGTGGTGGGGGGAGTGGTGGTGGTGGGTGGAATTTCGAGGGGTTCGTGGCGGAGGAGCGGGAGCCGGAGGGGGAGCAGGTGCCGGAGCCGGAGCAGGAGACGGGGGTCGTTGAAGAGTTTGACGGCGCCGCGGCGGGCAGTAGGGCGGCGGGTGGGGATGAGTGGGGGGTGTGGGGGACGTCGATGGTGAGGAGGAGGAGGAGGGGCAGGGGGATGGTGAAGGGGAGGGTGGGGGGCAGGCAAGGCGGCGGCGGCGGCTGGTTTGATGACGACTCGACGCCGCCGGGTTATGACGAGGTTGCGCCGCCGCCCCCGCCGCCGGCGCCGGAAGTGGAGGTGGAGGTGGGGATGGGGATGGGGAACGGGGGAGGGGCGTGCGATCCGTTGAGGGAGATGAAGGCGAGGGTGGCGGAGATTGCGGCGGGGTTTAAGGGGTTGGAGCTTGGGGTGTGAACGGGGTTGGCTTGCTGGCGATGGGATGATCTTCTTTGGGTTTGTGGGGAGTTCTGAGTGTAACGTGTCAATGCTCTTTGAACGAGTGGTAGGATTGGTTAAATTGATTCTCTCCCCCAGAAAATTGAGATGGTCTGGAATTGCAAACAGTAGACATATCTTGCTGTTTTTCCGAAGGGCTTACTTTTTGTGCTGAATCTGCTCGTTAGAGGCGATAAATTACTAACACTTAATATGCTGCATACCTGACGCTGCTCGTCATCAGTTCTTCGGGATGATGTGCAGCATTAGTTTCAGTTGCTCTACATCATGGGATGTCCCAAGTAAGAGATCAGGAGAAGGAAGGCGAAGAGCCAGCAAAAGTAACGACAATGATAATGATAAAGTATAGTGTCTTTCGACTGTGAGCGTTCATGTTAACAGCTTTACTACGGAGTAAGACAGAAGCGTAAGAGGGGTTTATATACTGAGCACTTCTGTCACGTGGTCTTGGCATAGCGGGTCGCAAATTCTCATAACTGCCCAACCAAGGTATTGAATCTCGCTCATGTGAATGGCTGAACCATACGTCTGGATAGATTTGTGCAGTCACAAGCCTTGCGTCAACGTCTAGATGCGCGTTCCAGCTCTCGTAGAGGGTAGTGCCTCTTCGCAGAGCACTGAAGGATCAGTTATCTTGAATCTCACTGTATTTTTCGAGAAACACCCCACTTCTTTATGAATCGGCACTCGAGAGGGGGGAGCTACCTTTCTTTGATCACACGCAGTGAAACGCAATTTGGTTGCTGTAGCAAACAGATCCATCTGGTCAGGTAGGTCGAGCACCACCAACCGACAAAGCCAGGCAGTCTCGATCAGAAAGGTGGGAAGCTACCACGTATCTGAAAACCAACCGCTCCAGGAGCCAAGAACTCGTGCAGGCTGGGCTTACCCTGCCCCTGCCAAGCGGCCGCCATGGCGTAGGTCCTCCTTCCTGCAACCTTATCTCGTCAGCTCACAGGTGCAACGCAGTCCCAACGAGGAAACAATGAAGGAGGAGGCCAAGAGGTCTCCAAGCCTGCGTCTTGTGCTGGGATGAGCATTTTCTCTCTTTCTTCTGCCCCAGCCCCTTGACACGACAGAAGCACCTCATGCAGTCGTTGCTTTTTCCGGGCTCCATGCACGTGCATGCATGCATGAAGCTAGTTGACCCGTCAAAAAGCTCGAGGAGATTCCGATTCGCTCTTCCATCACCCTCCGCCCTCGCCGCATAAACGGCCGAGAAGTTGAGCAATGAATGCGTTTCTCTGCAATACTGCTGCAGTGGCGAATGCCGCGTTGGTGGCGTGCGAGAAGGGACGACGACGTGTTGCAAACCAGGATACGCCGCCGAGGACAACGCCAGATTAATGTGCCGGTCGGAAAGATGACAGGTACGAGGTACGAGGTAAGCAAGCAAGAAGGACAAGGCGAGCGAAGGAGCTGCAGCTGCGGCCTCCCCGGTCATGCATTTTTCTTCTTTTCTCAGCTCGGCACGCATCGCACTGCAGCAGCAGCAGCGCGTGCACGCTGCCGTCATCATTAGCTCGCCGGCGCCGCGGGTTTGTGGAGCAAAAGCCTCAGTCTCCACCGAAACCGCCGTTGAGGCAAAAGCAACGACGACCGAGAAAAAGAAAAGAAAAAGATAAAATGACCAGCTGCAGCCTCCCTGTGCTCTTCCCGCCCGGCCACCACTGCCTTCTCTGGCCGCTGCGAATCGGGTCTTCGGCGTAGCACAACGGAGCCACCGGTGCGACACTGCGTTTCAACTCCCCGGATCCTGGAAAATCGCGCCACGCCCATGAGAGAACCGCCGGGCTGGGCCGCTTTCCAATACCTTCGTACATACAATACGATTATCGCTGAGGCTGGGCGTCGACGCGTCTAGATGCAATCGTCTGCTATTCAGCTCGGGGGCTGTCAGAGTACTTATTTACATAGCCGGGTGTGTTCGTTCCCTACCAGCAAACTCACCTGCGACTTCCAGTGTTTTGCGGGGGAAACTCTGAATTGCTTTTTCTGCTCCTCTTGCCGTCGACACGCTCGTTTCTTGCCTCTTCGAGGGTCGTGTGCCTGTGCTGCGGAAGCTGCAACTGTTCACATCTCACAATCCTTCCTGCCAATCGCCTGCCGAGCAAAAAGGCCGCCCGTCGCCGTCCTTCTTAAGAGACACAACGCCTGTTCCACAGTGAAACCTGCACTTCCACATCATCCCTACCCTAAAGAATTGTCCAACGATGAAGTTCTCCTACGCCGCCATCTTTGCCGTTTGGGCATCTTTCGCCTCTGCTGCCTACACCACCAGCGATATTCCCAGCTGCGCCGTACGTTCTCTCCCCTGAAAAACTCCCCCTCCTCCGAGCGTGCTGACTGATTTGCCCGACAGATTTCCTGCTTCGAGACGGGCGCGCCGCAAGTTGGCTGCACCGTGACGGACCAGACGTGCCAGTGCGCCAAAGCGTCGGAGCTCACCGACAAGATCACGGGCTGCGTGACGGACGCGTGCTCGATCGAGGATGCACTGAGTAAGTGGAATACCAGCTACCTACCCGGGCTCCTCCCCGCCTTCACCCGTGCCCGCCCGCTAACACACACGGCCCAATCGCAGAGACGCAACAAGTGTCGACGGGCATCTGCTCGCAGCTCTCGAGCTCGGCGTCGTCCACTGCCGCCGCGACGTCGTCGTCGTCGTCGTCGTCGGCGTCGGCGTCGTCATCGGCAGCAGGGTCCTCGTCAGTCCTCACCACCACCACCATCACCAGCAGCATTTCCGCCCCCTCCAACACCACGACCACCGCCTTCATCACCACGCCATTGCCATCAGGCAACGTGACCGCGTTGGCGACGTCGTCGTCGTCGTCGTCGTCGTCCGAGGCTGCTGCCTCCTCTTCCACCGTCATGTCGTCCACCAAGAGCGCTTCTGCCACTGAGACTGAGTCGTCGGCTGACAGTGCGTCTTCTACAAGCAGCGCCTCGGGAACGTCTAGCGCAGCGAGTTCGTCGAGCACCGCCAATGCAGGAAGCGTGGATAGGGCCGGAGAGAAATTCGGTCTGGTTGTTGCCATGGGCCTGGGCTACCTCGTCGCCACCATCTGATCGGGTCCTGGAAGGAGGGGGGAATTGGAGAAAATGATGACGGGGTAATGGCGTTGAAGGGAAACCAAGTTTGTGTTTGTCGAATGTGAAAGTAGCGAGCAATCGGGATGAGCAGCGTATAATAATCCTCATGCTTTGATGGCGTCCTGAAATCTGCCCGCCCAGGTCGTGAATTCGTCGTCCTTGCCGTCCCAGCTCTGCTTGACCAAGTCGGAGGCGCGGACCGCGTCGGCGCTGATCTTGGCGAAGGCCTTCTTCGCCTCTTCGCCGTCGAGGTCGTAGTACGCGCTCGCCATGTCGTCGACCGAGTCCGGGATGCGCTGCAGGATGTCCAGCAGCCGGTCCAGCGTCTCCACGGCGCTCGCATCGCTGCCGCCGGCGGGATACGTCTTCAGCCTGCGCTTGACCAGCGCCTGGTACAGCACGGTGATGGTCTTGACCTTCTTGAGCGTGGCGTCCAGCTGCGCCCGCAGCTCCTCGTTGCCCTTGCCCAGCTTATCCCCACCGCCGCCCCCGCCAAAGATGTCGTCCTCGTCCTCATCCCCACTCCCATCCAGACCATCCTCCTCATCATCGTCTTCGTCCTCCCCCTCCTCCCCCCACTCCTTCAACTCCTCCACCGCATCCACCACCATCCCCCTCCACCCCTCCACCTGCCCCACCACCACCCCCACCACCCCCTTCTCCTTCACCTCAACCAACGCATCGCACGCCTCCCACACCAACCCCGTACTACTCAACGCGCCCCTCCCTCCATTCCCCTCCACCTTCCCCTTCTTCCCCTTCCCCCCCTCCGCCTTGGCCTTGGCCTCGGCCTCCGCCACAGCCCTCCCCCTCACCTCCCCCACCTCCTCCGCCACCGCCCCCACGATCCTCCGCACCCTAGCCCGCACCTCCCTCACCACCACCGCCGGGAACAAAAACGACGACTGCTGTTGCTGGCCAGAGACAGCCTCGGCCCCGGCCATCATGGCGGGCACGACGCGGTCGGCCATATCGCGGAGGACGGAGGCGATGGCGGAGGGGGTGAAGGGGTCGTTGAGGAGGAGGAGGGAGAGCTTGGTGGTGTGGGCTTTGAGGAGGGCGGCGGTGTCGGCGAGGAGGGCGAGGGGGGTGGGTGTGCTGGGGGTGACTGGGGTTGTCGTCGAAGTTGTTGTGGCTGGGTGGGGGGAGGAGGAGGAGGTGACGGTGGGAGGGGGAGCGAGGGAGGCGTGGAAGTGGGTGAGGAGGGTGGAGGTGGAGGTGGTGAGGTCGATGAGGGAGGGGAGGTCGGAGGAGGGTTTGTTGGGAGGCATGGTTGCGGTGTGTGTGTGTGAGCGGGGGGTTTTTTTTTGTTTGTTTGTTTGTTGGTTGGTTGGTTGGTTGGTAGGCTGGCTGGTGGGCGGGCCGGGTAGGCGGGCTTGGGGCCGGGGTTTGGGGTTTGGGCGCGGCTGGTGGGCGGGCGATGTGGATTTTTTTTTTTTGTCGTGAGGGCGGAGAGAAAAGCTCCTGGGGGTTCTTGTGGCGGGCCGGTGGGGGTTGTGGTGGTGTGGTGGGTGTGGAGGGTGTGGAGGGTGTTTTGGCTGGCTGGCGATGGAAAATCATGATTATTTTTTGAGTCATGTGGCTGGCGCTTGATGCGCCGGATGACTCGCGCGGTTGCGTCATCTCCCGGCCGCAAGTTCCTCGACTTGGAAGTACTCACTCCTTTTGGAAAGCATGTCAGGACAAAGACCGATTCAGGCGCGATGGGCTCCAGCTGCCGGCTGGGATGTACAGCAGGCGGCGCAGGCGCCCACACGATCCCACCTGCCCATCAGCGAGCAGCTCGACTGATGCAACGTAGTTCCGTCTCACCCACCCACGCTATACTCGCGCTCTCGCTATCTTCTCACTTGAGACTCGTCGTTTTACAGCATCTCTTACGAAGCTCATTCTATATCACCCACCAACATGGACTCGGGACACCCGCCTCCTAACGACAATGGCTTGCCGAGCCTCGCAATTGGCTCTCCTGGTACTTATAAGAAACGACGAGTCTTCGACTATTCTAGGTCCAGCATGCCGGGTCCTCGGATCAACCGAGCCGTGGTGATTCGCTCTATGTCACTGGATGCCCAGTCAGGTGCAAGTCCATACTTTGCTTCTTTCCGCCGTATCCTTGCAAACGAACTCGAGGTCCTTGGTCATGAAATCACTACACACTATTATCATCTGTACGTACAGCAGATCGACTTTCGCCAGCACCCCAGGAACAGCACCCTTTGGTGCGATATACCCCTACCAAATCTTGGCGAATACAAACCTCCGATCGAGCTTGGCGACTCTGTGTTACTACGTGAGAGCCTCAACTCCTCGAAATCGCTACTCGAGGCTCGTGTGGATCAAATCGACCAGTCCAAGAAAGAAGTGATGCTTCGCGTCTTTAATGATGAAAAGATTGAATTTTCGGGGCATGAGCGATACCAAGTGCACTTCTCCGTGCCTTCTGATCGGTTCGAGGCTCAAACATATGCACTTGCCTTGATTCAAAAAGAAATCGATGATTCTCAACCATCGAACCATTGGGTTAGCTGCATGCTGCATCCGGCAGGACTCCCGTCGACAGGGCTTATTACGGATCCGGTTGAGCCTAAATACTTCGACAATGACCTGAAGCCTGAGCAGCAGGAAGCTGTGGCTCGGGTCCTGCAGAAGGACTGCAGTGAGGCGCCTGTGCTGATTAATGGCCGGCCTGGATCAGGCAAGACCCAGACCATCGTAAGCATCGTTCATTTTCCCTCGTGCTCTGATTACTAACAATCTTCTAGCTCGAATGCGTACTGCAATTCATTTCGAACAGCAAAAAACATACCCCGCATATCCTACTCTGCATGGCATCTAATCATGCCGCTGACATCATCACCCAACGTCTCGGTCAGCATCTGAAGCACAAAGAATACCTGCGGTTCGTTGCGCTCCCGCGGTTAAGACGTGATGTGCCTGACCATCTCGTTCCTCACGCAAATCTCGACAAACATCATAATGGGCTCAGGCTGCCCTCACTTGCCGACCTCAGGGCCTACAAGGTCGTAGTAACTACTTGGCAGGATGCAGCTGCGTTGGCCATGGCAAGGTATACGAACGAAGAAATCTTCAAGTTTGACTACGGTCACATAAACCCACCAGGAGCCGTAAAACAGAGGATCGAGCTTCACTGGGATGCGCTCTTTATAGACGACGCCGCGCAACTCACAGAGCCCGACACCGCAATTCCCTTCAGCGTGGTTATGCCGCCCAAGTGGATAGCAGACATCATGTCCAACCCCATCTTCGTAATGGCAGGCGATCAAACCGAGCACGCAACACGCGCCATGTCCGACGACCTGAAAGTCAGTCTCTTCCGCCGACTGGCCGAACGAGATGGCACAAAGGTCATCCGCTTGGCCGACAATCCCGAGTGGGAAGCCCTGTTCGAAGGTCTACACCAGCCCATATACTAAAAAGGCCTCTCGTCGTCGGAAACAACAAACAGCAACACACCAACCGGAGGTGCCGGTAAAAAAGAAAAAAGAAAAGAAAAGGTGCGACAACGGCGTTCCAGCTCTCTCTCATTAACGTTCCCTTCCCTCCCCGGCCGGCCCGCCGCCACACCCGATCAGTAGTCGAAACCTTGTCGTTCTTTTTGACTTTCCCCCCTCTCGCTTCTTTTTTCCCGTTCCCGGCACTGCCGCCGCCGATAAGGTATGTATGTGTACCAGCATTGTTCCATCATCTCCGGCTCAGACACACACACACGCACGCACCACGCACCGCAACGCAACGCACCGCAACGCACCGCACCGCAACGCAGCCCCCTGTTGTGCCCGTCTACCTGTGTACGTATAAGCTTTCGGGACGCGCGGCGCATCCGCACTGATCCGCGCCAGGGCGAAAAGGGCACCCACGCAGTCAGGAACAGGATGGATGAGATAGATCCCTGGGGTTCCGGCAGCTAGCCATCCACCCATCGACCCATTTGCCGGCTGGGCAGCAACAGCAGTGAGGCTGGCTGGCTGGCTGGCTGCGCTTTTCCTCGCTTCTCTTCTGTATGTACGACGATCTGCCCCCGCGGCGGAAGGATGGGATGGGATGGATGGATTGCGGTTGAGCCCGCATTATCTGCAGCGGGGGTGGCTGGCTGGCTCGATACGATGGCCCTCCCATACCCCATGCATGTCGTTTATTTTTTCTCGCAGAGTGCCTTGCGTAGTAGGTGGCTTGTTTGTGTATTACTAAAGACCGGTCGTTTAATAGGGGGAGAAGCCGATGGTCTCATGGTGGTGGTGGTGGTTCGCGCTTCTCGTCGACTGTAGTATTACTGATATCGTAGAGCCAGCTCTCTTCCAAGGTGGTGGTGTTGTTTTCGTTCACCACGACTATCGTACACACGAAAAAAATAAAAAGACAAAAGACACACCGAAGTATGGGGAAACTGGGAAAAGTCTTTTGCAAAACGACCGAGTGGTGTATTCCCCGACCGACCGACCGACCGAGAAGACCCAGCAAAAAAAAACCCCCCGGCTTTGCCTGCGTACCTGCCTGCCTGCCTTCCTTCCAGCGGAAATCAGGGCTGAGGGGGAGGAGAGGGTCCGACGATACAGATTAAAAATATAATGGTGTAAAAAAAAAAAACGCCAACCGTTTCGGTTCTCCCATATCCAGTAACCGGATGTATACCCCACGGGGGACGTAAACAGTCCCTTTAAGTATCTCCGATGCCAGCCAGCCAGCCAGCCAGCCAGCTAGTCCCATGATACCCGTCTGTCCGTCTTTCCGTTATTTTTTTTGTTCCCAGCCACGACATCAACCCAACGCCGAACGACCGAACGACCGACCTCGCCGCTTTTTTGAAGACCAGGTAAGAAAGTATTATCGTGAGTAGCGCGGTGCCTGCGCCAACGCCGCTGAACGTTCTTCTTCGAAAAAAAAAAAAGTAGGGGGGAGGAAGGGGGAAGGAGAGAAACAAGGCCCCTCCTTCTAAGAAAAGGATCAAGGCAAATCGAAAAGAAGAACAGAGGTGAAGGTTCTCTCCTCCCCCTTCCCCCTCCCCCTCCTCAGTCTCACCACCCGCTCTTCCTCCTCCCCCGATCCCACCGCACCGTCGCCCACCCGCCACCACCACCACCATCCCTCTCCCTCTCCCTCTCCCTCTCCACCTGGTCCACCTCCCAATCCCTCTCCCGATCCCTCTCCCAATCCCTCTCCCGATCCCGATCCGGACTCGCCCCCGACGCCGGCAGATCCACCATCCGCACCACCTCCCTCCCGCCCGCATCCGCCTCGCACATGGTCATGGTCATCGTGTTCATCATCGTCGTCGTTGGCGTCGTGATAGCCGTGCCCCAGTACCCCCCCTCCTGCTCGAACCTCGACGACGTCGGAGAGACTTCGCCGGCGGCGCTACCGTCGCCGCCACCGCTGACCATCGTGTTGCCGCCGTACGTGCTGCTACTAGTAGTAGCAGCATGGCGGTGGTGGTAGTGGTGTTGGCTATGCTGCTGCTGCTGCCGCTGCGACGGCGACGACGACATCGGCCTTGACGCGGATGGCGGCGGCCACGCGGGCGGGGGCCAGGTGGGTATGGTGCCGTTGGTCCAGAGGTGCTGGGGGGGCGGTTGCGTGTGGTACTGCTGGTATTGTTGTTGTTCCCGGCGCGGCGACGATGCAGTCGACGTCCGGGTGACGCCGCCGGCGCCGGCGCTGTTGGGCTGACGGAGCGATCGCGACGCCACGATGCCGTTGGTGCTGAAGACGACTTGGCCGTCCGGCACGACTTCCTGCCAGCGGGCCGAGGCGGAGGCGGGGGCGGGAGCGGTGCGGTACGTGCGGATGGGGGAGGCGGGGGAGGCGGGGGAGGCGGGGGAGGCCGGGGATGATGGCGAGGACGGGACGGGGGAGTTTGTCGTCGTCGCCGTCGTCGTCATCATTGTCGAATAGGGGTGGAAGAGCGTGGGGTCCTTTTCGTCGCGGTCGTAGGTCGTCGATTCGGAGAACGGCGGCGGCGGCGCCGGGGTGATGGCGAAGTCGTCGTCGTCGTCGTCGTCGTCGTCGTGTTCGTTGTTCGCTGGGAGTTCGTAGATGGACGGGCGGTGGGGCTGCTGCTGTTGCGGCGGCAGCGGCACGTTGCCGTTGTGGTCGTCGTGGGGAGGAGGAGGAGCGAAGTACGACAGTGTCCCAAAGTGGTGGTGAGAGGCGTAATCGCGCGGCTCCAGGGGTGATTCCAATTCGAGCGGGAGGCCATTGTTGGTGTCGTTGTTGCAGAAGTGTGCCGTCTGCGGCGTGGTTGGCTCGACGCGGTGCGAGTTGCTGTTGTTGCTACCGCCCATTGGGTCCAAGATGGTTCGCGAATCCGGTGATCGGGTGAGCCGTTGCCGGTCGGTGTGGGTTGGAGAGGCTTGTTCTGCGTCGTCAGCGGCTTGCTGCTTTTGCGCTTGCTTGCGCCGCTTGCGCCGGCGGCGGAACATCAGGGCTATTATGACAAGCAGCAAGGTTGCCGAGAAGATTCCTCCTGCGAGGCTGATTCCGATGATGGCTGGAGTGGAAAGACCGCTGCTTCCGTCCCCTCCGCTGGCGGTGGTGGATGAAGCGTCGTCGATCTGCATTGCGTCAGCAACCATGCCATTGGCTTCCGAAAACACCCAGACTCTTGACATGCCGACCGATAGAAAAGTGATTCAGAGCAGAAGAATGGCCGCCCTTCTCCCAGAGGCGCTCAATGGCATCCATGAGTGTGGTGTGTTCGAAAGAGACGCGACGCTTCTCTACGCGTCTAATCAGTCCAACCGCACCACCCATCTCGCAACCACCGAAAGAACGGCATTCCCGCCTCACTGATCCCGCCAGATCCCCAGAGTCTTTCTTGAAAGAAAAAAAAAAAGGAATCAACCGAAAAGACTTACCACAGGCGCATTCGGGGGCAGCGCCACCTCCTCCTCGACCATCTCCAACGTCCAATACCTCCCCGCGTAATCCTCATCCGCATCGTCCCCCTCGCTCATAAAGGCCTCGTACGACCCCGCATACAGGTCCATATACCAGCCGCTTCCCGTCCACTCGTTCGACAAGCGCACGCTGCCATCGCCATCCTCGGATGCCTGGACCGCCCAGTACTGGCCGGCGTAGTAGCCGAAGGGCGACAGGCGCGGCACGGTGCTCGGCGTGTTGAGGACGTCGAGGCAGTACGTCTGGTCGCTGACGGCGGCGCAGAGGTTGAACTCGCCGGAGCTGTCCGAGGTGCGGAACTGGAAGGCGAGCGGGGTGGAGGTGGAGTTGGAGGGGGGGACGGCCTGGAGCTGGAGGTTGGGGGTGCCGGGCTCGAGGGAGAGGGAGCCCAGGCTCCAGGTGTTGACGAGGTGGTAGGTTGCGGTGCTGGAGATGTTGGTGGGTGTGGCGGAGACGTTCAGAGGCATTGTTGCTGTTTGGATTTTCCCGCCTTGGCTATAACGGGCGATTGGCGACGACGACGACGACGACTGCGGTGGGTGGTGCGGCGTCGAGGAGTGGCTGCATAATGTGGCCGGCGGAAGGGAGAGTGACTAGGCTCCCCGAGGGGGAAGGGTAGTGGCGGGGAAGAGGAGGAGCAGGAGTGGTCGGGCGGTGGGCGGGCATTGATTTTTGTTCTAATTGACGGCGAACAAGCTTCTCGCGGGGGCAGACGACGGACGGTCCATGCGTGTGACGACTGCTGGGGCCGCGCGGGCAGCGGCTTCGTCGGGCATGAGCAGCTTGGCGGATTTGCGCAGCGACAGCGACTGCGGCAGCGCAGCGGGTCCGGGCGGTGATTCAACTGACGAGGGTCATCAGATGGGGGTCCCTTAGTAAGATGCGGGAAACGCGCTGGTTGGGCGGCGGGCGCGCAGCCTTGGCACGCAGGTAGCCGTTTGGGGCAGTGACGAGGCCAGAGCCATGCCGCAACGGGTCAAAAGGAGACGCAGAAGCCAGAACGCCTCCGCGCTGCTCGGATCGCCCAACGTCGGCACTGCACAGTAGTAGGCAGACGGCCAGAGTTTTGGCCAGCGCATGGCCGTGACTCGCCCACAGCTCAGGGGATCGCACGACCTGGCTCGCGCCTCGCTCAACACCGCCGGAGCCTCGTCCGACGCGTGCCATTGGATTCCGCAGCTCCCGTCCTCGCCTACCACTGCGAAGCCGCTACTTCCGCCACGCCAGAGCCAATCTACCAGAGACCGTTTGAGGATTGCGTCTGCTCTCGCGAGTCTAGAATGTGAAAGACGTCCCGAGCGCTGCCTTCCTTCGACTCGATGAAATGCCGCATCATTCTCGCCGAGGCATCGCACTGGCTGCCGTGGTTGCTCTGACGGCATATATCCCCAAGAGCCGCCCGCCCGCATACCCGTGCGTGCCGAGATGCTTGGGAGAGAATTGGCAGCAACCGCAGAACCAAGGCAGCGCGACAACAGCCCTCCCTGATCGTACCACGCGCAAGCCCTCTCCGCCGCCGCCGCCGCGTCCGCACGCGCACGCCCAAATAATTTGCTTCCTCTTCGCATTCGCCCCTTCAGGCCCACCCTCCTGCCTGCGATCGGCCGAGGCTTGCGGCTTAGCCTCACGACGCCGTGGCCTTGGGGATGCCGTTGCGGCCACGCGTTGCACGCCCTTTGGCCCACCCATACCCCATGCTTTTTTCGATCTGCCCTCCGCAAGCGGTATTGTACATCACGCGCGCCCGGGCCAATCACAGCCGCTCGCTTCAGCCAGCCAAAAGGTACCGACTTTAATATAATATGGCGGATCAACGATAAGCCCAAATTGCCCTTTGCCAAGCTTTCATTTCGCTCCGAACTGTTGATCGACTGCTCTTTGCCCGGACCTCCATGCTGCTCGCCTCTGCACGCTTGCACGCTTGCACGCCTGCACGGCCGCGCGACGGCGCCGACTCTTTCGTCCTCAACGACAGCCACCGCCCCCTTCGCCATCTCCACGCCTCGTCATCGCTGGGCTAGCCCGCCGTTTCCAGCGCTCTCCTGTCTGTCCGCCCGCCCGCCGCCGTCTTGACCCTGAATGGCACAGACCAGCGAGGGCGTCGCGCCAGCTGGCTCACTTGCGGAGGGCGGGCGGGCGCCTGTGCCGTTGGTCGCTGATGATGAGACGAGGCTGTCGTGGTAGGAGCGGGGGCTGAGAGCCGTTGGAATGGCCGGGCGTAAGGGGTGGTAATTGCAGTCGACGCGTTATGGATTTTGCAGGGGAGTAGTTTATGTACATACATGTCCCTTTCCGCCTTCCCTCCATCCATCTATCTATCCAGCCAGCCAGCCACACCTTCCGTATGCCATACATAAGCCGCCAGACACTAAAAAAGCAAATAGCAGACAGAACCCTACATACATCTTCAACAAAGAAAAAAGAAAAAAAAAAAAGACCAGAACGCCATGCAATGTTTGCTCCCCTAAGAAGCCATCGTTTATCGTAACCGTATTTGCAAAGCAAAAGATGGAGATAATATAAGAATCCGTCCCAGACGCAATATCTTTAATCTCTACAAGACCGATATAATGCGTCCCATAGTAACAAAGAAAAAAAAAGGCAAACCAAGCAGGTAAACAGCTTTACCTCGCCGCCGCACCGCCGTCCCGGGTGGAAGGCCTCTCGTACACCGGCGCGGGCGCCTCTTCCTCACCCGCCGGCGCAACACCGTGCCTGCCGGGTCTGAAGATGGCGCTCAAGCGCCTGCTCCTGCGGCGCTCGTTGGCGCCCTCGCCGGGAGCAGCGACCATGTTGGCGTCGCGCGAGTTGCGGTCGATGGCCATGCGCCTGGCCACGGCGAGGCGCTCCTCGCTGGTGGAGGTGGCGTCGTGGCCGCGGAGGTGCAGGAGGTCGCGGAAGACGCTGCGGCGGTTGGGGTGGTGGGGGGACGGCGGGATGTTGGCGGCGGCGGCGTCCATGGGGGAAAGCGGCGGCGCGAGGATGGAGGCGGAGCGGCGGGTGCTGGCGCTGTTGTTGTGGCGGTGCTCGGAGCCGGCGTGGTGCTCATCCGTGGGCGACGCGGGGTTGAGATCGATGCGGCTGTACAAAGCACGACGTTAGCATGTCGATATTCGTCTGGATAGAGGTGATGACGATGGTGGTGGGGCGCGGGCCCTCGCAGATCATCAGGTCAGGGCTAAGCGTGATAGGAAACTTACCATAGCGGACACGTCCCGCTCACGTTGAGCAGCCATGGGTCAATGCATTCGGGGTGGAACTTGTGGTTGCAAGGCAACAGGCGGACGTCCTGGCCAGGCTCAAACTCCTCGGTGCAAATCGTGCAGCCCGTGTACGCGTCGCCCTCGGAGGCCAGGTTTTCCGCGCTGCCGCCAGCGGCTGCCGGCGCGATCCCCGCTTCAGTAGAGTCAGCCTGCTGCTCAGCGCCGTTCCTCGCCCCCGCAGTGGCTGAGTGCGGAGCCCCTTCGTGCGAGCTCCTGCCATCCGCAGCAGCCATTCCCGCCCCGCCGGTTGCTCCGGATGTCTCGGACTGCTGCTGCCCGTCTCTCGTCCGCTGAACGTCCTCCGCGCTGTTCCGCGCTGTTGTGTCGCCCATCTCCACATCCGTTGGCTTGGGGGGATGCTGCTGATTGGTGTTGTCCCCGAACTTGACGACAGGAAGGGTGTCCAACATTGCCCGGGCGATTCCGCGCACGCGAGTCTGCCGCGATCCTCCTCTTCCGCCATTGAGCACCACACCTGGGCCATATCTTTCTGGGTGGCGATGTGCCCGCAACGCTCCAGTGATGATGATTACAAGGAAAAGCGCCGTGATGACGCCAGTGATACTGTACAGGATGATCATGGCCACGGCGGTAGACGGCGAGGGGCCCAGCGGGTTGCTGCTCGAGCCCTGGTCGGAACCGGCATCGTCGCTAGCGCTCATGGTGTCGTTCCCGGCGGAAGAATCGTCTGCGGTGGAGCGGATGGTGGCAAAGTAGACCTGGCCGCCTTGGCTTGTGGTTGCGATCAAGTCGTCAAGAAGGCTCTGCGAGGCGGTCGCATTGACCATGGAATACAGGTAGGGAAAGTTGTCGCTGGCACCGGTGACGTTGCAGGAGCGGGCAGATTTGCTGAAGAACAGCGCCGCGGCGGCGCCACGCTCGGCTGCGGTGTTGAGGACGTTGCTGGCCTGCAGATTTCCACGGTAGGCGTCGGGGTCGCAATCGATGTAGGCAATGTTGGACTCGTTGAGACGCTGGGCGGAGGAGTCGGTGGCGTAGAACAGCTGGAACAGCTGGCCGGTGGAGGCCTGGGGGTGGCAGGTCAGTATATGGGTGTTTCGGGCAGGACGATCGGGGCCATGGCTCGGCCGGCTTGGGCAGGAAGCGTAAGACGAAAACGTACGTCAAGGCCGTCAGCCGCGCGGGCCGTGAGCGGGACGACTTGGGCGACGGGCTCGCCTTCGACGGTGCCGCGGGCGACGGAGAGGGCGAGCTGGGTGCTGAGGGCGAGCTGGTCCGTCGCATTGGACGGCGTCACCGTCTGGGCCGACACGGCGGCTTGGAGGACCACGGCAGCGGCGCACGTCGCGCGCACGTAGCGCATCAGCACGGTCGCAGGCATGGCGCAGGCGCAACGGATTGGCGGTTACCAGGATGCGTGCGCGAGCATTGCGGACGGGGCGGCGCAGACGGCGGGAGGTTGAGGTCACTGATCGCGGCGGACAAACAGGCTCAGTGCGTGCGGAGGTGGAGCGCAATCGCAATCACTGGCCTTTTGGGCTGCCGCTGTCGGTGCCGGCGCCCGCCGGCCACCTGCAGGCTGTCGACGATTACGCTTGGCGGCTCACCTGGGCTCACCTTCGCTGCCGGTTTCCCTTCCCCGCACCAACGCCCCCGCCGCCGCTCAGGCGCACACCACGCACTCCGCGCACACCACTGCCACCGCAGCTCTTATCGCCGCCACACGCTGGCCCTCTGCTTCCGCCAGTCGCCGCCGCCCGCCCGTCCAACGCTGCTGCACAACACGCGCCGGGACGCGCTGCACGCTGGAGGCCTGGCTGCTGCATGATTACGCATTCGAGCGCTGCGTCGGGCCCTGTTTCAGCAGCCGCTGCAGGGTGTGCTGCTCGATCTTTCGTCGTCGCGGCTCCCGCTGTGGCGCTGCCCAGCCCCGACGCCTGAAATTTCACCTTTGCTACAAGCACCCACCCACACGAGCCTCGCTTCCCCTACTTCAGCCAGCCGCCGTCCATGTCGACCGTCGTCAGTCCCGTGGCCTTGCCTCTCGACGCCCGAAACCGAAGTCGACTATGCTTCAAAACGTCATGATCAGAGAGTCCTGACTCCTGACCACGACTTGCTGCTTGGATTACTGATTGCCATCTTTTCGTTGGCGAGGCCACCACCCGTTATCGCTTGTGCCTCGGCTGTCCCTACTCAGTCCCGCCACTATCAGCGCCCCCGAAACAGCTCGAGCCGAGCATTTCTGCCGCCACAATGGTGGTGGCTGTTTGGTCGTGGAATCTGAAATGCAGCACTGACATCTCGCCTGATCTGTCTCCGCAACGTGGGGCGTGGTTTTTGCCGACATGTGGACTGCCGTTTGAAGATGAGCGCGATGAGATACACGAAGGGAGAAATAGATTCTCCGGCATGCAGTGTCTCGCAGGAGGTCCCTCCGTGCACAGATACGGCAAATGCGCCTTACAAGCTCAGGTCAAGTGCTCCAGCCAGCAATATGAATGCCTGCCCCATACCTGGATGACACGTCAGTCCTATGTAGCGCCACGCCTACGCCAGCTGCGGCATAAATCCAGGTGTAATCCACCTTGTCTGGACCATTCTTCTGGATATGCAGCCTGCAACCCCAGGGTCGACTGTTGTTGTTCCTGCACCATGAGACCATCATCGGTGCATCGCTCGGTTCTCTGAACTCCAACCTCGGTGTCACGCTCCGCAAACCTAGTATCAGGAAATCCATACGGAATTCGGCACAATCTCCTGTACTCGTGACCCCTTGCCCGAAGATCCTGGAAACCATCCCAGACGTCTCAAAGTCAGTCGTACAGGTCAACGAAGCTATTGTCAGATGGTGTGCCTATTACTGGAAGACGACATGGATTTGCAATATCTATGCTTGCATGCACACATCTGACAAGCATGCGAAACGAAAAAGATCCATCGGCGGAACCGGCCCCAATGCTTCCGACGGCTTGTGACGCGTATACCAGTGATAGCAATGCTGACTGGATCAGCAGACCCTTACGTCGAGTCCAGAATGCTGCCAAGTTCTTGGAGCTCCTGGAGTTGTGGGTGCCCTAGCCCCGAAAGACGAAAGCTGAGAGCTAGCGCAACGCCTGGCCCCTGCCCGACCTGCTGGATCCTGATCCAGCAAGCTTTTTCACTACCTCAAGACATCTTCAGATACGCATGTGAAGGTTGCCCAACCCCCATGTACCACTTATTCGACCTTGCCATCTCTGCACACTCGATTTTATCCCCACCTCAACTGACCTTGCCCTTAGTACTTGGCACAATGCTATATAAACTGAACATACCCCTAGATTTATCTGGACCCTGACCCAAGCTGATCGGACAATAAATCTGGAACGGCGAACTCCACGCGAAGCGTGCCTTGGTACCAGAACCATGATTTTCCCCGCACCACGCTTTCCCTCGGTATGCGAAGTTATCGGTAAATCACAATCCGGCAATGGCATAGCTGATCCTGGGTTTATGTATGTACTTTGAGCAAGGGAAAGACTGGAATGCTTCTGCTACTAACTAATGATTATCGATATCTTCGAGTTTTGGTGGTGATGCATGAGTAGGAAGAAAGGTATTGTGTGTATAAGACGAATCTCCTGAACAACTACGCTCTCTTCTCCGCATTCTCTACATCAGACGAACCACTTTTCTGCCTCCTGCCCAAAAGTCTTCGGAGCCCGGAATTCTGACCTATTGTGGCCTGGCTGTTCGCGTCCGGAGTCATTGAGTGGGCTAGAAAACGATTGCGGTAAGAATCCTTGATATCCTTGTGAAGCACCCAAGCAAGCAACGCAAGGGTTGCCGGCACCGTGATGGCCCAGTACAAGAAGAACAGACTCCCACCAACCGCAAAATCTCCACCCATGGAGAAAATTGAGGCGACGAATGAACAGGGTACAACGACAGTTGCAATCTTCGTAAGTTGGCCGCCGCTTCGTGCTTGTTTGCTGGATGCAACAGCCTCTTCCATAGTTGCAAGTTGCGAGAACGTCTCCATATGATTGTTGATGTCGGACTCCATCACTTCGAGTTTGTTCTCAAGAAAGATCCAGAGCTTACTTTCCTCTTCAATGGCATTGGCTACATCCATTGCGGTGATGAAATCCTCGTTTCTTGTCGTGTGTTCGGGTTGATCCTTCACCTTGAGATACGTCTTTTGCTCTCTGAGGTAATCTGGATCTTTGCAACGAAATGCCCAGATGATGCTCCTCACGTGTCTCAGATCAATTTTGATTGATCGAATTTCCCCGATCAAAGTATTGTATCGGTTTACTGCTTCGTTAAGCTCTTTTTCAGAGGATCCGAGTGCTCCAGACTCCAGGTAGAGGCTGTGTGACCGATGTTCGTTCAAAAATTGATCGTCGAATTCACAGACCCGTTGATACATCCATTCTTCCCATGCCGATCTGATGAAATTGCGAGCATGGAATGTTCCTGAAAAGGGATCGTCCGTGTGTGGTGGAATCCCAGTGCTTGTGTCCATATTTATGGCGTCAAAGATGGGGGTGTGATAGCTCTGGTGTATAAAGTTCATAGACCAACCCTGGAGCCCAACAGCCGCATTGAAAGGCTTCACAGACGCTTCCGAAAAGATGTTACGGGACGGTTTCCAGTTATCAAGCTTGTAGCAGGCGTTTGGGTTCTTTGGATCAAGTGTCTCCAGCCTCATGCTAACTTGGTGTGGATCAACGAGTAGTATTGCTACAGGCATGTAGTCAGCATCTAACAAGTGTTCGACCTCCATAAGTCACGACTCACCTATCCATCCGTCTTCACCATCTTTCTGACCCCAGTAAGATACTTGACTCCGGAAATTTACGTGCTTCGTCTGTGGCGTTATCTTCACCGACCAGCGGTCTACGTTTCCGGTTTCGATAACGTAATTGCCATATGGCCCCTTGAAAGTGGAAGGAATGGCTCGGATCTGCGGAACTGGGACCCTCCAGTACCTCGAGCAGCTTTGCTTCGCGCAAGCCTGATCCACGATGCTGAGATTGACCCATCCGTCGCAATGGGCCAAGAAGAACACTGGCGGAATGCCGAAAGTGATTCCGATATGCTCCAACACCCTTGGGTCCGTGTCTTCGACAACAATCAGTCGTCTATCCCCTATCTTCTTCTCTCTGTAGAGCTGGGTTCAAAAATGCCGGCTTGGACAATTTTCCCAGAACGATCCTCGTAATCTTGAGCAAGCGATTTCATTTTTGGATATCCGCCCCAGTCGGCCCAATACGCATCGTGGGCTATAAAGGTACTTAGTTCGTATAATTATTTGGAATCTAGGGGCTCTAACATACTTTGAGGTTGGAAAGAAGTCATCGCAGTCGTAATGAGGCAATTCGGTGATGTTCATGCAGCAACATGAAAAGAGCTCAGTCGTCTTCACATATGTCCAGAGTGTGAGACGATGCCAAAAATCGGTTGCCTCCTCATTTCAGGCCAAATAGCAAAACAAATGTGAAAAACGACTGATTTTGGAACAGTCAGAAGCCACACGAAAATGTTTGTAGATCACTGGGTAAAAATAGTGAGCAAGGCATGACATCAAAAGCCACAGTGTTTCTTTTTTGAATTGAGCTGAACATATATGGCTGAGAAGAAGAAACGAGCTACCCGTGACTTGAACCTAAATTGTCTATGAGGAGGAACATCATCCGCGTACATGCCTATAGCTCGGCATGAAAGACGTATACTTTGGGTTTGAAAGATTGGTGGCGGGCAGTCCGGCTCGCTCATCTGCATGCAGATTCGTCATGGTTGAGTACCAACAAGTCGGGGAGTGCACAATGCGACGCATGCACGCCACAATTCAATAACATACACCAGATTCTCAAATTTATATGGAGAAAGATGGTCTACGTATTGCAGAAGCTACACGTGAAGTTTCTTACACGAATGATATATCAAATGAGAGTTCCCATCCATCCAGACTTCACTGAATCCAGGCTCCACAGCCTTCTGGAAGGTGGGAACTTTCGTGTTTCCTACGAGGATGCGCCAAGGGAGAGGCTGTCGCCAACATCAACTGTGGTGGGTCTTTCAGCCGCAGATTATGCATGTCTCACTGAAAGACACCATGGTTGCGCTTCAGCCTCGTATTTGTGTCCTGCACGAGCTCGAGCGCCGGCCAAAATGATTCCCCGCAGAACATCAGTCTTCGCCAAAGTTCTCCGAGTCCCGAATCCCGTTTTCGCTTTCTCCTCCCCTCCGCCTTCTTTTTCTTTTTCTTTTTCCAACATCAAATTAGTGTCGCGAACGTCAGGCCACCAGGGCTTTGGAAATCCGACGAGCGGAAATCCGACAGGAACAGGATGCCGCAAGGGAAAGCCTTGTATGGCAGACACGCCTGGATGTAAAGCTCGGAAATCCGTTGACACGTTCCCTGACTCGGTATGCTCACTCTTTTTCCATAATGCCTGATCTGTCGAAGCTGCTCTGACTTGACCGACCGTGGACAATGATTCGTTGCACAAAGCATCGAAGCGACCAATTGCATTGTCATGCACTGTCCAATCGAGTCTTCATATCCTCTTCAACCCCCGCGACGACGTCTGCTTCGAAATCCAAGTCATGGACTGTGTCTTGCCCGTAGCATGCGTTTGCCACCGAGTGTTCAACTATTGATTACTATTATCCGCCCCGGACCCTTGGCGTGAAAGGTGAAGAAACGATGGAGACGATGGCGATAAGTTCCGAGATGTCGCCGACCCATTGCCAGGCCAATCGAGGATCAAGGCTCGGACCAAATCATGATCTGTGTCTCTGGCGACTGCTACGTAATGATGGTTTGTTGATTAGTATAACGCAGCACAGCTCGAACTTACCAAGCACCTCCGGAAGAGGCCCACCCAACCAGTCCAACAACGCCCTTGATTGGGTCGCTTGTCTGCTCTTGAAGCTCCATCTTCCGCCCGAGCTTCCCCGGGTTCAGCCCTGTGTACCTTGATCACTATTCTTCCTCCTCTCTGCACTGTTCTTTGCTTATGGCATTCTGTGCCTTGACAGCCACCAAGGTGCCGAACATGCCTTGCCACGTCGGCTGCCCGTGTCCGTGCCACGACACCGGTGGACGTATCGACGAGCATCGAATCCAAGCGTCGTGAAAAATCTCAGACGACGCATCCGAAAGCATATATAAATACCACATACCACTCAGTCAAAATGCCAGCCACCAAAAACAACAACCACCCACCACAGTTTCCATTCTCCTCCAAACCTCCCGAAAACACATACATACCCCCCCCAGCCCACCATGGCCGAAAACACCAAGCTCTTCACCCCCCTCAAAGTCGGCGCCACGCAGCTCGACCACCGCATCGTCATGGCGCCCCTCACCCGCTTCCGCGCCACCACCGACCACGTCCCCACCCCAACAATGACCCAATACTACGCCCAACGCGCCGCCGCCGTCCCCGGCACCCTCCTCCTCACCGAAGCCACCTTCATCTCCCCCCGCGCCGGCGGCTACGCCAACATCCCGGGGCTCTGGACCCCGGAGCAGCTCGCCGGCTGGAAGGCCGTCACCGACGCCGTCCACGCCCACGGCGGCAAGATCTTCTGCCAGCTCTGGGCGCTGGGCCGCGCCGCGTGGCCCGACCCCGAGGGGTCCGGCGGCGCCGTGCGCGACGATTCGGGCGGGTTCGATTTCGCAAACGACTTCTGCAGCGCCAGCGACGTGCCCATGGCGGATGGGCTCCCCGCGCCGCGTCCCCTCACCGACGCGGAGATCGGGCGCTTCGTGGAGGAGTACGCGGCGGCGGCGCGGGATGCGGTCGAGAAGGGCGGGTTCGATGGCGTGGAGATACACGCCGCGCATGGGTATCTCATCGACCAGTTCACGCAGGATGTGTCGAACAGGCGGACGGATGCGTGGGGCGGCAGCGTCGAGAAGCGGGCGCGGTTCGCGCTCGAGGTGGCGGCGGCGGTGGGAGCGGCGGTCGGGGGGGCCGACCGCGTCGGCATTCGGCTGAGTCCGTACTCGGATTTCCAGGGGATGCGCATGGCGGAGGGGGCGATCGAGCCGCAGTTTGCGTACCTGATCGGCGAGTTGCGGAGGCGGCGGCTGGTGGGGTACTTGCACCTCGTGGAGCCGCGGGTGGCTGGGGTGGTTGATCGCGACCCGCGGGGCGAGAACTTGATGTGGGCGCTCGAGGCGTGGGGCAGGGAGGCGCCGGTGCTGGTGGCGGGGGGGTTCACGCCGGAGCTGGCGCGGCAGGCGGTGGAGGAGAGGTACGCCGGGTACGAGGTTGCGGTCGTGTTTGGCCGCCGCTTCATCTCCAACCCGGACCTCGTGTACCGCGTCAAGAAGGGCGTGGAGCTCGCGCCTTATGACCGCTTCACTTTCTACATCAACCAGAAGGCTGGAGACAAGTGCGAGCCGGGCTACATTGACTACCCTTACTCGGACGAGTACGTCAAGGAGTTTGGCAAGCCTGCGGAGGCGGTTTGATTTGAAGTCGGTCTGGGAACGTGTTCAAGCGATAGAGATGCGTTAGATGTGGTGTTTGGCTTGGTTATGATATTCAGATAAAGATTGTATCTAGACTTAATGTTGTTTTCTTCTCAACACTTCGGTGCGAGCATCAAGTTGTGAGACCATGGCTACAGCGTCACTTAACCACTGTTGTATGGAACTGAAGTCCACCTCCCCAATACCTGCAGGATACACAAGCTCGATCATTGCGGTCAGCAATTTGAAGCACATCGATTGAAGAAAGTCATTTCTGGGTAGCACTGTTCCTGCTGTCGCTTTGTCTGTGTGGTACCACCCATGGTTTTACCAAAGTCTTGAATTGAGATAGGCAGCACTGACCAAAGACTTCGATTGAACGAGCGAATGAAAAGCCCACGGAACCCCACCGTACTTGACCACCATTCCAAACGCCTTGAAGACTCCAAAAGCAGTCAACCAAACTACGCATTCCCACGCAATCTCTGCTCAACTACATCCAAACACTGGCGCATGGACAGGCCTACATGCAGCCTACATAAACCAAAATCAGCTCCCATCTTCGCCGATTTGCCTGAAAAGACTTGAAACAATTTCCCAATAAGCATCCGGTTTCCGTGTTTCACAAAGGGTTCTCATACCATCTCAACAGTTCCCACCAGCAAAGCGCGGATGGCCAGGACAGACATGGACGACGCCTCCTTCACGATTGATCCAGTTGGCGCAAACCGAGCACCGTTGGGCGCGGAGAGGCAAAGTGGCGTCGGACGAGTTGGTTTCCTCGTGGTTCGTCATGGTGGAGTGTTGAACGATTCAGTGACGAGGAGAAGAAGACTACCGTTCAGGAGGCTGCTTCTGCTGGAGGGTAGTCAGGAAGACAGTTCAAACGCTGGCAGGCTGGCAGGCTGGCTTGAGCAACAAAGACAGAGCGACTGGTGGTCAGATTTATACACGCACACACGTGCGCGCGCGTGCTGCCTTCCTCGCCCTGAATGACCTCTCTATCTCTCCATCTCTTCTCTCTTTCCCCCCCTCCTCCTTCCACACCGCATCTTGCGCCATGCTCGACGCTTCCACCAATATCCGCGCTGATCTCTCCCACGACAAGCCCTCGAACCTGGAAAAAGAAGCGCAGACAAAGACCTGCATGTGAGTGCTGCCTGGAGTTCATCCCGTCCCCCCCAGCCCCGGTGGTCGAAATCCCGGCATGCCATCTCTCTCCGGACAAAGCTCCTTGATCAGCCATCCTTACCAATCCCGGGTCGTCCGCCGCCGCCGCCGCCACTCCAACCCCATCATCACATGGGAGAGAGCAAGAAAGAGAAAGACCAAGAGAGAGAAAGCCGCCAAAAATAAAAAACCCAAGAAAAATAAAAACCAAAACGACCAGAAAGCGCGCGAACAAGCGGTGAAGCAACCAAAGCGAACCAATGCGTGCGCGCGTAGGTATGTACATACATACATACGTGGGAAAGCAATAATGCCGCCAGTCCAGTAACGATCCAGCGCCGCGCACCGCAAAAAAAAAAAAAAAAACCGAGGCATGCATGCACGCACGCACGCACATGACCGCGCGTCGCCACCGCGTTATCGTCCGTCCGTCGGTCGGCTTTCCCCTCCCCACTCCCCCTCCGCGCCCATGCCCCTCCTCGTTTTCGAAAATCTGCACGCACGCGCAGGGCGGGGCGAGGGCTGCTCCCGTCCAATGGCTAGGCAGGGCTGAAGATCCGTGTGTGCGGCATGCGTCCGATGTTGGGGCCGAAAGGGATCGGGTGCATGCAGGCGATGCGTGGCATGGTCGGGAGGAAGGTAGGAGGGGAGGGGAGGGGGGGAGGAAGGGGGGAGGAAGGGGAAGGGGTGGGGTGGGGTTGGGTGTGAGGTGTGTGGTGTGGGTGGATGCAGGATCTTCGTGTATGTATGTACATACTTACGCGCGATACGGATACCCCCGGGGGGTTCTGGATGACGTATGTAGGATATGGATGTACGCTGCGGGAGGAGGGAAAGGAAGGAAGGAACGATGGGACGATAGGCGACGAAGCGCGCGGCTGTTTTTTTTATTTCTCACTTCCCCTTTTTGCGGAGAGGAGGAGTGTATAAAGTGATGGGTAGATAGAGAGAGGGTCGTGGGAATAGGAGGTCGAACGATAACGCCCTACCTAGTCCTATACCGGACCGAGAACCTAGTGAGAGGTACTGCAAAGTCACAGAGGGCGCGGTCTTCACAGCGGGTAGCAAGACGCGGCTGCGAGCTCGTGCAGTGAGTGGGGAAATCCGGGCGGATGGGACGGACTGGGGGCATTTTTCGTTCAGGCATGTGCGGAGCCTGCGGCGGCAGCGGCGGAGGCCGTCTGGGCGAGATGCAGAGTGGTGGTGGGGTGTAGTAAGGCGCAGCAGCAGTAGCGGTAAGGCGTGCATCAGGCCAATGGATGGAGATGGCACTCCCACCTACCCGTTCGCATCTGGACAAGCCCGGGTTCTACACGTGTATCTGCGGCACAGCACGCCGACAAGGGTGTCCTGCACTGCCGAGTAATGACGAGAGAAAACAATGGATGCCTCTGAAGAGCGGAAAAGCGGTGAGCACCATTTTGTAAGTGATGGACAATTGAGCGCAGGAAGAGGCACGGTCTGCAGGCTTGCTTCAGAACAAGCAGAACAGAGCGCCAGGCATAGCCGAAAGTGCATGAGGACGTTCGACTTCTACGCTCGGATGCACACACGCTAGCGCCACTGTTCTTGGAGAGAGCCACCGCAGACTTCCTGATTGCAAGTGGGCACCGCCGACGTGATAAAGAAATGGGGGGAGGAAGAAGAGGCGGCCCCTCCCCTCCGATGCGACACCCCGACAGGCAACAGAACCAGTCGGGAGCACGGCACTCGGCACCGTCCGCCGTTGCGCCATACCCACCCAGCCGAGGGCCGGGCCTGACATCGCTCGTTCGAACGAGTTGATACAGGAGCCGCGCTCGCGCCGCTTTGCCGTTGTCGCGAGCACCCATCAATCCGCGACCGAAGCGCACGATCTGCACCGGGGTGGGCGGTGCCATGGTCCACGATCCGCCCAAGTCGTTGCCGCTCGTCGCCGCGGCGCTCGCGTGCGCCTGCGGCCGAAACTAAAAATCGAAACCAAGGGGAACACCCGCCCGACGACGTTTCGAAGCGATCTCCGCCCCCTTTCGGAAATTTGCCGGGTCCCACACTCTTCCACCCCGTTCCTGGAGGCGCTTTGAGCCGCGGAGGCTTGTTTCAAACACAACGTCGCTTACCCGCCCTCGCGTTTCATCGTGGCGAGTAAATTGGGCTATAGGCGACGGGCCTCATTTATGCGGCGGAGAGGGGAGTGGAGAGAGAGGGGGTTGCCTTCAGGCGAGGATAGGCCCCAGTTCCATACATATACCCCCGGGCTTGGCCGGTCGATGTTTCTGCTCTTCTTTCCCCTACTCCATTCCATCCCCCGCTGTGCCGGTTGCCTGTTTTGGATACACTTTCGTTCTCCAAGTCACTCTTTTTTTATTATCCACCGAGTTGATCTCGTAGCCTTCCACTCCTTCCAACCACCATCACACATCTTCGAGTAGACCTCACAAAGAAAAAAAAACCCCCAACCAACCAACCAAAATGCGTTCCACCAACTCCATCGCCCTCTTCTTCGCCGCCGTCGCCGCGGGCGAGGTCCTCTGGGACGGCCGCTTCACGGCCGACACGGCCTCGGAGCTGTCCTCGTGGTCGTGGTCCAACCAGAACGGCGCGTACCAGTACTACATCCACGGCAGCGGCGACCTGACCGACTACGTCAACACGGGGGCCGACTTCAAGAACCCGGCCGACAGCGCCTCCGCGCAGGGCGCCAAGGTCTCCATCGACTCGACCTCGCAGTGGAACGGCGGCGGCATGCTGCGCACGGAGCTGATCCCGCAGACGGACGCGGCCATCAACGAGGGCACCGTCTACTACCACTTCTCGATGATGCGCAAGGAGGAGAACGCGCCCAACGCCGCGCACGAGCACCAGGTCAACTTCTTCGAGTCGCACTTCACCGAGATGAAGTACGGCCTCATCAGCGGCGCGTCCGGGTCCGAAAACACGGCGCTGCAGTGGTTCGCAAACTCCGAGTCGCAGTGGAACGTCACCTTCGAGCCGGGCGTCTGGCACAACGTCGCGTACGAGATCGACTTCAGCGGCGGCAGCGTCACCTTCTGGCACAGCACCGGCGCCGACGCCCTCACCAAGACGGCCGGCCCCGTGTCCGTCTCGGCGAGCTCCAACGGCGCCGACTGGCACCTGGGCGTCCTGCGCCTGGAGGGCAACACCGACGCCACGGCCGAGGACTGGTACTTCAGCGGCGTGTACATCGAGAGCGGCGACCTGACCACCGAGATCGGCTCGGGCTCGGCTTCTTCGTCCTCTGGCAGCAGCAGCAGCGCCTCGCCCGCCGCCGCCGTCGCCACCTCCTCCTCGTCCGCTGCCGCCTCGAGCGCTTCGTCCACCACCACCAGCGCCGCCGTCGCCGCCCAGGAGACCACCGCCTCGGTCGTCTCGTCGACCCCTGCCGCCGTCGCCACCCCCACCACGCTCCAGACCGTCGCCAGCTCTGCCGCCGCTGCTTCTTCCTCCGCCGCCGCCCAGCCCACCGGCCAGACCGGCAGCGTCCCTGCCGAGGGCAACGGCTCTTCCACCACCACCAGCGGCAACGGCCTCAGCGCCGACGAGCAGGAGGAGGTCAACCAGGGCATCTCTTCGTGGTTCACGTCGCTCAAGGCGTGGTGGTCTGCCAACCAGTAGATTACGCCTTGTCTAGCTATGCTGCTTTGACGACTTTTGCGTGTTGGAAGGAAAATGACGTTGGGGAAAAGAGGACGATATGGTTGTTTCTCTTCCGAAGTGTATATGGTCTTGATGTGTGTTTGTGTGGTTTTGCCCCTTTCTTGCGAATAGCCTATTTTCTCTCTTGTAAATGTATTCAGAACAAAATCTGCACGGTACATACCTATGCGCTGGCTTCATCCCCTGCTGTGAATTGTTCCAGATTGCCTATCGTCTAGCTGCATGAATTGCTAGAATTTGATATATGAAGTTTCTGTGATGTTGTCGACAGCGAAACAAAGAGCTCAGGACTCGCACAGCTCTTTTGAGTAAGAGCCCCGGTGGTCCGGTTAGAACATTCTGGCGCAGTATGTGTGACCAACATTGGCCATCGCAGCTTGTATTTTCCAAGCCATTCCGGCTTGCCATATGTTACAGATATCCCGTTTTTTCTTTCCCCCCATGACGCTTCCCTAACCACCAGTCTCTCAGATGTTGTGGCCCGTGACTGGCAAATTCTTGCTCTGAAGTTTCTGCTCGATGATCTTCCACCTGCCAATTTGCCTCTCGTTATCGATGGGCGTGATTCTCCGAGGCGAAATCTTGACATTCCGCAGCTTGGCCAGCTTCTTGTCGCTGTCAAGCTTTTCGAAAAGCTTGGCGGGCGGCGGGCGCCTGGTGATGCTGTCCAGCAGGATGCCGGCGGTGTTGCTCTGGGCGATGACGGGGTCGGTGATGCGGATGCCAGCGAGCTGCATGACGCGCTTGACGACCTAACCAAAAGACAGAAAAGAAAAGAAAATGATTAGCCCAAAGTTGATCGAAAAAAAAAAAAGAAACCGATTCACCAAACTCACCGCAAACTTGATGGCCGGATCCCGCAGAGAGATGCCCCTCCACAACCGAGCCTCCTCTCGGCTGACATCTACGGCCGCCTGGCCCTCGGCCGCCTGGCCCTCGGCCACTGCCTCCGCCTTCTTGATGACAGCGCTGCCGTCCGCCGCAGCGGTCAGCTCCACACCGACGACGGACCCATCCTCCTTGCCCTTGCCGTCGTAAATGCCCTCCAACGACGCGCCCTCGCTCCTCGCCGCAAACACCTCAATCAACGCCTGCTTCAGCGCGAGCCTAGGCTCAAGAGTCGTCCGCACGGGCGGAGTAAATCTACCGCACACACGTCAGTCAGCAGGAAGTCCTCACTCAGCAAGCACCCTCAAACCCTCTTCCCCCCACACACCACCGCAACAGTTTCAAGCCAAAAAAAAAAAAAAAGAAACCACCTCAAACTTACTCCTTCTCCGCCTGCCACGCCACCCCCTCCCCCCCCACCCACTTGAGCCCGTGCCACGTCCGCGCCGGCTCGTACGTCGCGTCCTCCTCCCGCACGACCTGCACCTCCTGCCTCGCAGGCGTCTTCGCCTCCCCCTCGCTCTCCTCAGCAGCAGCAGCATCAGCAGCATCCGCCTGCTGCTTCTGCGCCCTCTTCTTCTTCTGCGGCTTCATCTTCTGCGACGGCGTGCTCACGCGCATGGGCGAGTGCGCCGAGTACGGGTCTTCGCGGCCGGGGGCGTGGTCGGTGCCCCAGAGCTTGGAGCGGAGGCGCTCGAGGAACTCGTTGCGTTTGGGGGGGTCGTTTTCCTCGGCGGCGAGGGTGCGGGTGGTGGAGAACGGGGCGCGAGCGGTGGTGGTGGACGTGGTCGGGAACGGGCATTGAGGGCGGCGGAGGGCAATTGGGTCGAGGGCAGCGAGGCGGTCAATTGGCCGCGAGAGGCGTGGTATTCTGCGCATGATTGCTGGGGCGGCGGCGGCCTTGTGGTGGGTTGGTGAGGTGGAGAGGAGAGAGCTTCCGGATGCTCTTGTGGTGTTTGTTGGAGCGAGCGGCGCGGCCCAGAAATTCCCGCGCTAGTGAGGGGAGCACGTGATGGGTCGCCGGCGGACCCAAGTCGTCGCTCGACGGCGATGGAACGCCTCGTCCGGCTGTCTCGACGTTGCTCTTGCACGGATTGATCTCTCTCGGAACGTGTCCGTCTGTTCGAGCTGCGGACGCGCCGGCCCGTGGCTTGCAGAAACACCTCGCTGCCATGGAATTGGCGCGTCTGTTCTTATCGTATCGCATCTCCCTAGCCATTGATTGCACTTGCGAAAACTCACATCATCCTCGTCGCGCGCACACACGCACACACGAAGCGGGCAGCAAGCCCAAACACCACACCACGGTCGACGACATGTGGCCACGGCCCCATGGCCCTACCGCAGCAACCGAAGGCCATGCAGCCTCCCAACTCCGGAAAAGCGGAGACGGGGCCAAGTTTGGACGTCTGGACGAGAAAGTCCGTGTAACATTTGCTAGGCATCATCTGCCCATGCATCCCCAACCCCCCCTCCCCCGAGCAACCGAGCCGCAGCCCCAGCCCCAGCCCGCCATGTCCGTGCTTTTGCATAGGTACGTACATACGCACGCGACGTCGCACGGGGACGCCAAAGCGTGGCTGCACCTGGCCCGAAAAACACACACACACACACACACACGCACGCATGCACGCACGCACGCACGCGCATGCATACACACACCTTTGCTCGTCGTTGGTGCGGTAGCACTGTCGAACGTCTGGATGGAAGGAATGTATCACAGCATTTGGGGAGGGACTCGAAGTGCTTTTTTTTATTCGTCACCCCCCGCGCCGGCGCTGAGCTGAGGTTGGTGGCGCCCCCCGGTCTTCTTCCTGCCGTCCGTGTCAAGCAAGCAAGCCACCCGCTGATGCATTTGCCCTTGCATCATGGGGCTTGCTGCTGCTGCTGCTGCTGCTGCTGCTGCTGCTGAAAGAGGCCTGTCAGCCCCGTGCCGGACGGGCTGGTTCGCCTTGAGGTCGATTGTAGAAGACTTGCTGTCCAGCCCGGGTGTGTTCGGCCAAGTTGGGTTATATTCTGCGGGTGGTTTGAAGCAGATGTCCGGTCACGGGTGTGGAGTGATACTCCCAGCGTTGGTAAACAGCGCTTTTCCTGCGAAAGAGATCGGGAAGGATCACCGAATTTGGAGCTCTCTTTGACAACAAAGAATGATGGTTACGCGATGCAGTCCTTGAAGTCCCAGCTGCGGAGATCTACGTGGGATCATTCTTCCTCAATCTTGCATCCATGATGTATGGACGCTTTCCAGTAAGTGCCGTTCGCTCTTGAACCCCTCTAACATCTCTATCACGCACACATAACTTCGTACAAGAAAAGAAAGAAAGAAAGAAAAAGCACAAAAGCCAGACTTCCAGCCAAAAAAGACCCTGGGTATCATAACCACCGCAAAACAAAAACAATAAAAATAGAAAAACCCCCCACCCCTCACACACTCCTCCTGCTACTCCCCTTCCCCACACTCCCCCCATCACCCGCCTCCCACTCCCCACCACCCACAGTCGACACCTCCCCAACCGCGCCCCCCGCCGCACCCCCCCTCCCCGCACCAGCACCAGCACCAGCATACCCCTCACCCGCTGCCCGCCCCGCCCCACCCGCCGCCACCGACCTACTCCTCTTCACCACCACCTCCTGCGTCAACACGATCCCCCCACCAGCACCAGCACCAGCACAACCACCACTCTCCTCATCCCCCGCGCCGTGGCCGTGGCCGCGGCGGCTGCAGCCGCGCCACTCCTCCACCAACCCCCTCTCATCATCCCCACGCCGATGACGCCACCACGCCGCCATCTCCACCTCCACCTCCCACTCTTCTCCCTCTTCTTCCACTCCCGCCGCCGCCGTGGCGCAACTGCTACTCGCTTTTCTCCCGCTCTTGCTACTAGCGCCCGCCGTCGACACGACGGTCGCGGAGTGGTTGTGCGAGTGGTCGCCGTAGCCGGTGACGCGGCCGGCGCCGGTGTGCTGGAAGGCGTGGGGGCGGTCGCGGGGGTGACGATGACGATGACGCGGCGAGGTGGTGGAGGAGGAGGAGTAGGGGGCGAGGTCGAGGTCGTCGTCGTCGTCGGTGGGGGATGAGGACGAGCGGAAGATGCGGGGCCAGAAGTGGGCGAGGGCGCCCTTGACGCAGGGGAGGCAGCCGCAGATGATGCCCATGTTTTCTTCGATGGAGGCGATGAGGAGAAGGGTGGAGGAGTTGTCTGTGGGGAGGAGGGGTTGGGTCAGTTGGGGTGCGTTTGGGTGGTGGGTGAGTCGACGGCGTACAGAGGACGTCGACGCTCGTCATGGCGGGTGGCAGGGCGACGATGCGGCACACGCTGGCGGCGAAGACGATGCAGCCGAAGGAGAAGAGCAGGATGAGGCCGAGGCGGTGCTTCAGCGGCATCTGCAGCTTGAACAGGAACTTGATCGGCCACAGGTAGACCAGCAGGTCGCCGACGCTGTTGAGCGCCGCCGTCGCCACCAGCAGCGTCAGCACGTCGACGCAGTCGCGCTGGATGTTGAACGGCTGGTTCCAGAAGAGGTCGATCGGCCTGTCTCTCTCTCCCTCCCATCTCCTCGTCAGCATATCCCGTTTTTTCTTTCTTTCCTTTCTTTCCCCGTCCCATCCCGTCCCATCCCGAATCCACCACTCACCCCCCAGCACGACCTCCACGCCCACGGGGACCTCCAAAAAAAAACCAAAAAGAAAGAAAAAAAAACTCACGTGCACATAAACAACACCGCAAAAAAGCTCGCCACCCCCCACAAAGCACTATACGCCACCAACCCCCAACAAAACCACTCGTTCGCCCTCCCCGTAAACAGCCGCAAATACCCCCAACAGACACTCACCTTCGTCAGCGCCGACACCGGATGAAACAACAAAATACTCGCAAACACGAACCTAAACCCATTCCTCACCACCTCCGCCGCATCGCCATCGCCATCCAGATCCAGGTCCCAAACATGCACCCCGATCCCGTGCCTCGTCCCGACGCAGGTGACGGCCGTGTGCGCGACGGCGGTCGCCGCGGCGACGCCGAGGATGGCGTCGTCGGCGCCGAAGCGGCGCGAGAGGAAGAGGCGCGAGTAGAAGCGCAGGAGGACGCAGAGGAGCATCAGCGAGGTGATGGCGAGTTCGGTGCAGAGGAGGGTGGGGGCGGCCGTGTGCGGGTTGTGCGGGTTGCTGGCGGCGGCGGGGAGGGTGGTGGTGCTCATTGTGTGTGTGTGTGTGTGTGTGTGTGTGTGTGGCAGGGGCGGCCTGGTGGATGGGGGTTGGAGGGAGGTGTGAGGGAATGCCTGGGCGGCGGTGGTTGGGTTGGGAGGAGGGGAGGGCGGCTGGGTTGGGTGCGAGGACGAGGACGGTGGTGGATGTATAGGTGAGTGAGTGAGTGTGGACGATGCGGATCGGGTTGTGTGCGTGGAGGGACGGGCGTCACGACTGGCCGGCAGCAGTCGAGGATTGGAGAATCGCCGGCTGATACGATGACGCCGCCCGCCGCCAGGAGGAGAGAATCGTGGAAGGAGATCAACATCCGTCCCTCACAACAGAGAAATCGGTACATATACAACGGCAGCGTGACCATGCCTCGGATCAGATCATAAAACACTAAGCTGCTCCCGAAGCCACAGCCGCGTGTGGCCCCTTGCCAGAAAAGATTTACTGGCTGGCGCTGTTGCATCAGCCCTCTGCGACGGCGCAAGCTTCGAAATCAGCTAACGAAGCTAAGTCGACGACGAGCTCCGGCAAAGGCCCGCATCAGGGACTGAGAGTCAGGAAAACCACGCGATGGTGGGCGAAGCGAGCGAATGGACTGCTTTGTGGGGGGCGATCAGGATCAGCACCGAATCCCAGATGGGCAGGAAGTGCGTCGTAAGCTAAATGGAATTGGCATCCGGTTGGCGTCCGGCTTCCTCGGCAGCCGCGCACGTTGCGTCCCCGGAAGATCATTGGATCACTGCGCCTGTGGTGCCGTCGTTGATGGAGGCAGCTGTGGTGGTGGGAGGAGCCGCTCCACCATAAGTGACGGTAACAGCGCTGTGAGACATGTGGCGTGGTGTGGGATTTGGAGGCTGAAGAGGCGGCGCAGGGCCACCCCGGTAAGTTGACCCCGAGTGCGGACGGAGCAGAAAGCATATACTCCATCGTCGGCAGGACTCTCGGAGTTTGTAGTTGCTCAGCTGGACATCCTATGATATGCAGATCGGCGGCGAACACGTTGGTGCATCATCGTCCTAAACAGCCCCTGCGCAAATGGCGCGCGTGCTTGGCGCTTGCTGGCACCGACAACTCGTGTCTGCACCATCGAGCAAGATTGGATTTTCCAGTTATCTGACCGAGTCCGATCTTGGGGGCAAACCGTGCTTTGGCCGCACCCGAGTGGGGAGACGGCGTCACGCGTCAGATGCCCGAGGCTCGTAGCTGTCAATGCTATGTTGAGCTTTTCCTGAATAGGGAAAGTCACCATCTAAGGCGAGCATGGACAGGCTTCAGATGCCTTATGCCGACCCAACTCGCCGGTAATTACTGATCAATGGTGATGGCTGATCGACAGTCAGTGAAAGCTTGAGAGGCATTTGAGAGGTGTATAGCCAAATGCATTCACTGAAGACCGAGCTGTAGCCGCGTGCTCTCAGCGGTACCTACACATGGTTGAACCCGGCATCGTCAATGCTCAGGACCGTCGAAACGCTCGTGAATCCTTCGGCCTAGAAGCATCCCCAACAATGTGACCAAGGATGCAGAAACTCAGACGCCACAAGCCCGATGAAACAAAACATTGGTCTAACTTGTATCATACCATTCCTACATGGTGCGAGATGCCATCCTGCCCTCTGGATGACATACCACACCCAGTAGCTACGACTATATGATCCGATCCGCATTATAACGTCTTCGTGGACAACATGAATAAAGAACAAAACGCCTCCCCAAAATACAGCTGGTGAATCTCTAAACGAAAACAAAAACCCAAGGCCCTGATCTATACTTCGCTCAGCCCTGAAAAAGAACCCCGCTCCTTATCCTATGACCGCCCCTGGTCTTTTTTGCCCTTCCTTTGGTTGTGCTTGAATATCATGTTGCTTACAATGCCGCCACCGCGATGGCGATAGCCTGGTCATCGCTGTGGCTGATGCTGACGTTGACCGACTTGACACCCGCCTCCTTGGCCGCAGCCTCGGCATCACCGTGGAGCTGTGTAGTCTGTTAGCACTCGAAACATGCGATATCGAATGGAATCAACTTACGGTGACAACGGGAGCGCCGTTCTCGTCGTTCAGAACTTCAATCTCCTTCAACGCAGCGCCGGCACCCTTGCCAGCAACGCCGAGCGACTTGAAGACCGCCTCCTTAGCAGACCAGCGACCCGCAAAGCTGGCCGCCGGGTTCGGGGCTGCCTTGCAGTAAGCCTGCTCCTGCTCCGTGAAGTTGCGCTCGACAAATGTCTCGTTGTCGATGGGGATGGCCGAGATGTTCTCGACGTCAACGCCGACCTTGGAGTTCTCGCCAGCAGTGGCCTTGGCGAGGTGCTCGACCATCTGGCGCGTCTGCTCCGTCTTGGCCTTGGTGACCGGAAGCTGAGCGGGGATCTTGGAAGGGTACGCCCAGTTCGACGTCTTCTTGTCAACGGTAACGCGAGCGGAGGGGTTGAGGAAGACCTCGCTCTGCTGAGCCTCCTCATACGGTCCCTTGCTCTTGGCACGGAACATGGTGTTGTTGAGCAGACCGTCGTGGAAGTAGCGGTAGGCCTTCTTCTGGCGGGACTCGACACGCGTCTTGTAGTTGGCATACTCGGCGTGGTCGAGAGTGGCGAAGAGGTACTTGGGGTGGATAGCAATGGCCTGAGCACCCTTCTGACCGAAACCGAAAGAGGTGACCGACACGGCCTTGACACCATCCGTCTGGATGGAGCGGCTGGGGTAGACCATGTAGTCGAACTTCTCGAGAACCTTGTCGACGTTGTCGGCGTTGCGGTTGCCGGGGACGAGACCACTGTTGAGGACCTGCAGAGCACCGTTCATCATCCAGGCACCGGCGGCACCCTTGGGGTGACCGGTGAGGTACTTCTGGAAGACACCGAGAATCGCGTTGCCCTTCTTGCGGCCGAGGTGCTTCATCTGCTGGCAGAGCACATCCGACTCGTTCTTGTCGTTGGCAACGGTAGAAGTACCGTGGCAGGAGGCAACGTCCAGGTCGTCGATGGTCAGGCCCCAAGTAGCAAGAGCGCCGCGCATGGGAGCAATCCTGGGGTCTTGCTTCCAGAACTGGTTGCCCAAGCTCAGGAGGGCAGCCTTCTCCTGGCGCTTGGCCTCGCGCTCGATGTGCTCCAGGCGGTCAGCCATGAACTCGGACTCGCTGAAGCTGGCGTCCTGAGCCTTCATGGCGGCCACTTCGTCCTGCAGGTACAGAAGCTCCGACTCCTGCCACTGCTTGATCTGGCGGCGGCGGTGTTCCATCTGGCGCTTCCTGTACTTGATGTCCAGCAGAGGCGAGGGGAACTTGGACACTTCCTCGCGAGCAGTCGTGAGGACACCCTGGCCGGGAGCGGGAACAGAGCGACCGATCTTGTCGGTGGCAGTGGCAGTGAAGCCAAGGATACCGTAGATCGGAACACCCATGTCCAGAGCGAGACGAGCGTCCATGATGACCTGGATACCGCAACCCTGGGACTCCATGAATCCGTTACGGGTGGTGGTGGTAGGACGCGACATCTCCTTAGGAGTGCGACCGTGGGCGAACTCATCCTCAGCGTTGCTCGTGGCCTTCATGTTAGCGAACTCGTAAGAGCCCTCCTCCTGGAAGTCATCGAAACCACCAACAAGGCAGATTCTGGCCTTGCCCTCGAGGATGGTCTCGTAACCGATATCGACGGACTCGACAGCGGTAGCGCAGGCGCCAGAGGGAGACTTGATGGGACCAGTGGAAGACAGGAGCAACATGTTGACCCAGGCACTCATGGTGTTGATGAAGGACTCCTGAAGGATATCCTTCTGGAGCGGCTTGTCAAGGAAACGGTCCTTGTACATGCCCCTCAGAGCGCCGGAACCACCAATACCCGAACCGGTACAGTTACCGACCTCCGAAATGTGGACGTACTTGTAGAACTCGTACGGGTCGGTGATACCGGCTGACAGCAGGGCCTCGGAAACGGAGACGAGGACGAACAAGGTGACGGTGTCGACCTGCTCGATGATGTCCTCGGGCACGCCGTACCTGCGAGCATCCCAGCCAGTGGGGACCTGACCGGCGACAAGACGGTCGAAACGCAGAGCCTTGGGGATGAGGAGGGAAGCGCCCTTCTTGACCCGGACGCTGTACTCGCCAGAATCCGGGATCTCGAAGATCTCCACCTTCTCGCCGTGCTCGCGCTTGAACTCTTCAGCAGTCTCCTTGGACGCCTCGAAAGGCTCGAGGTCCTCATCGATCTGAACCTCCTGAAGGAGCTGCTTCTTGTTCGGGTCGTAGCCACCGAAGAGCTCAGGCTCGATGAGACGGATACCGGAGTGCTCAAGGACAAACTTCTCGTACTTCTTCTTGATGTCCTTGTCATCCACGGGGTCTCCGGTCTTGGCATCGACCCAACCAGAGTAGCTCTTGCCCTTGATCATGCCGTTGTGGTTCTTGATAAGACCCATGATCCAGGCCATCTCAACGCAACCCTCGAGAGAGAACTCGCCGTAGGCCTCCATCTCCCAACGGGTACGAGCGTTACCCCAAGGACCGACTTCGGCAAAACCGGTAATGACGACGGCCTTCTCCAGATCGACCATACCCTTGAGGTCCTCGTTGAGCGGCTTAACCTCAGTCTCCCAGTCGGGAACCTCGGGGAAGTCGTACTTGAGGTTGGCACGAGGCTGGACGGTCACCTTCTGGTAGAGCGCCTCGCTCTTCTCGCCATTGACGATCTTGTTTTCGGTAGAAGTCTCCTTGGTAACGGCCTTGCGGATCTCGCTGGTCTCGGTGTGCTCCTTGCGGAGGTCGGTCATGAGGTCCTTGAGGTTGGGCAGGTACTGGAAGCCACCGTTGAGATCAGCCCAGACGGGCTCGACCTGACAAAGGTTGACGATACCCGGGGACATGAGACCCAACAAGTTGAAGGCCATCTCCTGCTGAGAGAAAGTGCGCACACCGTACCTCTCAATGCCCTCAGCAACGACGTTGTTGCCGGCCATGAGACCAGTACCACGAGTCCAGCCAATAACAGCACCGCAGATGGTGAGGTAGTTGCCCCAGCTCTCAGAGTGCCACCTGCTGAAAAGGGTCTCAAGCGCGATCTTGGACTCAGCGTACAGACCATCGTTACCGAAGGTACCGTGGTTGGGAGACAGAGGCAAGATGACCTGAGCGGGACGTGTCTCATAGGAGTTGGCATGCTTCTGCTGCTTGACGCAACCCAGAAGCCTGAGCAGGTTGGTCAACATGATACGGTGAGCAAGCTCGGACTTGGAATCGATGCCATCGATCTCGCGGCCGTTCTCAGAGATGGCGGCGAAGGGCACGACATAGTCGAGATCCCAGCCGAGACCGTTCTTGGCGTCGTAGATGTAGTTGACAAGAGCCTCAACATCCTGCTTGCTGCCCTGGTTGAAGGGAACAACGATGAGCTGAGAGCCACGGGCGCCAAAGCGGGAGTAGATGGACTGGTAGTACTCGTTGACCTGGCGCGAGAAACGGCTGGTCGTGACGACAACCTTGGCACCACCAGAGATCAGGCCCTGGAGGACCTCAGCACCGATGGAACCGGCACCGGCACCAGTCATCAGGACGTTCTTGCCCTGGAAAGTGACACCGTCACGGGCGGCACGCTCCAAACCATCAAGGTAGACGCCGGTGAGCTTCTTACTGTACTCCCAGCCGTGCTCGTCCTTGCGCTTGAGGTGCAGGAAGGGGATGGTCTCGACCTTGCCCTGCTTGTTGGTGCCGTTGATGCGTCCGTTACGGCCCTTACGACGGCCATTGGCGCTCTTGCCGTTCTCGGAGGGGATGATCTGGCCCTCGTTCATGGACAGAGAGCGGATGACATCGCCGTACAGGGTCTTGATCTGCAACTGAGAGGACTTGGAAAGCTTGTGTTGCTGGCGGATGAGCTTGTAGATCCTCTGCAGGTCGTTCTGGACCTTGGTGCGGTTGCCATACTCGGAGAGCTTGCCACCCTCGGCCATCTCCTTGACGTAGTGCTCAAGCTTGCGCACACTGGACCTGGGAACCTCGGCGTAGTTCATGTTACCACGAGCGTCAATGTTGAGCGAGGGAGCAGTGGGCATGGCAACATCCTTGTAGACGGGGGCAGCGTTGAGGACATCCTTGCAGTTCTCGATCAGCTGCTGGCCAAGCTCCTTAGCGAGCTCGTAGGTCTCGCCGCGCTCGGTGGGGCAGTGGTCGATGTGGTACTGCATGAACTCCAGCAGGGTTGGGTTGGAGCGGTTCATGATGTTGATGCACTGGCTGACAATCTCACGGTCGACTGCCTTGAGGCGACCGAAGATGATGTCGTAGTACATGGTAAGAGCATCCTGGCGGGCCCAGTTCCACGAGGAATCGTAAACACGAGCCTTGAGAGAAGTGAACTGGGGCTCAATGCCAGCAGCGTAGAACTCGCCGTGCTCGGTGTTCCAGAGATCCAGCTGAGCCTGAAGGGCCTTGTTGGTCTCCTGCGATCCGACGAAAGCCTTGTCGCCGGAGCGGAGGTCCATCTTGAGGTAGCGGGCGAACAGCTCGAGCTGCTGCTTGAAGAGCGCCCTCTGGTCCTTGGTGAGGGCGTCGATGGCAGCAGGGTCCATCATCATGCCGCCAGCACCAGCGCCAGCATCGCCACCCGCAACAGGTGCAGACAGGCTGATGCCTGCACTGGCAGCGTACTTGTTGGCAATGTCGTCGAGCCACGCCTTGGCGTCGTTTTCAGACCCAAGACGTGCCGCCGGCTCCAAAGTCAGACCGAGCAGCAGAACACCGTCCTGACGTCCGGCTGCGAGACCCCATCTTGTCTCAAGGTATTTCCTTGCGGATGTGTTGTTGAAGCCACCGGGCATCTTCGACGAGATCAAGCGCGCAATGAGGGAGGACGATTGCTTGCCGAGCTGGCCGTTGAAAGTAGCCTGCATCGACGCACCGAGCTCGTCGAGAGGGACGTCCTCGGGCTTCTCTGGAGTCGAGCCGAACTCCTTGCCCAAATCTCCGAGGATTTCGTTCTGAAGGGTGGACTTGCCTGCACTGCACGTTAGAATCGTCGCATTTCGCCTCATTGGGGGTGCTTCAGAAAATTCTTACCTCCAACCAAATCCTTGATGGCCTTGCTCAGCGGAATGTCACCGAGCGGCTTCTTCAGCTTCTGAGCAACCAACGCACGCAGGATGTCTGTCGCCGCAACCGGGGTGTCTGGCACGGCGGCCGCAGGGCCTGCGCTGGGGGCGGGGGCGGCGGCAACAGGAGCGGCGGCCGCGGCAGCTGGGGCAGAAGCTGCTGCGGACGACGACGCTGCCGCCGGGGCCTCGGGCTCGTCTTCCACGGGATCGACATCGTAGTAGATGTCTTTGGCGTCCTTGTTGTAGCAGAGAATTTGGCGCTGGACTGACCGCGCCGCATCGTGTGCCTCGTACTTGGAGGCCAGCGTCCGCTTGGCCATGACGCCGAGAGTGTCGGCGGGGCCGACCTCAACGATGCGCTCGGTTGTCTTCTCGCCGAGAATGACATCTTGGGTCTCGATCCATCTTACGGGCGAGGCGAACTGGTATGCAAGCAGCTCCACGAGGAGCGTGTGGGAGAGCTCCTGCTCGATCTCGGGACGCATGGTGATGGCGGTGAGGAAGGCGGAGGGCGGAGGGCGCGTCGAGAAATTTTTGGGATGCGAATTAAAAGGCGCGGGTATCTAATGCGAACAGAGCGGGCACGGCGGTGCGGGCAGGAAGCTGCGCGTGACCCAATGGCGCGTGCGGAGGGCGCAACAAAAAGGCGGAGAGGAAGAGAAGTGGTGGAGGGATGCTGAGGTGGGAGTAGAGGGCGTTCACCACCAGGACAGCGGGAGAAAGTGCAAGAAGAAAGGGCGGGCGGCGGACGACTTTCAAAAGGCGGCGCACGGGCGTCTGTTGTTGGTATCAGCGGCTCTGGCGCGCACGGCAGGAACAGGTGTTGAGACAGGCAGCTCGATGTTGAAGCTTTGGCAGGCGGCGCGCCCAACGAAAATCGGCTAGTGTTGACCTTGCGCGGCGGCGATGAGCGGCATGAATCACGCACCTCCGCACTCCCAACCCTGCCAACGGCGCCAACAGGGCCGGTCTTGGGGAATCTGGACGCTGCAGCGAACCGCGAGCGCGCAATTTTCGCCGCAGCGCGCCTTCTGGCACTCCGGTCGGCCCCGAGCTGCGGCGGCGCATGCAGGTGAGCCTCCTTCCGCCCGGCAGGGCCCCGCGGTTGGCCGGGGGTGGCCTGCGTCAGCCGTCAATCGTGCATAGCTGACGTCCCAACCGAATGCACCCCTGCACAGACGCGCTCAACTGAAAGCTGTGCTCCAGGCCCGCCGAGCGCATGCTCGCGACAGAAAAAAGAGAGTTGCTGTCCGCGGCCAACCTCCAAGCTTCACTGCCACACCCTCTCTTCTTTCTGCGTGCTCTCCGTCTTCCCCTCCTCCACTTTTAGAATTCCCCAAGCACCCGGGGACGTGATACCCACCGCCAAGGGAGCTGCCCGCGCAGTACAGACGAATTCCCTTGCGCCGCCGCCGCCGCTGACTGTTGGTCTCAGCTGCCTCGCGCCTTTGGTAAGTGCCGTCCGCCCCAATGCTCTCTTGACCGTCCGACGGCGTTGGTGCGCGTGCCCGTTTTCCAATGGCACCGTCCTGCGCCCGACGGACGGACAAGGTGCCGCAGCATCCATGCGGGGGCCAGTACTGATTCTGCCGCCAGCACCATCTTAATCTTCGGCCTTACACATAGACTCCGAAAATCCCCCTCCAGACACAGCATCTGCAACCATGTACGGCTCTGGTCCGCAGACTGGCGTCTCCACGCCGCGCTCCCAGGCGCACCTCCGCCCTCTCATCCTTTCTCACGGCTCGCTCGAGCACACCTTCCTCATCCCCACCGCCCTCCATTTTAATGCCTCACAACTCAAGGACACCTTCCTCTCCACTCTCCCCGAGCCGACCGAGGACCGCGCTCAGGATGACGAGCCGTCGTCGGAGTGCGAATTGGTGGCAAGATACTTGGGCTTCATTGCCAGGGAAGTCGAGGAGGGCGACGACCCGGGCTCGTTCGAGGAGGTGCTCAAGCTCGTGCTGAACGAGTTCGAGCGCGCTTTCCTGCAGGGCAACGAGGTGCACGCCATTGCTGCCCGTCTGCCCGGCATTGAGGCGAAGAAGCTCACCGTCGTGAGCGCATACTACGGTGCTCGCGCCGCCGTCGACAGGCCGATCAAGCACCACGACTCGGCGCTTTTCCGCGAGGCCGCCGACGGCAACGCACACATCTACCCCGTCTTCGGTGGCCAGGGCAACATCGAGGAGTACTTCGAAGAGCTCCGCGAGGTCTACACCACCTACCCCGCGTTCGTCGAGGACTTCGTCAACGCTGCCGCCGCCCACCTGCAAACTCTTTCCCGCGACGAGCGCGTCTCGAAGCAATACGCCAAGGGCCTGGACGTTCTTCGGTGGCTCAACAACAAGGAGTCGCAGCCCGACACCGATTACCTGGTTTCGGCGCCGGTCAGCTTGCCACTTATCGGTTTGACCCAGCTTGCCCACTATGTCGTTACTTGCCGCGTCCTGGGAAGCCATCCCGGTCACATCCGGAGCTACTTCAGCGGCACCACTGGCCACTCGCAAGGTGTCGTCACCGCCGCCGCCATCGCGGCCTCCAAGAGCTGGGAGACCTTCGACAAGGCGTCGCGAGACGCTCTTACCATTCTTTTCTGGATTGGTTCTCGCAGCCAACAGGCCTACCCGCGCACATCTCTTTCCCCCAATGTTCTGCAAGATTCGATCGACAGTGGCGAGGGAACCCCCACACCCATGCTTTCGATCCGCGATCTTCCCAGGAAGGCTGTTGAGGAGCACATTGCGACGACGAACGAGCACCTGCCCAAGGACCAGCACATTGCCATCTCTCTGGTTAACAGCGCTCGCAACTTCGTTGTCACTGGTCCTCCGATTTCCCTCTACGGTTTGAACCTGCGTTTGAGGAAGGTGAAGGCGCCCACTGGTCTTGACCAGAACCGCATTCCCTTCACCGACCGCAAGATCCGCTTCGTCAACCGCTTCCTTCCCATCACTGCGCCCTTCCACAGCCCGTACCTCTCTGAGGCGACCAAGTTCCTCGATGAGGACCTCAAGGAAATCGTCATCCCCAGTGACGACCTCGGCATTGCCATGTACGACACGAACACTGGCAAGGACATTCGGGAGGACAAGGCGGCCAACATTGTGCCCACCCTTGTGAGGATGATCACCCAGGATCCTGTGAACTGGGAACAGGCCACTCTTTTCCCCAGTGCCACTCACGTCTTGGACTTCGGACCTGGTGGCATTTCGGGTCTCGGTGTTCTGACCAACCGCAACAAGGAGGGCACCGGTGTCCGCGTCATCCTTGCGGGTACTATGGATTCCACGAACACCGAGGTTGGCTACAAGCCGGAGCTCTTCGACCGCGACTCCGAGCACGCCGTCAAGTACGCCGTTGACTGGGTCAAGGAGCACGGCCCCAAGCTTGTCAAGACTTCTGCTGGCCAAACTTTTGTCGACACCAAGATGAGCAGGCTGATCGGTCTTCCCCCGGTCATGGTTGCTGGTATGACTCCCTGCACCGTGCCTTGGGACTTCGTCGCTGCCACCATGAATGCCGGCTACCACATTGAACTGGCTGGTGGTGGTTACTTCATCGACCCAATGATGACCGCCGCGATCAAGAAGATCGAGGGTGCTATCCCGGCTGGCCGTGGCATCAACATCAACTTGATCTACGTCAACCCGCGTGCCATGAGCTGGCAGATCCCCATGATCGGTAGGCTTCGCGCTGAAGGTGTTCCCATTGAGGGTCTCACCATCGGTGCCGGTGTTCCATCGATCGAGGTCGCCAACGAGTACATCCACACGCTTGGTCTGAAGCATATTGGCTTTAAGCCCGGCTCCATGGATGCCATCCAGCAAGTCATCAACATTGCCAAGGCCAACCCTACCTTCCCTGTCCTCCTTCAGTGGACCGGTGGTCGTGGCGGTGGTCACCACTCTTTCGAAGACTTCCACCAGCCTATTCTTCAGACCTACGGCCGCATCCGTAAGTGCGACAACATCATCCTCGTCGCCGGTAGTGGTTTCGGTGCTGCCGAGGACACCTACCCCTACCTCACCGGTGTCTGGGCCAACAAGTTCGGCTACCCGGCTATGCCTTTCGACGGCTGTCTGTTCGGTAGCCGCATGATGGTCGCCAAGGAGGCCAAGACCTCGCCGGCCGCCAAGCAGGCTATCTGCGACGCGCCTGGTGTTGATGACAGCGAGTGGGAGAACACCTACAAGCGTCCCACCGGTGGTGTTCTTACCGTCCGTTCTGAGATGGGTGAGCCGATCCACAAGCTTGCTACCCGCGGTATCCTGTTCTGGGCCGAAATGGACCAGAAGATCTTCGCTTTGGACAAGGCCAAGCGTCTTGTTGAACTGAAGAAGAACCGTGACTACATCATCAAGAAGCTCAACGACGACTTCCAGAAGCCGTGGTTCGGCAGAAACTCCGCTGGCGAGTCCGTGGATTTGGAAGACATGACCTATGGTGAGGTCGTCCGTCGCCTGGTTGAGCTCCAGTATGTCAAGCACCAGTCCCGCTGGATTGACCTGTCCCTGCGCAACTTTACTGGCGACTTCATCCGTCGCGTTGAGGAGCGTTTCACCTGCACTCCTGGCAAGACGTCCTTGATTCAGAACTACTCTGAGCTCGAGAAGCCTTTCGAATTCGTCGAGAAGCTTCTCAAGGAGTACCCCGAGGCCGACAAGCAGCTCATCAACGCTCAGGATGTTCAGCATTTCCTCATGCTCTCCATGAGGGTCACTCAGAAGCCTGTTCCGTTCGTCCCCGCCCTCGATGAAAACTTCGAGTTCTACTTCAAGAAGGACTCTCTGTGGCAGTCTGAGGACCTTGACGCTATTGTCGATCAGGATGTTGGCAGAGTTGCTATTCTTCAGGGCCCCATGTCTGCCAGGTACTCCACCAAGGTTGACGAGCCTGTCAAGGATATTCTCGACGGCATCCACAACGGCCACATTAAGAGTCTGACCGCGGAGCTCTACGGCGGCGATGAGTCCAAGATTCCAGTCGTTGAGTACTTCGGCTCCAAGCTTTTGGGTGCCCATGACGACGTGGTTGAGGTCGAGGGTCTTACTGTGTCTGAGGTTTCAGACAAGACCATCTACAGGCTGTCCTCTGCGCCCAACGCCACCCTTCCTGACATCACGTCGTGGATGCAACTCCTCGCGGGCAACACGTACTCTTGGAGGCATGCCTTCTTCACTGCCGATGTCTTCGTTCAGGGCCAGAGGTTCCAGACCAACCCCATGCAGAGGATCTTCGCGCCTACTCTTGGCATGATGGTTGAGATTTCGTACCCCAACGAGCCTGCCAAGACTGTCATCACCATGAGGGAGCCTTCCACCGGTGGCAAGCACATCAAGACTGTCGAGATCAGCCTTCAGGGTCAGAACGAGATCTTGGTCAACATGATTGAGGAGCGTTCCGCTCTGCAGAAGCCCGTCGCCCTGCCTCTCAAGTTCACTTACCACCCGGATTGCGGCTACGCGCCCATCCGTGAGGTCATGGAGGCCCGCAACGACAGGATCAAGGAGTTCTACTACAAGCTTTGGTTCGGCGACGAGGCGTGCCCCTTCGATGCCTCCGTCACGTCCACCTTTGAGGGCGGTAGGGCCACCATTACCGGCGAGGCCATCAACGACTTTGTTCACGCTGTTGGCAACACCGGCGAGTCGTTCGTCGACCGCCCTGGCAAGGAAGTCTTCGCGCCCATGGATTTCGCCATCGTTGTTGGCTGGAAGGCCATCACCAAGCCCATCTTCCCTCGTGCCATCGATGGCGACCTCCTCAAGCTCGTGCACTTGTCCAATGAGTTCCGCATGATCCCGGGTGCCCAGCCTCTCAAGAAGGGCGATGTTCTCGACACCACCGCCCAGGTCAATGCTGTCATCAACCAGGAGTCTGGTAAGATGGTCGAAGTGTGTGGCACTATTACCCGCGACGACAAGCCCGTCATGGAGGTTACCAGCCAGTTCTTGTACCGCGGTGCTTATACCGACTTTGAGAACGCTTTCCAGCGCAAGTCTGAAACGCCCTTCAACCTGCATCTTGCGACTACGAAGGACATCGCTATCCTGCGCTCGAAGGAATGGTTCAAGCTCGAGGACCCTGACACCGATCTCCTGAACAAGACTTTGACCTTCAAGCTCCAGACCCTGACCCGCTACAAGAACAACAAGGTCTTCAGCTCTGTGGAGACTGTCGGCGAGGTCCTTCTGGAGCTTCCTACCAAGGAAATCGTCCAGATTGCCTCGGTCGAGTACGAGGCGGGCACCTCGCATGGCAATCCCGTTGTTGACTACCTCGAGCGCAATGGCACCAAGGTGGACCAGCCCGTGCTTTTCGAGAACCCCATTCCTCTTCACGGCAAGAACCCCCTCACCCTCAAGGCTCCTGCTTCCAACGAAACCTACGCGCGTGTTTCGGGCGACTACAACCCCATTCACGTGTCCAGGGTCTTCTCCAAGTTTGCCAACCTCCCTGGCACCATCACTCACGGCATGTACTCTAGCGCTGCCGTGCGTAGCCTTGTCGAGACCTGGGCGGCCGAGAACAACATTGGCCGCATCCGCAGCTTCCACGCCGATCTCGTCGGCATGGTCCTGCCCGATGACGACATCGCTGTCAAGCTCCAGCACATCGGTATGGTCTCTGGTCGCAAGATCATCAAGATCGAGGCTTCCAACAAGGAGACTGAGGACAAGGTGCTCCTTGCGGAGGCCGAGGTTGAGCAGCCTACTTCGGCCTACGTCTTCACCGGCCAAGGTTCGCAGGAACAGGGCATGGGTATGGACCTGTACAACAGCAGCGACGTTGCCAAGGAGGTCTGGGACCGTGCCGACAAGCACTTCCTGGACAACTACGGCTTCGCCATCACCCACATTGTCAAGAACAACCCCAAGGAGCTTACCGTTCACTTCGGTGGGCCCCGTGGCAAGGCCATCCGCCAGAACTACATGTCCATGACTTTCGAGACTGTGGCTGCTGACGGCACTGTCAAGTCGGAGAGGATCTTCAAGGAGATCGACGAGGAGACGACTTCGTACACCTACCGTTCTCCTACCGGCCTCCTCTCTGCTACCCAGTTCACGCAGCCGGCCCTGACTCTCATGGAGAAGGCCGCCTTCGAGGACATGAGGGCCAAGGGTCTCGTCCAGACTGACAGCAGCTTCGCGGGTCACTCGCTCGGTGAATACGCTGCCCTTGCCGCTCTTGCTGAGGTCATGCCCATCGAGAGCTTGGTGTCTGTCGTGTTCTACCGTGGTCTGACCATGCAGGTCGCCGTCGAGCGTGATGAGGCTGGCCGCTCCAACTACTCCATGTGCGCGGTCAACCCCAGCAGGATCTCGAAGACGTTCAACGAGCAGGCTCTTCAGTATGTTGTGGAGAACATTGCCGAGCAGACTGGCTGGTTGCTCGAGATTGTCAACTACAACATTGCCAACATGCAGTACGTCGCTGCTGGTGACCTGAGGGCTCTCGACTGCCTCACCAACGTCACCAACTACCTCAAGGCGCAGAAGATCGACATCCAGCAGCTCATGCAGACGCTCTCGCTTGAGGACGTCAAGGCCCACCTGGTTGAGATCATCAAGGAGTGCGCCAAGCAGACGGAGGCCAAGCCGAAGCCTCTGGACCTGCAGCGTGGTTTCGCCACGATCCCGCTCAAGGGCATCGATGTGCCGTTCCACAGCACGTTCCTGCGGTCTGGTGTCAAGCCTTTCCGTTCCTTCTTGCTCAAGAAGATCCAGCGGACGTCGATCGATCCCAGCAAGCTGATCGGCAAGTACATTCCCAACGTGACTGCTCGTCCGTTCGAGCTCACCAAGGAGTACTTTGAGGATGTGTACCGCCTCACCAACTCGCCCAAGATTGGCAACATCCTTGCCAACTGGGAGAAGTACGAGGACAAGCCGCACGAGGCGGCGACTGCGACCGCTCCGGCGTCGTAGATGACGAGAAGAGTGCATGAAGGAAAACGAGGGAAAAAGTGAAAACGGCGAAAGGTCTTGGTAATGATTTGTTTGTTTTGGAGTTGCGGTAGCAAAGGTTCAAGAGGCATCTAGAATTTTTCCACTTATGTATATCCAAGGCGGTGGCTTGTTCTCTATTAAGGTATACTTTGCTCTGTTTGTTTGCGCTTAGATTTCCAAATCAAAACTTCAAAATACTTGTCTGTGCCTTGCAAGGTGTGAAACAGCTTTTCTGGCGCGGAGGTCACCTGGCCCTGCCTTTCGGAATGTGGGACAAACTCTTCGATTGATGATAGCCCGATGTTGAGGTTCGCAAGAAAGTAAACGGCGACGATGTGTTGGGCCGGGAGTGGCTGCGGCGGGGTATGCACGTGACCGCGAGATGTCAGCGCGGAATTAAGCTGGCGCCGACGTTTTGCCGCCGTGTCTCTCAGGACTTGTGTAAACATCCCAAGCATGTCAGCGCAGGCGTATCCACCCTGCCTGACCCTCACCAGGTCAACCGCCGCCCCCGCTGCACCGCCTGTGTTTCCACTATGGATCGTCGCTCAGCACACACGCCGATGGACTATGAGTACTCGAATGGCACTGGCCCCATTGATGAGAGCTCGCCTTTTATCATCGCCTCGCGCAACGCGAACGCGCAGAACAAGAAACGTAAGTTAGGTGCGCCACCACTCTGCGCCTCCCACCGTGCAACTGCGCCGAAGCTCATGTGGCATCACAAGGTGTCGTTGGGCCCCTAGCTGAACGCTAACAATCGTGCCTTCGTGCGCGACAGGGAACTACGGCCTATTCGACTCGCCGAACAAGTCAACACCCAGCCTCCGGCCTCCAGCCTCCCAATCCTTCTACTTTTCGCAAGTGCCGTCGGCGATCGACCACCAAGCCGGACGCAGCAGCCCCACCAAGCCCCTTTCCTCCGTTCCTGATCATCTGCGGGACCCCAAGTTCTCGACCCCACGCAAGCCCGTCACCGACTTCAACTTTAGCTCCGGCGGCGAGACACCCGAAACACCCGGAGATCCTGACGCCGACAACGCCGATAGCGAGGCCACACCCGACAGCAGCTTCATGGGCTTCAAGAACCGCTTCATGGCGGGCGGGAAAAACAAGGACAACGCCAGTCCGACGAAGAGTCCGACGAAGGAGCCCAAGGAACGGCGGAGAGACAGCTGGGTAGGCGGGATCGCCAAGATGCTCGGGAGCCCGGCCAAGGAAAAGGACCTGACCAAAATGCCTTACTCAGACAAGGCGGAGAAGCGTATCATCAGGCGCCGGCAGAAGGAAACGGGTCGGAAACGGACCACGGCACGTTCACGGCGCGATGCCGAGCCCGACTCGGACGACGAATACAGAAGCAAGGATGGAAAGAACAACGTCATTGGTGCAATTCTGTCATACATCGACTCACATCCAAACCTTCCGCACACCTTGTCCTACTACGCGCAGCTTGTGCTGAACTTCTTTTTCGTCGGTTGCATCATCTGCATCGTCTACTCGTTTTGGAGCGCCATCCAGAGCGATGTGAACATCGAGGCGGACCGCGCTATTGCAGAGGCATTGGCGGAGATGGCTGTATGCGCAAGGGACTATCGCGAGAACCGGTGCGAGCCCGCAACACGCGTGCCTGCCATGGCACAGCTCTGCGACAACTGGCATGCGTGCATGAATCGGGATCCGAAGAAGGTGGGCCGGGCCAGAGTCAGTGCGCATACGTTTGCGACCATCTTCAACAGCTTCATCGAGCCTATCAGCTGGAAAGCCATGGTATGTCGTGCCCTCGATCGAGCTTCACTAGAGACGAGTCCACTGACTACTTTCCAGTTCTTCTGCCTCATAATCGTCATCGTCTGCCTCTTCGTCAACAACATCGCCTTTACCAAGTTCCGGAACACTCACCCAGTTCACCATCAGCAGGGCCATCCAGACCCCTCTCAACAATACCACCAGCAATGGCAACAGCAAAACCAGTGGGGCGTCCCACCCACCCCGCAACGGTACCCCAGCGGCGGTCCATGGGACACTCCAGGTCATCCGATGATGATTGGAGGTTTTTATCAGACGCCAGCTCACCACTCGATGCAGCAAGCCGGAGGCTTCGAGCCGCGGCCGAGCCAAACTCCTAGCGGACCGGGAGGTCACCAGCAACCTACTAGAAGTGCGAGTCCAGTGAAGCGGCTACAATTTTAGCAACATGGACAGGCATAACGTGGACCCCCGTTTCGGCCTGGTTTCCATATGTACGAGTTTTCGATACCGAAAAGAGTTTGGTCCCAGGTGTCAAGGACCCTGGGTCTCGGGCCCTTGTTCCAGGCCCCGTTGGCTTGCACTTTTTCCTTTTGGCTTTGCTTCTTCCTTTCTCCCTGTGTATCAGCATACCATTAACGCATCCGGCGACGATGCTCGGCGTTCTGCGGCATCCATGAATGACATGGATTTGGGATACGGTTGGAATGGGGTTGTGGAAAAAATGACGGACGGCATCAACAGGCCGAGCAAATGCGATGATTTTCTTTGGTTCCACATCGGGCACCTTTTGATTCTCCGTCTCTTTCTTACGTGTTTTGCCGCTTGGCGCTGGCGGGTGCAAGCGCCGTCGAAGGATGTGACCAGTCGCACGCTAGAGAACGAGCTGATGCACTCGCAGCCCCGACTCCAACGTTGGATCGACGCTCGGGCAGGTCAAGGTGAGTCGAACCGTTTGCCGTGCGGAAACGCTGTCACTGACGATGAATCACTCGATGATGAGGCGAAACGCGATAGCTAGCCCATGTGCTTAGGCTGCAATTGACAGGCCTGCCCTGTCGCCTACCCCTGGACAGAAGACCCTGGGGCTTAGCTGACGCTGCACGTAGGGCTGTGTGGCAGGGGAGCAGGGGAGCAGCAAACGCGCGATCCTGCATGCAGGTGGACTGGCCTATCACCAGTGCAGCCTCGACATCACCTCTTCCGGGAAACAACATGTCTGCCTCGTACAGCCCGACGACGAGGATTTTTTTGAAACTGTTTGAGGTGCTACAGCACATCAATGGTGACTCAAGCATGCACTGCGCCTGCCCTGCGAGGCTTCGAGAAGGATTCCATCACTTGGCGTGCAGTTGCCGTTGACCGGTGATCGTCAAGGATCGGCCCGAACTGGAAACTCTCCACCACCTACCGGTCCACCAGCTCGCCGCGGAAGCGCGTAGCGCGCAAATTCCTGGCGGCAAACGGCTCAGATCGCTACTCTCTCGGAATTCGCCAATGGTCGTGCATGCGCTTGCCTAGAATCACCCGCGTCGAGCTGCACATCGCGGATGGTATCGGCCGAATGCTGCAGACGGTGGTCGTACGCGAAGAGGGCGCAGAGCAGGAAGCCCAAGGGCACACAAGAGAAGAGGGAAAAAACATGGGGCGCGCTGGATGAGGCTGCCTGACTTGCCCATGCACGTTGGGCTCGAGCACAGTCACTGCTTTCCCCGGACCGCAGAGGGAGGTCGCGTTGGCCCACAGCCGCAAATGGATACGTACGTCTCCATACCGGATGCTCGGGAGCACGTTGCTGACAGGGAATCCAGCTATACGGCAATTGGGTTCGCTTGTCAGCGCCACCCTTGCCGGAAACACCTAATCATGCAGCAGCTCTGACGAGCGAGCGAGCCAGCAAGCCATGCCGAAAATTTTCGCCATCGAGCCCATCGACGAGTTTCACGCTCGCGTGGCTGTTTTGGCCCGATTGGTTGAAGATGGTCACACACCGCATCGCCACCGCGACTATCAACACCACCACCCCTGAGCATCAGGCCGGTCCCGGTTGTTCTGGGCCCCCCAATGTGCGCAATCAGCGGGAAGAACCACAGCGGGCCGTCTGCTGCGGTCCCGCGCGGCTCTGGACGGAGGGCAAACACGTACATTGGTGGTCGATCATCCAGGAACGCCGGGCTCTGTTTTCGCCATCACTAGAGAGTCATCGACGGGGCTGACCGGTCTCGAGCAAGGGGCAACGTGGATAGGGGGCGACAGCACATCAAGAGCGAGCACACACCACCGCTGGCCACTGGCCACACGAAGTTTTTTCTTTGCTTGCGCCACCCATCACACAACAACACACACAGCTCACACACGCGCAGCGGCAGCCCAAGCCCCAGAAGAACAACGCAAACTTTGCCCATCGCCCCCGTCGCCTCCGGCACCATCTATAAAACTAAGCCACCCGCCCGTGCCCTCCATCATGGGACTCCTCCGTGCAGCAACCACTTTCAGCGTCAAAGATTTCACTGTCTCTGCGACCACTTGGCTTACTATCTCCTTCCGTCCTTTCCTCCAACAAGCCGTCTTCTTCGTCTTCAATTCCTTCTTTCCAATCATGTTCCGGGCCAACAAGAGAGTTGCCTCTTCCTCCACCACCGCTTCCGCTTCATCTTCTTCTCCTGCCGCTGGCGGCATGGATGTCATGGAGGTGACCCGGCCTCGCTCGGCGGCCGGCCCCGCAAGGCCCCCGTCGAGGATGCAGCGCAAGCCTAAGCCCCAGGGTCCCTGGCCGAGGGACGCTGGTGGTCAGTAAACGTCTTATCGACGACCATGACCGAATGTGGACTTGAGGTTAATGGTAGGTATCATGCCATCTCGCACAAGACGTCTTGACTAACAACGGCCCATTGAAGCAGCAATGCAGAACCTTGTTCCACATGGGAACCAAGGACGGCTCCCTTTTTCCCTTGTCTTTTCTTTCCCATCAACTATCGGCAAAAGGCAACGAATCAAATCACGATAATCATAATCGCCAACTCTCTTGAATCAACAACAGACGAAGTACGGAGGACGATAATCGATAATTTTTCTGGCATCCTATTTCAACCTCCCTTCTACACAGTCACCGCCTCATCAAACTCAACGAATCTCTTCGCAACGCTGGGGGTCGTCGACCTTTCGGCAACTAGAAAAAGAAAACGCCATATCCACCAGCACACGAGACCCAACCAACCAACCACCAGGAGAACGATCGAAAAAAAAAATCAGACCGAAAATCCTCTTCCGAGCCTCCCATCCTCTTCCACACCATCCACCCACCACTTCCAGCGAGAAGGGGGAGGAGGACGGGGAGTGAACTGGGCTGACGGCTGGCGGCGGGCGGCGGGGGGCGGGCGGCTGCCGCTCTCCCCCTCCCCCCTCCCCGGATCATCCGCGCGCGCGCGACGATTCCGTGGACGCCAAAACGCTGCGGACGGCAGCGCGCGCGGACCCACTCCCGCCGGTGAAGACTCACCGCCCGACCATGACTAGTAGTACTACGTACTGTCCATGCACACATATGCACGCCATCCTCACGCGCGCGTCTGCGTCTGCGTCTGCGTCTGCGTCTGCGCCTGCGTCTGCGCCTGCGTCATGTCGCACGGCGGGATTTTCTCCCCTTCGCTTACCTGGTACTCCACCGGTTCTCCAACGCACAGAAGGCCAGTGCTCGACTCGTGCCTTTCTTGGCGGGAAGAATACCTAGCGTCTTTTTTTTTGGGGGGGGGGCCCTTTATATCACGCGATCTCGCGATTGTTTCCCTCCCTTTTTTCGTCCTGTCGTGTCGCGTCTGTCGGTGTTTCTCCGCGCGCGCCGCCGCCGCCGCTTCTTTTTGGGTTTTCCTGGATCCGGGCATCTTTTTCCGGCGGGCCGGAATTGGATCCGATCCGATGCCCCGTCTCCCGCGGGTGTCTCGTGCGATACTTTTTACTGTACGACTGATGGGCTTGGCTTGGCGGATGTTGAAGAAGGGTTGGTTCATGTCATGGGGGTGCATGTGGCGTGACGAAGAGATGGACTCCTTTCTTTCTTTTTTGCTTTTGGTTTTTTGGTTTTCCTTTGTGGAGGAATGATGATGTTGTCATGTTGATGATGATGTTTGCTGGGGCGTTTGTTCGCATTCTCAAGAGAAGGGATGACAGATATACCTCGGACTTTCTTTTCTTTTCTTTTTGTCCGTCCACATAGATGGCGTCTCTTCTTTTTTCTTTCCCCTGTTCTGGAAATTATATAGATCTTTTAGTAGTTAGCACGCGCTATGCATGGTTTTGGTAATTTGTAGCTTAGATCGTTAATTGTTTTTTCTCTTCGAGTCGTCTCGTGAAGTCGTGATTGCAGTGTGATGAAAATGTGGAGGTGGCGAACTGTGGAGGATCAACAGGAACGACCGACGCCTCGCCATGTATAAGCAGGTAGGTAATAATAAGCGCGCGAATGAACAACCGGAGCTTTTGTTCAGCACGTGCAAGCAGTCGGTCGGTACATGTCATGCGTACCGCGGGCGATTATTGATCGTGAAACTAAGAACTTTTTAGGCTCGATGGCCGACAGGTTCGTTACGTTCCGTTCCGTAATTGCACCCATTTTTTTTGTCAAGCGCCCAGCGCCTTTATTCCAACCTCCATCCTGAATGCCAAAAAAGAAAACGCCGTAGCTTTTTGTTGTCCCTTGCCTTTTGTGTTGTCCATTGCCCTTTTGTGTTGTCCTTTGCCCTTTTTGTTTTCCTTTTTTCCCTTTTGGTCCCTTTTTTCCCCCTCATCGGGATTGGTTGTGATCTTTTTGTTGATGACTTGATGATGAAAGAACGGCGGAGGCGCAGAAACGGAGACGTCGTGAGGGACCTGCCCAGCATAGTCGTTTCTGCCGTCGAAAGTCATCAGTCAGTCTTGAGATCGAGCAGGGTCCGTTGGCGTGCGTAGCATGTATGCACATACATACATCTCGCTTCCTCCGACATAAACACTCCAAGAAGGTGACGGAAGTCCGTACGTACCTACACACCACCCCATCCACACCACCACTCCCCCCTCCCCTCCCCTCCACTCCCCCCACGCTCCTCCATCCAAGCAGTCCCACACCGCCATGGCACCCATCCGAACCCACCCACCACTCTTCCATGATTCCATCAGCAGCGCCCAGCAGCACCGGCTGCAGAACACCCCCATTCACGTCCACGCGTTTTCCCCCCGCCCCCGTCGCCGCCGCCGCACGCCCTGCCGCCGCTGCCGCTGCCGCTGCCGCCGCCCCTCCCTCGTCGCCCCTTGCGCGAGGAAGAATTATCATTTTGCGGCCGCTGCCGGCGGCGGCGGCTGCTGCACGAGTGCCGCCCGCCGCGCATGCGCATCCAACCGTTGCAGACGGCGCAGCGGGCGACGTTGTGGCGGCGGTTGCGGGGGGTGGCGAGGGTGTGGGTGTGGGTGTTGTTGGGTAGCTGGTCGGGGTCGATGTCGAGGCTGCGGAGTTCGCGGCGGAGGGGCATGGTTGGTGTGTTGGTTTGGTGGTGTCTTGGTGTGGGAGAGGGGGCGGCGGTGCGGCGGTGCGGCGGTGCGGGATGGGGCTGGGGAGATGTAAGTGTGGTGGATGGGTGGATGGGTGGATGGATGGAGGAGATGTTGATGGGCGGATGCGGTGGGGGTGTGAGACGCGTTTTTTGGTGGGTGGGCGATGGAGGGCGGGTGGGTTCGATGGTTGAGTGCTGATGGAGATGGTTTTCGGGAGGAGCTGGGTATTTCTGGTGGCGGATGGAAAGAGGTATAAGAGGATGGATGAGGATGAGTTGGGAGTGTTGGGTTGGTGAGGTTATGGGGGGCTTTATACCATCGGACTCTGTCCTTGAGAGACGCGTCGCTGAAAAAATGATATCTGATTGGGGGTAAGGCTCTGTCGATCGGCTCTTGGGGGTTGGAAATTACTCTGGGTGCTGTCATATGGCAGCGGTCGTTGCTTGGGGGACGGTCACGGACTCACGGTCGCGCCCACAACAGAAAGAGAGAGAAAAAAAAACCCTGTACTGGTCACAAGCGGTTCTAGTGAGGGCTATGATAGATAGAGACGGGCCCGAGCAAGGCCAGTGCCCATACAAGCCTGGAAAGGCAATGGTGAATCCTGTCCGTGCACGATGCGCTGGGCCAGGCTATTTGTTCGATGAGCAAGACTCGCCGGCGTGCAATGGTTTGGGTATGCCCTGATCGGCGGTGGCGTCCAGCGGCAGTAACCTGAAACCGATGGCTTTCGATGGACCCACTAGAGTCATGAGAGGGACGGAGGAAGCCAGCGGGAGGTGGCATCCTTGACTATTCCGGCTTTCCGCGCGATGCTCCCCCACCCTTTCTCTTGACAGCACCCGTCTGAAGGTAACCCATTTTGTTTTAGTATGTCGCGGTGTACCGATGAGAATGTGTTATACGCTGGGCCTGCATGTTCGATGCACATGGTCGGGGTTCGGTAGTAACTCCAGAAGCCTTCGTATGTCGAAGCGTATGGTTGAGCGTTCGAACTTGCGCCCGGGTCGCATAGCAATATGATCAGCTTTGAAGAAAGCACCGCGGCAATGTGGGATTCGAACTCGTGTGGTGAAAGAGAATTGCGTCGATGCTCGCTTGGTCGCTTTCGTAGCAGACGGTGATCGCTACTGAGATGGTTCTAAATGCTTCCCGCACGGTAAGGGACTCCTGTACGCACCATTAGGGATCCGTTGTTTCTCTTTTAACTTCCAGCTTCTCATCAGGCCTGGCTGTGGAAATGAAAATCCCTTGACTAGCAAAATGTGGACGTCTCCGCTTCCATTGGTTGCCTCATGCTGAGTTGAATGCGACAATAGAAGAGAACGGAATGGGAGCCTAAGGAAGAGCGAAAGCATTTGTAAGCAGGATTCGAACGAGCTTTCGCAGCTCGCCAATCAGCCAGTAAGGTTGCTTGCTTTGCGGTCAGATGATGGTAAAAGATTTCACAAAAGTAGGGAACGCGGGAGCCATGGTCGGTGGAACAAGTAGAGCCACTTGTACTGGTGTAGGATGCCTGTGCTGCATAAACAGCATGAAGGAAATATCACTATTTTGCACTGCTTAAGAGTCTCTCTTTACATGGCCAGATTAAACGCTTGGGGTGGTGTTTAACCGCCGGTGGCAGTGCAATTCGACAGCCCCCAATAACAGCCAGCCAGCAAGGCACACTTCGCAGCAATTTCAGCCCTGCGGCACAGCAACCATGACTCATGAGCCCAGATGCCGCTGTTGCCTGGCAGAGCTAAAAACTTTGATCGGCTCGCAGAGATCATCAACGAATGCGCCTCCAACCCATTTGAAAGCAAATGCTCTGCCTCAAATTTTGATGTTTCTGAATTTGCGCCATCTGACATCTCAGCAGGTCGAGGGAGGCTGTCACGACCGTATATAGTTGACAGAGGAGTATTGATTTTTGATTGTTTTTGTCAATGTATTGAATGAGTGCTTTTTATTAATACTAGGAGCAAAGATCAGGGGGAGGAGATAAGGTTCGGGGGGAAGGGCGGAAGATATTGCCTATCTCCGATCTGTTCCCAGGCTTCCGCAGAAGATGCGGTTGAGGAGTCGTGGACGCGGGCGTCGCAGATGCGGAGGCGGAATCTCAGGAGAGGCCGCCCTGTGAGCTATCGACCTGTCCGGGCCTACCTCCGCCCACATCTGCCCCTGCAGTCCTGCCAACCGGTACCATCAGGCGCGTTTTTTTTTTTTTTACCTGGTATGACTTGGCACATGTCATTGCGCGGGTTTGAGCGGCGGAGCGGGAGCGGCGCTGCAATAATGTGGACTCTCGAACTTGATATCCCAAATTTCTAATAGTCAGCGCAGCAAGGCCATATTTTCTGCCAATTTGCCGGATGAAACCATCAAAAGAGCATTTCAATGATATTTGAGATTCGAAGGACAGAAAGCGTGAGAGAAGAACAGCTTGTAGAATTTTTCTCCATGCATCCAACGCCAAAATTACGCGTGAGGAAGCCTAAAAAAAAGGGGAGGGAGGAGTGTGTGGGGGCGGGGGGAAGAAGATATCCAATTCGGGCCAGCGAACGGAATTAAGCGTGTTTCAGCTCTAGGTCTAGGATGCGACGTACGGAGCTGACGCCTACTTCTGTACGCGCTGGGGCTGTGCGGCACAGCAGCGCCTGACCAACTGACGAAATAAAGTAGGCGGCAAGGCAGACTCGAGCACAAGAGCCTGTTGTTCGGCCTTTTCACCGCACTTTCTGCATGTGGTGGAGAAAATTTATCTTTGTAAGCGATGATTGGGGCATGATGAAGCGGAATCTGGGCATTTGGGCCTTGACCGTTGGGGGCAGGGCGCAGCGGCGCGTGCAATCGGGGCTATGAAAGATGGGACATGCACATGGCACTCTTGTGAAAGGATATCCCAGACGAATCTTTACTTCTCTTAGCAAGAGAAACATTCATTCAAAGATTCGTTCTAAGGCTGTAAGATAGGAATAAAATACCTACAGGTATTAAAATTAGTACTCGGAGATTCAAGGCCGCAATCATGGTGTAATGCATTGCCATGGCAACGTGGAAAGTAGGCAGTCGATCATGAATACGAATTAGGCTGCACCGCTCGTGTGGGATCCACTTTTCCTTTTGAGGAACAGACAATAACACGCGGTCTACCGACCGGGCTGCGTCGACGCGAAGCGTCCAAATAATCCGGCCCTTTGTTTTGATTCCCGCGAATAACACACGTCACATAGGCACACCGCCATTTAAAATATTGGTCTATGGATCTACTGGGGTTTATGGGACGGGCTCGGTGTGGTTCCCGCTCCAACGCTCATGAGCGCGCGCGATTTGCGGCACGCACGTCTTACGTGGAGCGTGTCTATATATTCTTTCTATGAATGCGTTGAAGATTCAGTAAGAAATAATTGCTACCTGATGAAGTTGTTCAAGTACGACACGGAACAAGGCCATAAAAGCGCCCCAAGGTCCTTAATGGTTGACAGTAAGACACTTGCCCGCAACAACCTTTACCTACCACAGATACGGCCCTAGTCTGGACAGACCCTTGAATCCATGCACAGTCATCTGATAACGGCAACAAAATGGGATGTTGGGGTCCCCGCTCCCGGCTGAGCGAACACCTCAGTCCGGAGAAACGAGGTAGCATGAAACGTCAGAGTCGAACAACAGCCACGCCCTGCTCGTGATTTCGCTAATAACTTCGAAACCTCTATTAAGGGGGATCCGGAAGAGTCGGAAGGACTCAAGCAGATCGACCTCCGGCCAGCCTTGGTCCGTCGAAGTCTGTTTCATGGTATACCCGCAGCGCAAACTTCTTCGGATGATGGGTGCGTGAATGCCTCGCCGAACAATCACTCGATTGGCTGCGCCAGGAGCAAAGCCCCTCGAAAGCCGATCCCAAGACCGGGGCTCCACAAATATGGCGTGTTTCTGGTTCAGGGCCGAAGTGTCTGGCTCGCAGGCTCGATCGATGTCGGCTCATCATCGGTCATTACTTTTCTGCCATGGCCCCTTGTCACAGATGTCATGGCCTCCAAGCAACCCCGGTTTCCGTATATAAAGGGTTTAGGAGCCAGTGCACCGGATGCAATCTCGATGGGCTCGACGTGTTCGCATATGCACAGCGCCCTTTCCGTATCTTCCAACCATGGCTTCTATCGAATAAGCGTTTGAGATGGATTCACCGACACTCTCTTGCCCACCGAAGTCACCTGGCCAGGCAGTCACGCTCTCTTCCTTATCGCAACCAGAAAAGTCTCGCCCCGATCTCACGGCGAATCAAGACGCAGCTTCTCCGTTTCGAACGAAACTTCCAGAACGAGTCGGCCCACAACGCTCCTCGTACCTATGCGCCTCCATGCCGTACTTCCAGGCTCCGACTGCAAGAAGTGCTTGAAATGGGCAAGGTGGGCTATATTGCGAAACGCATCCCTCCAGCCCATGTTCCCCCGACTCTCAAAAAAAGCGGTGAAGGCCGGCCAGGGGAGAGATAGCAGGCGAAGGACGGAATGAATATGGGGCTAGCAAAAAGCATGCAAGCGGCGAGCCAACTCTCTACGAGTTGCAGTACCGCAAAAACATTCGTCTGCAAAGCGGGTCAAAGCTTTCCGTCGCACTTCTCACAGAGTCGCCGCCATCGACGAGGACCGCTCTGCACTGCCGACACATGTTTCTACAGGGCCAAGCGTTGCTCCGTCTGTGAGCACTGTATCAAACGGTATCGCAAGTGACGTAGGCTTGTTGGGAACGTGGGTCCAAGCAGATGGGCCTCACCGAAACGGAATACGATGTGAGTAAGTCGGCTCGAGAGCATGAGGTATTGGCAAAGACTGAGAGTGGTGATTTTCAACTCTCGTGATGTGTGAGCACGGGCATAGCTGAGCCACAGAAGGACAGCGATCATGCCACTAACGACTCAAAGCTTGGCGCACGCAGGTACCAGACGAACGATGGCAGAACCCGCAAGGCCTTTTCCTCTTCCTCTTCCTCCTCTCCTCTCTTTTATTTCACGTCGAAGTACTAGCGATGGACACGCGTACGGCAGGAACTGTTGGTCGGGCCCATGGGCATCCGAACGCCGTAGCTACCCGGCGGCTATTGCACAGTGCTTGCTTCATTGGCTTTCAAGCACTTGAGCGTCTGCATGAGTGGATTCGGGACAAGTCGGGGCTCACACAAATTGCGGGCGCGCGTCGTCGTCTCGACGAGAGATGTTTGGTGTTCAAGGCTCTCAGCCAGGTGCCATGTGGCTGAGAAAAGCAAGTTTCATAGAGCTCGTGACGGGTTGTGGACCCGATGTCGGGACGGAAGGAGGAAGATCAACAGAGCATCTCAGCCCAACGGTGATCTGCACAGATTGCGGTGTGGCGGTTGAGAGATTTGTCGTGAAAGCAACGCCCAACCTCTGCTCGAGCTGGTGTGCGGCGAGGTGGTGAGCTGGAGGCCGGCGGAATTGGTCGCGTCGAGGATTCGGGCATTCGCGCGTCGGCCCGGCGAGGGAGCAGGGAACGGCATCGGAGCAGACGAATGAGGAATGCTGCGTAAGCGCGACAGTCGGGCACGAGCGGATGGTGAAGCTGTGTGGTGAAGGTTCAGGACGGTAAGCGCGGGCGCGGGTCGTATGACGTCGGGCCACGTGAGTCGGCAGCGTGGGGACGCCGGCCGGTAACGGCGGGACCTGTCGCGTCTCCGACGTGGACCTCGTTCAGCCCTCAAGTACTCCGCTCTCCGCTCTCCGCGCATCCCGCCTCCTCCGACCTCACCTATGTGCCGCTGCCCACGGCCATGTCTTCCGCGCGGTCCCGCGTCGCGCTCGAGAGCCTCCCCAACGAGCTGCTGCTGCAGGTGCTGATCGACGCCCCCGACGCCGTGCTCAGCCTGCGCCAGGTCAACCGCCGCTTCGCCGACCTGGTCGTCTCGCACGAGAAGCTGATTGCCGACCGCATCTTCCAGCGCACCCGCTGCGGCCGCGCTGCCGCCGACCGCTGGAGCCTGTCGCCCGACTCGTACCGCCGCGCCCGCAACTGGCGCCACAACGCCATCTTCTACCGCAAGTTCTGGCGCGTCTTCGGCAACAAGAAGATCTACAGCGACTGCTACTTCTGCACAAACTCGGGCTTCCCCTTCCTCGACACCGACCGCTTCGACTCGCTGATGAAGTCGCCCCTGGCCCTGGCCTACATCTTTCACGCCCTGAGTGCCTGCACCGAGGACGACCCCAAGTGGTACCTCGCCTCCGTCCGCGAGTCCCACAAATGACAATTTCCCGCCGGTGTGCATCCTCCGTGTTCTGGTCTTGTGGGTTGCTTTTGCCGTCGAGGCTCCATCGAACCCTTACCCACCCCCGTTTCCCTCCGAAACGGCAGATCGTCCAGCACACAGTTGATGTGAACCGGCGCGTGGTCTTGTCTGGCTTCCCCAAACCCGCTGTCCAGCCTGATCGGGGCTCCCATCTGTCCCGACCATTTCCATCGAGTTCCGCATGTCCGGTGAATTCCTGGATAGACTCTCCTCCCCTCTTATCAAAAGCTCCAACCCAGTCTTGTGAGGCGCTCGGCTGCCACAATCCGGGTCCTTTTACCCGGCGAAAGCCGAGGCATATGACCCTACCTTGATGTCCGCATGTGGCATTGGCCAAATATCCCCCAAGACCGGGTCCGCATGGAAGTAGGCTGGACCTCTTCCCTCCGTGTGCCCAACTGACCTAACATTGAGGCGATTCCAGGCCGGCGCACCAACGCGCTGAAGTAGAGACCAGAATACGGACGGGTTTGCGCGCAGGACATGCTCGGTCAAATCAAGCTGAAGTGGCCGACCGCCCCATCGAGTCATGCGGGTTGCAAGTTGCAATCCTCTATGCGAGACGGCTGGCCAGGTATATGTGGCACTCCAGTGGTGTGGAGCGTTCCCCTGTCCTTGGCGGATGGACCTGCAGCCTTGCAACACTAGGCCATGGGCTCGGCCACACTTTGGACCGGTCACAGACTCATTTCCCTCCGCGAGTCATGCACTGCTGTGTATTGTCGATCAACAATAAGCATTCCGATAGCGTTGGCCCGCGTCTGCAAACCGTCTCTTCCTGTGAGCCAAGATTCGGTAGAACACGGCTCGACTCTGCTGCAGACCGGGCAAATTTTCCTTTAGTGTTGGGCAGCAGCCTCGTGCAATAATCTAAGCCGCTTTCGATGCACCTCCAATGACGGACCGCCCGCGGCTCGATCTCTCTCTCTCTCTCCAAGCTGCATGCAGCGATCCGCGGCACAGCACTGGCGCGTCAAGGCCCCCCCTGTGGAGCAGACGCGCTAAAGTCGGCCGACTTTCCGAGCCCCGTTTCCAGCGCCTCAGCCGCTTATGGCCATCGAAGCGAATCGTCATCTCTGACCCGTGCGTCGTGGTGGATGCGGGGCGGCCGATCCGCTCGAATGGCGTCAACCGGAGCTTTTCCCGCCTCAATGACCTGTGGTTCGCCCAGCCTCTAGCTGCAGCACGCACCTGGCTTTCGAACCATCAGCACATAAGACGAGCCCTGGTTGCGAGTTAAAAACGAACCCCAGCGTCAGGCAAACTGCACTTCGACTCCCCCGGCCGGAGCTTGGCCCGCACCCTTTCTCTGGGGCCACCTGCACATCACTGCTGAAGAACGGCTGCTGTTGCTAGACGGGTAGCGCCGAGGCCAGCAATGCACCGTGATGGTGATAATCACCCGCTTGACTGGGGTTCGTTAAGCGTTTGCGGCCGTATAGCGGGCGCCTAATTAAGAACGATTCACAGCTGAAGACACGAAACGTGCCTGGTACTTCGTGATCCCGTCGACGCCCCCCCGGAGTCCACTCCTACGGAGGCTTTTGCCCAAATACGCCACGCTGACCAGAAGCCAACGGTCGGTTCAACTTTGTATCGATGGCCGATGCGGTCCCGCACATGGCGAAATACAAACTGAATGTCAACGTTTCCCCGACGAGATTCTCCGAATCCAGCTCTCCACATCCCGGCGCCTCCCACCCCCCATCTTGCGCGACCCGCCTGGCCCGTCATCGTCCAAACGAACCATGCGAGTACCCGTGATGCTCCAAGCGCTTCCTCGATCGACGGCTGCCCCAGGAACAGGCCTCTTCTCGCGCAATAGGCCGCCGCCATCCGTGCTCCATACTTGCCATTTTGAGCATCGTGTCCAAGCTCTCCCGTCCACCACGTGGGAACCGCGCTATCTGTGATCGCCTGCAGCCTCGTTGTCATCCACTCGCGTGATTCGACGCCGTCGCCTCGTTCCCGCCCGCGCTGGCGCAAGCCCGCAATCCGCCGGGCCTCCTCATCGCACCCGAACGGCGTTGTGGGGGTTAAGGGTCCCCTTTTGGTGGCTTATTGGGCTTCGACTCGCCTGACATCGAGCTTGTCGGCCGTTTTCGTCTGTCTTCATGAGGCGAAAGGTGCCCCTGGCTTTACGGAGGCCTGCTGTTCCACAGGGTTGATGGCTGTCGGTACCCTGACCAACACTGATTCCTTCATCATACTCTGTCCGCCCGCCCGTCGCCTTGTTTCTTCGACGGCTTAATGGTCGTCGTCGGCAGTCCGTCATCCATTGTTGGGAATTAACCTTCGTCTCAGCCCATCGTTACCCTTCCTCTTTCGTCCGCCCTCACACTCTCACTCTCTTTCCTCTCCCCTCTCCCCTATCTCTCTCCCGGACTCTGGTACCATGACCACCGGGCATGATGCAGTGGTGGGTTGCTTTGTTTGCGCGGGAATTGCGACTGTGTTCGTCGCATTACGGGTCTACACGCGTTTCTGGGTCAGCCGGCATCCTGGCTGGGACGACAACATGGTCGTTCTTGCCTTGTTTTTCGCCATCGCGTTATGTCCCATATACGTCCAACGTAAGTCTCATTCAGACATTCGGGGGATCCATCAGTACTCGCTCCTCCTCCGTCACGCGCAATTCGCTTACAGAGACTTGTGCGCAGAATACAAGTACGGACTGGGCGATCACATCCAGGACATCCCTCCGCCGAAGTTGGCGAAGCAGATGGAGTGGTTCTGGGTATCAACATGTAAGTTCTTTTTTCTCCTTTTGCATTCAGTACTTTTCGACATGAGAAAAATTTAATTCTAACCGCCCCTCCAGGGATCTACCTCACCGGCGTCGCCTTCGCAAAAATCTCCATCCTCATCCAATACATCCGCGTCTTCGTCGGCACCAAAACGATTGTTGCCTCGTGGGCCACCGTTGGCTTCATCGTCACCTGCTGCCTCGTCTGCTTCTTCGGCGGCATCTTCGCCTGCACTCCCGTCGAGAAATTTTGGAACCCGACAATACCGGGGAAATGTATAAACTATTTGGCGATTTGGTATGTGCAGCACGCGACGCAGGATTTTTTTTTTTCCCTTTCCTCAACGCCCCGCGGACTGACGATCGACTGACGATTGACATGCAGGTACCTCCACTGCGCCATGGCCATCGCGACCGACCTCGCCATCGTCATCATCCCCCTCCCCACCATCGTGAACATGAACCTCGAAAGCAAGAAAAAGTGGATCCTGGCCTTCACCTTCGCCCTCGGCGGCTTGTAAGCACGATCCCTTCCCTTCCCTCCTCCTGCCCCCAACCCTCTCCTCCCCGCCGCTAACGTCGACGTCCATGTGTTCCAGCGGCTGCGTCACCTCCATCATCCGCCTCTACTACCTCCGCTTCCTCACCCAGACGCCCGACCCCACCCACTACAACCCGATCCCGGCGCTCTGGTCCGCCGTCGAGCTCGCCGTCGTCATCGTCTGCGCCTGCCTCATCACCCTGCACCCGCTGCTCGTCCACGTCCTCCGCCCGCTGAGGATGTTCGCGAGCCAGTACTACTCGGGCGCCGGCGGCGCGGAGAACAACGACGACGAGTCCAGGCGCCGCCGCAGGCAGCAGCGGCAGCAGGCGCGCCTGCCGTCGTACGTCCAGGACGGCGCGGGCGTGTCCGAGGAGGAGAGGAGGGAGCGGTACGCGAGGGCGGTGGCGGGCTGGGAGGCGGCGGCGGGGGGGAAGAAGAGGGGGGGCGGGAACAACGTCGTCGTCGGGTTGGGGACGATGCTGTTGGAGAGCGGGTGGAGCGAGGAGCGGTTGACGGCGGAGAGGGTCGAGGAGGGCGTGATTAAGGTGCAGACGGGGGTGGATGTGGTGACGGCGACGATGACGACGACGGATGGTGGGAGCGTGAGGACGTTGACGAGGGAGAGGAGTGAGGGGAGTTTTTTGAAGGATGGGGAGGTGGAGGTGGAGGAGAGTGATGGGGGGAAGTGGGTGGATGTGGAGCTTGGTGGTGGTGGTGGTGGGAGGAGGATGTGATGTGATGGGGGAAGATGAGTTGTCGATTCTTGGTGTTTTCCCCCCCTTTGGGCTTGCAGCGTTTTTTTGGGGCAAAAAAGTTGCCTGATGATGATGCAGTCATGGATGGGATTCGGGAGCGTGCTTTCATTTTTGAGATACGCATATACCCTGGGATGAAGCATTGGGGCGCGGGTTTTTGTCTTTTATGGCAGGGCGTTCTTCTTTGGTGGTTTGGGTACGCCGAGCGAACATGGCTTTTTTTTTTTTTTTCATCCTGTTGTCCTTCATTGAGCCGGCGTTGAGCAATCACTTTTCGCATGTAGAGGCACCATTTCACGTTTCCGCAAGTTAATACGACAGTTCCGCTCTGCCTCGCGTTTAGCAATAGATGAGTAACCAGTGCTTGCAATCATGATTCACGTAGAAGATTTGGCCATTACATTCATTCCACCTCACGTGCGTCGGCGGCTGCTGACGTCTCTCATCACCTACGTGTGCGGCACACACATGCAGCTCTCAAACGCATTCCCAGTCACTCTTACCAAGATTAGGCAGGTACGTATAGGAGCTCGGCGGACACCAGCAAAGTTCAGTGCTAGTTCTCTAGCGGCAATTAGGAGCTCCATCCCTGTCCGTCCCTCACGTTTCCTTACCCCCTCCACCACCAACAATGCCAGCCACCGCCACAGTCAATAGCTCGCTGCCCCTCGCCCTCTCAGCTCTATGATTCCTTTTTCTCTATTTCTCCGTTCCTCCCGGTCCATCAAAACTCCCCTGTCCCCCCCTCCCCCACCCCCGCCATTATGATTATCGCAAAAGCCCGCCCGGACGTATGTACATACGTCGACGACGTCACAAGGCGGCATCAGTAGTGGTACCTTTTTACGCGTATGCATGCATGCATGCATGCCACGCCCCCCTCCTAGGGCCCTTCCTTCCTTCTTCCTTCCCGCGGTGAAACACCTGATTCCTACCCGTCCGCGCGCACTTCCGAAACACGCACACGCACGCACATACCTAGAGGGCGAGCGAGACGTACCCCGGCGTATGATCCGCGTTCCCCACGTCGTTCGTCGGAGCCGCCCGTACCGCCCGTACCGCTGGCCTGGCTTGGTTCCTTCCTTCCTTCCCTTCTGATTGTCGCAGCGATAAACAAAAAAAAGAAAAAAAGAAGATTGAGGGAGGGTTGCAGGTCCAGACCGGCCCATTCGTTCGTCATCATCCATCCATCCATCCCCCCCCCCCGCGGTAACTGGGTAGGTGCTCTGCGTTTGACATCATTGCCGGGGTGGAAGGGGATTGAGTTTCTTTCTTTCTTTTTTTTTTCTGCAACTCCCAATCCCCTAGGTGTGAGTCGTTGCACGATACGCAACGCCACGGCTTCGCTTTGTGATCAGCGCTGGTGTTGTGCGCTGGGGCGTGCGTACGTAAGTCTGTGTTGTTGCTTTTCTCATTAGAGTTCCCGTCTGGTGGGAGGAACAAGCCTCTGAAGGATTCGGTGTACTCCGCAGGATCCCGCGCGCATTTTTTTTTCCCCTTCTTTTCTTCTGCCTTCGATTCCTGGCTCCCGCCCGCGCGCCGCCGCTGAGGCTGCTACACACGGATCGAGCAAGAACAATGTCGGGGTAGGTGTGTAGATCATGTCCTGTCGCTATTTTTTTTTAATCTATTTTGATGACGAAACGGTTGGTCAGATACTACCTCCTCCACCGTCGGCGGGCGGACGGGTGGCCGGCCGGCCGGCCGGGCGTCGAGTATTGATGGTGTTGTGTGTTCGGTGTGCGATTCGGGACTGCCTTCCTTGATGCCCGTGATGGGGCCAGCGGTTTGTGGTGTAATTGATCGCCAAGGAGGCGGGGGAGATGGGCTCTCGCTTTGGTCGGTCTCATCTTTGTTCTCACCGGGTTCGCGATGAATTTGCCTTATTCGGCTCTTGGAGATTGTTTTGGAAGGGTTGGAGGTGAGACACGGATTGCCTTCAGCAATTACCGTACGGGTTTGACGCTTCCAACATTACGTGGGTACCACGGACGTGCGGGATTCCTTGTTCTTGCAGAAGGTGATTAATTGCTGGATCCTCCACGGCCGATGGCTGCAATGATGGATGGTGGTTTGCGCGGTGGCGGTTATGATATAGCCATATAGGTTTTGTCTTTTTAAAATTCGCCCATTGTTTTCGCTAAATTACTTCATCAGTGCTAACTCGAATTAGAAGCTCTGAGTAGGTAGGTCGATCTTGTCTCTGGAAAAGGCATCGTCGGGTAGCTGCGGCGTTGGGGCAACTCGATAATTGCTGCCAAGCTAGTCCTCTTCGTCTCCTTTGATGCTTGGCCCGCTCTCTTTTACTATAGTCTTTTGGCCACTGTAGGATGCCAGGAGCAGAGCCGTGGTGGTGTCTAGGTTAAAATCCGCGCGTTTCCCGACCGATGCTCTAATCGCAATATGATTCCCAAGACACGACGATTCACAACGCAAGATCAGGTTCGACCTTCGCAAAAACAAAAAAGGTGGGTTAGCGCATCGATCAGACAGGCAAGAACTCGATATAGAATCCAGAACCAATTATGTCCTCATGTGACTTCCTGCGATCACCGTCCAACAGATACATACACGTGCAGTAAGATCACAAATACCAGCTTGCGCTCTCGCTCGCCCAACAGCCATTCCGAACGCGTGAGTTCTTTCTCTCTCGGCCTCTGCCTCCTGGAAGCAATCAAGATGTCCGTTTCGCATTCGGTGAAGATCGAAAGTGCAGTCAGTCACTTGCCTCCAACGCCCAGGGCAGTGCCGACGTTCCCCGTCTACTTACAAACCCCAGCCCAGCAACCTACCCCCCTACACTACTCCTCCCGCGATGCCCGCACCACTACAGGCTGTAATTCATACTGCGACGAAGCCACGGACATCGATCCACGACGACCGCCGCCCCCATCCGCCGCCGCCGTCCCTCCCCCTTCCCCTCCTCCTCCCTCCCTCCTCGCCCCCTCTTCTCCCTCCTCCTCCCCCTTCCTCCACACACTCCCCCGCAACTCCCTCGGCACCTCCACCACAAACACACTCACCCCCAACCCAACCACACACATCCCCACACAAGCCCAATACACGGCCCTAAACCCCTCCTCAGCAATCACCCCACCCTTCCCACTACTCCCAGCACCCCCACCAGAACCACCCCCACCCACCCCCTCCGCCACGGCCGTCAACCCCGCCAACCCCACCACCGACCCGCCCACCTGCAGCGCGACGTTGAACACGCCCGCCGCGGCGCCCTGGTCGCTGCGCGACGCGCCCGTGACGACGACGACGTTGGCGGCGACGTAGACGGCGCCGATGCCGGCGATGTACAGGACCATGCCGGGGAAGGTCGTGCGCCAGTATTTATCCGGGCCGGATGTGAGTGCGAAGAGCGCGATGCCCGGGATGGCGAGGGCCCAGCCGAGGATGAACTGGGGTGGATGAGTTGAGTTAGTCGAGGAGAGGAGGGGAGGGGAGGTCAGCGTGGGGCAAGGGAAGGGGGCGGGACGGAGGAGGATTGGTTGCAAGGGGGGGTCGGTCTAGACTACTCACCATAGCGCGCGCGCCGAGCAGCGGCACCATGCGTCCGGCCAGCGTGTTGCACACCAGCGCCGTCACTCCCAGCGGGACGAACAGCACGCTCGTCTCGATGGCGGTGTGGGCGAAGGGCGGCTGCTGCAGCTGGACGGTGAGGAAATACGTGCAGGCCTGGCGGACGGCGTAGGTGAGGACGGCGAGGACGAGGGTGGGCGCGAAGGAGCGGCGACCCCGGCCCGTGCGGAACAGGTGCGGGGCGAGGATGGCGTGCGGCGCGGAGCGCTCGTGGTGGATGAAGAGGGCGAGGAGCGCGACGGAGAGGATGAGGGGCGCGAGGATGGGGGCCTTGGCCCAGCCGATGGCGTTGGCGGAGCTGAGGGCGAAGGTGAGGAGGAGGATGCCTGGGATGCCGAGGGAGATGCCGAGGGCGTCGAAGCGGGTGAGGCGGGCGTGGAGGGAGTGGAGGAATTTCTTGGGCGGGAGCGGGGGCGGTGCGTCGTCGTTGGTTGCGGGGGCTTCGGAGGAGGGAGGAGGAAGTGGTGGTGGGGTGGTGGCGGCGTTGCGGCTTGAGGGCGGGCGGGGGAGGATGAGGTAGGCTGCTGGGATGACGAGGCCGGAGATGATGAGGGAGATCCAGAAGATCCAGCGCCAGCCGAAGAAGGCTGTTAGAACGCCTCCCAGGATGAGGCCGATGCTGGTTGCGAGTCAGTGGTGCGAGGCAGTTGGAGTCAAGATACATACATGAAGCCCAAAGACCCTGCGGCGCCCCAGATGCCCAAGGCCTTGGCCTTTTTAGCTGGCTCTGTAAAATACAGAGCAACGTGGGCTTGGGCGGGCGGGATTGTAAATGCAGCGCCGATTCCTTGGAAGGCTCTCGCGATGACAAGCCCTATGAAGGTGGGTGAGAGGGCACAGACCAGACTGAACAGCGCGAAAAATGTCATGCCAAACAGCAGGACTCGGCGATGGCTGTGAGATGGGTCAGCGCGGGATTTTGGAAAAAGAGGCAGAGACGCACTCACCCAAAAATGTCGCCTCCGCGGCCACCCAGCAGCAGAAAGCCGCCGAAAGTCAAGGCGTAGGCCGAGATCATCCATTGCAAGTTGGCGACATCGACGTCAAAGTTCTCTTGGATGGTGGGAAGGGCGATGGTAATGGCGCTAAGGTTTGCTAGGTCAAGAAACATGGCAGAGCACCTACAAGCGTCAGCCAGAAAGCATATACGGCACCTGACTCTTGGACTCACACAACTGCCAAAATGTAGTTCGGGTTGCAGCCCGCCATGCTATCGGGCATGGCCTTCAGTTGCTGGAATATTGCCATGGTTGTGGGAATTGGAGGTTGCTGTAGCCTGGTCAGGCACCGGACGACGCGACCTTCTTAATGTTCAGGCGGTGTCCCGGCCGAGAGACCGCACGCCGGTAGAGGCGAAGTCGACCACGCAATAGGTAAGCACGATCGCTACGGTAATGCAGGGATCCACCGATACCAGCCGCCGGGCCGCCTCGTAGATCAAAGCTTGTCGCCCCCTCTAACGCTTACGTCAGCCTATAGTGGCTTCGGACACTCACCTTCCGGACCCAGGATCATGCTATGTCATCAGTTACCATGGATTTGGATTTTGGGTATGCCTGTGCAACTACACCACCGCAGCCACAAAACCAGACTCTGCAGAGCGCCGGGACGCAGTGAGCAAGAATTCTCAAATTCACTTCATCCTCACCATTTTTCCAGTACCGAAAGCACCATCGTGTAGAGCTTCGAGCAACATGCCTACGGAAAAGCATGAATGTAACTAAGAAAGCAAGCGTGCAGTAAGGCATGTCTGAGATGCTCCCTCTACCCACATTGCACCCCTGTAAGAATGGTGATGGGTGAATAGTGAACGGGTCCTGAATACCTGGATACGATTGCTCAAGCGTTGCTGAAACCTGAACATCTCAGAATCTCTATCGGCCTGTTCCTTCACGGCCAATTGGGGTGAAGTAAAAGTTCGGTGACGGTACGCGAAGCAGAGTATGAGGTCGAATATCTCCGCTGGAAGGATTCCCAGACTGTGATTTTGATCTGGATAGGTTCCCGAGATGTTTTGCATGTCGTAGAAGTAGGTAGCAATGGCGCAGATGTGCTCATTCATCTTGCCTTCGATGTGCCACTGCCTTGCAAAACCCGAAGTACAGCCTTCATTTTACTATTTACCCAGAGTGCGATGACGCTATCCGATTTGACGATGGTAGCATCAACGGTATCGGACACTTGGATCATACCAGACTCATCCAGGTTTCGAGCAATTTCTCGAATTTCTTGAATGCGCTCGTTGATGAGTGAGCGTATCGAAAGACAGGCATCGGCGAATGGCATTCGGAAAGCGGACGCGCTGACCATGGACGAGTTCATCATGAAGCATGTGTCGAATGTCGAAGCCGAGCCCTGGGACCTTAAGCTCGAACTCTTGCTGAATAAAGTAGGAAGATTTGGTTGTGGCTATGGCTGTAGGTGCGTTTCCTTGGTTGCTGAAGCTGCTTGCGTGAGCCAGTGCAGGCGTTAGCTTGAGATATTTGACACCGTCCAGGCTCACTGGCCCGTGCCGGCAACGCGAAGGTCGCTGCTGTGGTCTCAGCTTGGGTGGAGGGGGTTGGCGATGAGTGATTGGGGGGGCACGAATTCGACGGCGGAGAGCATCGATGCGGGGATGCACTTGGAGATGCCCGGGCCGACGAGGTGGCGGAGGGTTGAGGATGTGAAGGCGGCGCTTGGTGACGACGTGGAGCTGCTTTACGCCAAGGGTACGCACGCCGTTTCCTGTCTGTCGAACATCAACAAGCTGACCATAACTCAAGGCGCGCACACTTTCCGTCTTCTGCCCCCGATGGGCGAGGACGTCACGGACTGCGAAGGCTCCCCCGGCTGAACCCTCCAGCGCTTCGACACCGACGACTACTCCAACCCCCCCCCCGTCGGCACCAAGAACATCCCCACCTCCAACTGGGCGCCCATCCTTTCCACCGAAACCGCCGAAGCCGGCAAGCTCACCGGCACCTTCAGGCCCTCGAAAACGGGCAACCACCACCTCGGCTTCTCCGGCCTCGGCCCCTGCAAGCTCTTCATCAACGGCGAGCTCGTCTCGGAGCAACCCCACAACCACCCCGAGCCCATGGCCTTCAATCCTCCTCGGCGGCGGCCAGCAACACCCCTTCCAACACCCTTTCCGCGCCGGCCTCCCCTACACCATCGAAGCCCACCTACTCCCACCGCCTGCCCGCCCCTCAACACCAGCGGCCTCAGCGTCGCCGATCGATTTGCTGCCGGGGGAAAGGTCAATCCCTCGACGGGCAGGCTGGCTGTGTCTGCGTGGAGAATACGGGGGAGGTGCATGGCGCGCAGGTTGTGCAGGTGTATGCGGGGCCGGCGGGGGAGACGGCGGTCGAGATGGCGGTGAAGCAGCTTGTTGGGTTTGAGCGGGTGGAGTTGGCGCCGGGCGAGACGAAGGCGGTGCGGGTGGCTGTGCCGGTGAGGGGGCTGGCGTATTTCGAGGAGGGGGTGGGGAAGGGGGTGGTGGAGAAGGGGGAGTATAGGATCATGGTGGGCGAGTCGTCGGTCGATATCCTGGAGAGCTGGGTTGTGGCTGTGGCCGAGAGGTTGGAGTTCGCGCCGTAAAACCTAAGCGTGGCACGGGGAGTAAGAGAGTGGACGATAGAGATGGCAGAGCATTGCAGTTGAGCGGCACTCGGGCGGCAGTCGACAGCCAGTCAACTTCTAGTCATAAATGTTAGTTGTAATGCTATATTTCACGTACGACCATAGGTCGCAGAATATAGGGCTTCCCGTCCGCTCAGCCGTACTCAAGCTGCGAACCGGCCGATTAGTACTCAAGTGGGTGACCATTGGGGAATCCCGGCTGTTGTACGTTTTGTATTTCTTTTTTGGGTGAATTCTTTTGTTAGGGCTGTGCTGTTTCGGATCCGAGACGGAGCGGTTGGAGGTTGCCCCTCGGAGTGTCGGGGGGTGGTGTCCGGATGGTGACTAGCTAGGTAGTCGCTGCTGGCAACTGGTAAGTGGACAGGGGTTGATTATCATGACTAGACATGAGATGTATTGGTTTATGCATGAGTATCGACGTCTTTCCTTTCAATCACGTGAATACTGATGGGTGCGGACGGAATGGTTGGGTGTTTACGAGGGAGTGCGGGTGGACGGGGTGGACCGTGTTTCTTTTAATAGCACGGCCGTCGGGTTGCCACCTGGAGTGGTTAAGCATAATAAGGTGCTGGATACGCCGGACGATCGCTTATCCGCACCTCGTCCCATCCCCCGCGATCATCGGAGACGGCGGGAGTGGTTTCGAGACGTGATTGGAGCTCAATGGCTCCCGCCCTGGCTGGTGCAGCTCGGTCGATGGCGCGCTGGTCAGGATGGGACTGGGTATGATGCTGATGCGTTGTTTTTGCAATTGGCAGCGACTCGTATTCTCGACTCTCGGAGGCAGCGACAGAGAATTCCTGAGGCTACGCGTCGCGCGGGCCAAGCCACGGCGAAGCTCTCTGGCGGGCGCAGCTTAAAGCTTCGTTTGGGACCACGGCCGTCCGCTACGGGCGCAGGACGGGGGCAGCTCGAGGGTGAGCTTGGGCGCGGCGGGCCTGGATTGCCTGGGGCTGGGGTTGGGGCGATAAGGCGCTTCTCCGTCGGCCTCCATCGCGCGCACCGCGCGTCACATTCGTCACAGCCTGCAAACGGCCACCATCATCGACCCACCCAAACACGTAACCCCGTCCCAACCGCAGCACCCACGCCATCTCGAGCCATGGCCACGCATGCCTGCCCTTGCTGCCCCTCCAACCACGCCGCGCCCAGGAAATCAAACGCTACAATAACAATGCCTGCCCGCCCTACCCTCGTCCGCCTTCCTGCCTTAACCTCTGCCCGCATCCTGCTGCCACACTGCTGCCCGCCCGAGGAAGGCTGACTCCTGCCACACCTTCCGCCCGCTGCTGCTGCCCTCGCGCCCGACAAATCCAGCCAGGCCACCGCGAAGTCGAAAACAACGACAAAGTGCAGCCATGCCAGGCCGCAACCCCTTCTCCGAATCCAGCGTCCCGCTGCAAAACACGGGCGGGCCTAGCGATCCGCCGCCCTACGCCATGCATGCGACCGCGACCGAGGAAAAGGTGGCCGGCCCATCGAAATGGAATCCCAAGTCGTGGGGCCTGAAGACCAAGATCGCCGTCGCCGTGGGCATTGCCGCCGTCATCGTCGCCATCATCTGCGGCGCCTACTTTGGCGTGAGGAACAACGCCTACCCCAATTACAGCAAACTCAATTACAGTCTGCAGAAGACATGTAAGCCTCCGTTCCTTTTTCCTGTCCCTTTTTCGCAAAGGCTCCGGCGCTGGTGCTGCGAGGATTTTGGGGTGAAAGTCGTGCATCGCCGAATCGAGACCAGGATGAGTGCTGATGTTTCTGCGCAGATGAGGGTACCTCGTTTTTCGACGACTGGGACTATTTCAACACTTACGATCCTACCGGCGGCTGGGTCCAGTAAGTTTCCCCTCCAGGCTCCAACAGAGTTGCAGAATGCATAAGCTGACGGCCCCAACCACAGCTACGTCGACAACGCCACGGCCGCGTCCATGAACCTCACCTACGCCACCTCCTCCAAGGCCGTCGTCAAGGTCGACACGTCGGAGAACGGCGACTCGGCCAGCACCGGCCGCAAATCCGTCCGCATCACGTCGCGCGACACGTGGAGCAGCGGCCTCTTCCTCTTCGACATCACCCACTCGCCCTACGGCTGCGGCACCTGGCCCGCCGTGTGGCTGTCGGACCCCTACAACTGGCCCGCCAACGGCGAGATCGACGTCCTCGAGGGCGTCAACCAGATCTCGGACAACAAGAACCAGATGACGCTGCACACCACCGACGGCTGCACCATGGACCGCAAGCGCAAGCAGTCGGGCAGCACCATCCACGAAAACTGCTGGAACGCCACCAACGACAACGCCGGCTGCGGCGTCTACGGCTCCTCGACCTCCATCGGCAAGGCCTTCAACAACGTCGGCGGCGGCGTCTACGCCGTCGAGTGGCGCGACGCCGGCATCCGCATCTGGTATTTCGAGCGCGACAGCATCCCCGACGACGTCGCCGCCAGCAACAGCAGCAGCAGCACCACCACCCCCGACCCCAGCACCTGGGGCGAGGCCGCCGCCGACTTCCCCAGCACCGACTGCGACATCGGCAGCCACTTCCGCAACATGAGCATCATCGTCAACATCGACCTGTGCGGCGACTGGGCCGGCGCCGAGTCCATCTACACCGACGAGGACGAGTGCCCCAGCACCTGCGAGAGCTACGTCACGAACAACGCCACGCAGTTCGAGAAGGCTTACTGGGAGTTCAACAGCTTCAGGGTGTATACCGCCGCCGGCGAGGCCGCGGCCAGCACCGCGGCGGGAGGCTCGTCGGCCACGGCGACAAGCTCGGTGGTGGGCGTGTCGTCTGTGGCGACGACGACGACGTCTGTTGTGGCGACGACGTCGGCGGCGGCGGGGCCGGGAGGCGACCAGAACAATAATAATAACAACAACAATAACAACAACAACAACGGCGGTGGATAAGCCTCGGTTCAATTTCCAACGGGTCTGAGGACCCCAGAAGAAAGCACGTAGAGCGCAGGGCATATTGCTACCCCTGAGATCCTTGTACAGAGCAGAGTTGGACTGTGCTTGGAGGGGAAGGGGATTGGGAGATGTGCTTCTACGACTTTTTGTTTTGATTAATGATTGGGATTGGAAAAAGGCCTCTTTTTGTTGTTGTTTGGGGCCATGGCTTTTTTTTGTTTTTGTTACAATAGATACCCTTGAATCGTCCTGCGCTATTTCCTCTTGTTGGATGAAAAAGGGGCGGCTGGACTTGTCATTCTTGAATTTGAGAAGGATAGGTGTTTTCCATGCAGATTTACATGTCCCCGTGCGATCTGAGATTATTTTGGGGCAGCTACCGCTGAGGTGCTCTACCGTAGCACCAATCAACCGCTGGTAACAAATGGCACCGCGATCCACTCCATCGGCGGAGCTTGTGTCGCCCCAGTCCAGGCTAACCGCAAAACCTTAATCAGACGGTCAAGCTGCGAAACTACCTCCTTGTGGACCGACCATATTTGTCAGACAGCGTCATAACCGGGGGCGAAGGCATTTCAGAAATGCGTATCCCGCAATAAATGGCCGATGCATAGGTTTCCGCTGTTGGCTTCCTCTCCCCACAGACACAACGTCGCCTCAGGCCAAGCGAACTGGATGTACGCATGGAAAAGGGCAGGCTCCTCACCGGCTCAAGCGTCGCTACAGCGCTCGACGCAGGTTTGGCGGCGTCGGGGTTGCAATGTGTGCAGTTCGCGGCACGATATGCGAATCTGACTAACACCCAAGGCGACCATATCACGCTCGAGAACTTTGCTGACCTGAGCTGTCGAGACGGTCTGTGCGCATCTTTTCAGGTAGTAGTTGTATAGGGATCTATAATTGTTTCGGAAAGTGGGTCCTGTTCGGCTCAGCGCCGAAGAAAAAAGACGATCAGTTGACACAGGTGCTGAAAGATACGTAAGGTGAGCCTGCCAAACCGGACTCACCGAATGAAGCTCCGCCATACTTGTTGATCGCCAGTTGATCGACAATGGACCTCTTCGACAATGAATTCTATGACCCAGGGCAAAGAATCAGATGCTGCAGCGACACGTCAGTTCGTTAAGAACGAAGGGCGGAGACCCGCTTTTTGGGAGACAGCCCCAGCCGGCCTCGTCGTCGATTCATTCGGATGCGGAAGAAGGCAAAGGCAGTGTTCCAGTTTTGTGGAGTATGGCTTTCTGCCTTCCGCCAGGCTACTCCGTAGCCTACGTATATGTACGAGCTGTCTCATAGCATTTGTGGGGCACAGGCGAGACCGCCATTGGACTTTGATGGAGAGAAGGCGATGGGAATTGGTCAATCGCATCAAAAGGGCAGACCCTGCAAATAGATGCTCATCGTATCTCCAATGTATATCTTTTTGTTTTCTTTTCTCGTGTTGCGGATCTGGAGAATGGGCACACTATGGGATTGACCCAAAACATTTCCCTTTCAGTAACCTCGCTGACAGAGTCAGTGCGTAGGTGGGTACGTCTTCAGCTCGCAGTGGGCACAACCACAAAACGTTTCCTTTTTCTCATCTATCGTCGTCATTTCAGCTGGCTGCTGCCTCCCTGCTCTATTTACGGCGACACAAAGTACATCCTAGCTGATCTTCCCGCAATTGGTGACCGGATAATCATACTTTCTCCCGGATCATCCGATCCACATGGGGGTGTGTACCAAGAGAGAAAATGGCCGCTTGGGGGCCAAGATAGAGATATAAAGTGATCAAGAGCTTCTCACGAAGCTTTGGACATCCATATCAACACCCTCGTTCCTATTTCGCTTAGCGGCCTATCCTCTCTTTCGAAACGGCATATACATCATATCATGGTTGAAAACTATGCTGCCAACCTCTCCATCGCAGAATTTGCCCTCAGACCATTCACACAGACCATCGAGCGTCCACTTCGTCAACACCGGGGACAACAATGCCACCCAGATCGGGTTCTGTCAATGTACGCGAACCCCTCCTCTACTCCGTATTTTGCGAGGTAGCCTGATGGCTGTCCACGAAAACGTTTGCTAATGTCAGTTTTCATTTTCTATAAAAAGTGACCCACAACACGATCTCTGAGACAAAGTCTTCGGGGAAGCTCACCTTTTCGAGCTATACTAGACACAAAGACCTGAGGTGTCCAGGTACCTGCGACTGGATTCTCGAGAGAAGGGAGTACAAGGAGTGGATCTCACATGGGCACGAACACTCCATACTACGGGTACACGGACAGAGTAAGCTTATTCTTCTTCTCCTAATGTATTCTTTTTAGATTGATGGCTAATGGCGAAAAAGTGGGATGCGGCAAGTCAACTTTGGTGTAAGTCAAGTTCAAACGAGTCGAGGGTACATGGCAACGACTGCTGATGATTACCTTGTACACAGCGCACGAGCAATCGAAGACGTGAAGAGCAAGGGCAACATAAAGCTTCTTTTCTTCTTCGTCGACAAGAAAACGGGCCAGACCAGCCTCAAGCAACTGCTCTTGACATTCTGGGACCAGCTCCACCGGGATCCTTTTGCCGACAACCATGACGATGACAGCAGAATCGCTCCCGGTGATAGCAGAGATAAGAAGATAGACAGGTGTACCAACCGCGAGCTAGTCGAGAAGCTCCTCGAAAAGCTCCACGAATCCCCCGAGTGCCGTGTCTGCATCACTGTCGACGCGTTCGAAGAGCTGCCCCTACCCGAGCAGACGGAGCTTCTGGAGAACTTTGTCAAGAGATGTCGAGACATCATACGCGTGTCAACGCTCATCAGCTACCGCACAGGGAGCGAACCCCGGGAAGCCACGTGGATCGCGAACCGCGAGATATGCGTTGGGAAGACAGAAAACGAGGCAGACATGCGCAAGTACTTGATCGAGAGCCTAAGGGAAAAGCTGCCACGAAGTAGGACAATCGATAGGGAACAGGGTGAGGAGAACAATAGGGAGAAGGACGTCAGGGAAGTTGCGGATGAGATTTGGGAGCGTGCGAACGGAATGTGAGTTTACCCGCTCCCCCCTCTCCCAGCGACCACACTTCCCTTTTGTCATGTCTGGCAGCGTTGCCTTGCCAAATTTCAACTGTTTGAGAAGAAAGCTGATTTTTGGTGATTTGATGATGCAGGTTCTTGTGGGCTGCTGTCTCGGTGCACAAAGTTTGGACAGCCCGCAACAGAGAGCAGGCAGAGCTGTCGCTTAGAAAGGTCACCATCCGGGATGATTACGAAGAGATCGTAGCGAAATGGGAAGAGAAGACGATGGCCGTAGTTGGGTGCAGCGAAAACCCTTACCAACGCGCGGGAATGGAAGAGTGGCAGCGCAGGCTCGCCCAGCAGGCGACAGCAATGCTCACGCACCCGACAGGCCTGCTCTCAGTGGCCGCGTTAGCTGAGGCTGCGGCGCTCGACATCGCAAGCAAAAGGATCGATGACGAGGTACGTTCGCTGGTGATGAAGTATCCAATGACGGTGGTGTGGTGCTGTAGTCCATTCGTCGAGTACGACCGACAGTTGAACGTCTTCCGCTTCTACCATACCTCGATGCACGACTACTTCCTGAGCCGCCCCGCTAGCGTCGCCCGCCTTGCAAATCTCACACTTGCCTACCTCTGCCAGCCCGAACTCGATCGTGGACCTTCAATAAAAGCCTGCTGGTACGACCTGCGCGACCTCCAGCGCTGCCTCGTCACGCACCCCTATCTCGAGTTCGCTTCGACCCACTGGGTGACGAGCGTCCGGGCGAACATGACGATAAACATGGACAACGAGGAGCCGACCAAAAGACTCCTCGCAGAGCTCTACCGCTCCCCCGAGAACCTCCGTCTCGCCTTCCAACTCTCCTGCTTCCAAGCCCGCGTCTCCATGCCAACAGGCCTCCTCCCCGCCCACATCTTCAGCTACTTCGGCCTCATCGACCGCCTGCCCAGCAGCAACAACAACAACATCATCCCACCCGAGCCCACCGCCGCCGACGCCACCGCCCCCGACGGCGACGGCCGCACCCCCCTCCACTGGGCCATGCGCTGCCCCGACCCCTCCAAACTCGTCCCCACCGCCACGCGCCTCCTCGCCCTCCACCCCACCCCCACCACGCGCCGCGCCGCCCCCGCCGCCGCCGCCGCCCGAGACGCCCGAGCCTTCACGCCGCTCCACTACGCCGCCCGCCGCGGGCACCTCGCCGCCGTCAAGCTGCTGCTCGACAGCGCCAGCGCCAGCGCCAGCGCCGCCGCGGATCGCCAGCTCGTCGACGCGCGCAGCAAGCGCGTCGGCACCCCGCTGTGGGCGGCGGCGCGCGGCGGCCACGCCGACGTGGTCGAGGAGCTGCTGCGGCGCGGCGCCGACCCCAACGTCAAGAGCAAGCTCGGGACGGCGCTGCACGCGGCTGCGGCCAGCGGGTCGGAGCGCTGCGTCGAGGTGCTCACGAGCGGCGGCGACGACGGCGACGACGGCTGCCGCCGCATCATCAAGGCGCGGCGGGATGCGTACGGCGATGGGTTCGGGACGCCGGTGCACACGGCGGCGTATTATGGATACCCGGGGATCGTGCGGGTCTTGCTGGGGAGGGGGTTCAGCGCGCGCAAGAAGAGCTGGGGGTATGGCGGCACGGTGACGGCGGCGGCGGTGGGGTGCTACGAGGGGAAGGATCCGCGGGTGTTCGTGGAGGTGTTGGAGCAGTTGCTGGGAGGGGGGGCCAAGGTCGACGCTCCTGGCGAGAAGCGCGAGACGGGGTTGCATTACGCGGCGCGGTTCGGGCATGCGGAGGTGGTGGAGTTCTTGCTGATGCACGGGGCCGATGCCAGGGCTGAGAGCCCGGTGGCGGGCACGCCGTTCGAGATCGCAGACGACAAGGGGAACACGGCTGCGATGGAGGTCCTCAGAAGGTATGGTGGCGAGGTCGGGTCGAAGACCCGGAGAAAGACTTGCGATCGGGGCGGCGGGCACCGTGCGCGGAAGATGACTACGGCCATATGGGTCCCTGTGTGGCTCGTGGCTCTGGCTAACGACGATATGAAGCTCATGTACAACCTGATCGAGACGTATGAGCGCGTGTGCCAGCGCGCAATCCGCAAGGACCACCAGCCCGTCATCCAACGGCTGGCGCCGCTGGGCACCACTGTCTTCTCGCTGGTAGTGGACCTGGTGGCGAGGAGGGAGCAGCAGCGGCAGCAGCAGCAGCGGCGGCCGAGGAGGGCGAGCAAGATGTTCAAGCAGACAGACGAGCATGCGTCCAGCATGACCGCCGCGATGAGGCGGCTGAAGGAGAACGCGGCCGACCGCATCGAGACGGTGCTGTGCTACTTCGGCCTCAAAGCGGTGAAGAACGAGCGGCGCGTATTGCACTCCTCCGCCATCCCGTCATCCTCGACCCTCGGCCCGGACAGCCAGCTAAAGCAACTATACGACGTGCTCGACCGCCTCACCGTGGCCGCCGTGTGCGTCCTCGGCGCCGCCTTTGCCCTCGGCAACAACAGAGCCGTCCTGCACTTCGCCAACGCGTGGACCGACGCGCTGCAGACCGTCGCCGTCGCCCGCGGCGGCCCCGAACTGCTCAAAGGCCTCGTCGAGCAGCGTGCCAGGCAGCTGAAAACCATCCTCGTCGCCGACAAGCCCGCCGCCGACAAGCTCAGAGACGCCGGCAACCTGGCCAGCGTCGGCATCGAGCTCCTCGTCGCGGCGCTCCAGCGCGGGCCCGCGTACGCACCGCTCGCCCGCGGCCTCGCACAGCTGTGGGCCGCCACGCTGTGTGATGCCGGGGACCCTGCCCGCGGCGGCGTGCGCATGGAGGATGTCTTTCACGTGCTCCAGACCTTCCTTGCCATGTTCCGCGCCGCGCTTGACCCGCCTGATCGCGATAGGGTGGCGTTGCTGGCGAACGTGGGTGCGGAGATCATGGTTGAAGCCGTGAATACGGGGAATCAGGGCTTGATTGACAATATACAGAGCATGATGGACGTTGTCAGGGGGGATGCGGAGCGCGCGGAGATGGGGCATGTTGTCGAAGGCGTGCTGGCGGAGCGAAGGAAGGGCATCGGAGCCGTCGGTGCTCCGGGGGCTGAGGGGGTGGGAGGGAACAGCAGCGTGCTTGGTTGAGGGCTCGCAGAAGGTGCTTCTGATTTCTCACTTCTAGAGAAACAAACACTGTATATTCAAAGGAGGGGCGGAGATACGTATGAGTATCTCAGGGCCAAATTAGTAATCGGACGTGGTCTGGCCCTTTTCACTATTCCGGCAGGTTTTGTTTAGTGTGAGGGTGGTATGGAGGTGCACAACAGTGTTCTTTTCGTTCATCTTAAGCTGCCTCTCCCATATTTTGTTTCCCAGCCCTCACATTTGAGTTTCTTAGAAGGATCCGTTCTTCGATCATGATACAGCTTTGAGCGGGCTTCTACCTTTCTCATGCTGTGTAGTACGGTTCAGTAAATAACGTAGAGCCATGATGGAGAAAAACTTACGTTCAGATGCACGAGCGGACACAGAGCAGAAATATCACGCTTTGAAATGGTTGTTCGTGGTATTCCCAGTACCGAAGCTGAGACCCTTCATAGGCCCGTTGTGGTAGCCCACCTGCAGTCCGAAGGTGTCTCTGTTCGTGAAAGTGACACTGCCTCCAACAGGGGCGGAGTCGCGCAGTGCTGTGTCGACAGCAACGTCGAGCCAGGGGTCACACTCGGTGACGACATCTTTCAGCGCCTTGAGGTATGTTCGACCGATGCCTGCGCAGTCGTTCGTGCTGAGTTCACGCAGCCGCGCCGTGGTCGACTCCTCCTGTGGAAACAGCATCTCCAGCTGGTCCACGAGCCCGGAGATGTCGCTGACGAACTCCTCGTACTGCTCCTTCTTGTAAAAGGCCCACTGGACGCTATGCACGGCGTTCGTCAGCCGCGCGCACCGCCGCGACAGAGACTTCCGCAGCTTCGTCCGCAGCGTCTTCATCAGTGGTCTCATGTCTCTGTTTGGATCCAGGCTCCCCTGCGGCGTGCTCGTGTCCTTGGGTCGCAGCTTCTCTGCGTTCTCTCTCGCCTGCGTGAAAAGATCTCCGATCTCCTGGAGCAATGAGTTCGCCTCTGCACAATCGGTGACGGCTAGCGTCGCCTTTTCTGCACCGTGTTGGGTGGCATAGATGCCTGCAGCCTCGCCCCAGCGCGAGAGACGCAGCTGGATGATGTCCAGCTTGATTTGATGTGTGTCGAAGTTTTGCTCGAACGAGCGCGCGATCTGGATGCGCTCGAAGCAGGACAAGGCCGCGTTAAGAAAGTTGAGCGTTTCGGTCGCCATCTCAGCCATGGCCAATTTGGCTATGAATCAGAAACGATGGAATGCAAAGAAGAGGTTTGGACGGTTCGATTACGGAGGAGAGAGGCGGAGGATTTGGAATCAATTCAGTAGCTGAGCTGAGGCTGGGTCGCGCGTAGCTATTGCGCTGCTGGCTGATTTCTCGTGTAGGCTGCCTTGTATAAACATCAGCTACTTCGCATGTTAGCCCACTTCGTGGCTTGTCTAGCGCGAGGCTGAATGCTGCCTACAGCGGGTCGGATCGTGGTTCCATTCATTAGCCAGTCCAATGCCCCACCCCCCCACCAACATACTGACACGTCTGGCTTAACCGTCCAGTCACAGCACAGCAAAAGTACTTGCTGCGCCTTGTCAAGAGATAGTTACACAATATTTGCAGATTGCGACAACGCACACAGAACACTTACACACCGACCATCGATTGCTTCCTCAATGACTGATGCGATGTCCATGATTTGCTCGGTGGTCTCGGTGATAGGCGTCCCTCCAAACGCTGCCACAAAACCCACCAGGTCACCGTGAGAGCTGTCAAACCCACACTAATCACCCAATATATCCAGAATCCGTCGGCAAGAACACGATCGTTTTCCGCAAAAAAATCGAAAAAACTCATTCCAAAAACGGACTATGTCAAGTTAACCACTGTGTATGTTCGAGCGGTTTTTCCTCCAAAAAATAAAAAAGGGCACTTACTGCGACGTAGGATGCGGGTAAGAATACAAGTGTGACGATGGAAATCAGTTTCATGCTACGACTATCACTTTGCGTGACGAGGTTGAAAGCCTGTTCATTTACAAAATTAGCAGACTTAGTCATTGAGATATAGGCCGACCTACAAGGTTTGTTTCGTTGCCGAGACGAGTGCTGAGAGACCTTGCACGCGCGGCTGAGGCTTTGGCTGCGTTGCACGCATGGAAGAGGTCTAATGCATTCTCACGAAGCAGACGATGCACTTCGTTTTCCAGGTCGAGTCTGGAAATGTCATCTCGCAGGATATCCTGCACTGATTGCATGCTCTCAAGAGTGGTAATGGCAACCTCGAGCGTTTCTTCCAAATGAGTCAGATGCCTTGCCACTTCATTCAGCACCCGAAACTTGTTTGCGGTCAAGATGTCCCTCTGGAGGTTGGTGTGCGTTAGCGCGCAATTTACATAGTGCGACATGTTTACCTGATCGTACCTTTTTCTCGACATGGTCTCTGACCAGATCTCGAAGACCCCAGAACGAGGTGTCATACAGTCTCAGAACTTCATCGACGATGTGTCGATGCCAGCCGTAAGGGTTGTTGCCGTCAACAGCACCCGCATGGACTGCGCCGAGGATAAGCGATCGGATCTCGGGGAACGCGTTAACACAAAGCAGCATTGTGACTGAATATACCGATGACCAGGTCACGAATATATTGACTTGCTGCCAAAAAATATTCAACGTCACTATTGTCGAGACTTGCGCACGGGTCGACCTGCTTTACTTTGAAGCAAAACCAGGATTCTACAGCTGTTAGTGACTGATGGTTGTTGCGCCCAGGTTGAGCACCATACCATGGACGAGGTGCGATTGTGAGCCAATACTCTCAGCCTCACGCGTTCGGCACCGAAAGAAGCCATTCGAATCTGCATTCGCGGCTTCCAGGAAGGAAGTCCCAACCACCGGCAGATTCTTCGAAGGTGCGTCTACGTCATCCGATCCGACGAAGCTAACAGCAATCAGCGATGGCGGCTTGGAAACCTCGAACTATGAAAGCTCTTACATCACACGAAACCCGTGCTCCGCACGATTCTTCGATCATTAGCACCGCTTCGTCTAGACAGGCATGAGTGACATACCCTTAACTCCATTCCTAGGTCTCCCGGTCTGTGGCGCAACGAATCTCCATCTAGAGGGTTAAAGAAGGGTTTTGGAGGGTTGGAGGTATCTTACCCTTCTCATGGATTTCAGCTTTCCCAATCATAGCTTGTGTCTTCCTCGATGCTCATTTGCAGCTTCACTGGATTTGAAACGCGAGATCGGCGGCTGGCATGCAATATCTGCAGTGCTCCAATCTCACAAATTAGAAAGTAAAGTCGCACGACAGCAGACCAAACGGTCGCGAGGGCAGTCTACATACAAAACCTGCCGCATGGGGCACTGTCTCGGACTGAGCTGTTGAATGGGTCAAGGACAACGTTGCAGATCTGGTAGCGACCACGAATCTGTGGACTGGGAAGATCTTCACACCTCCACCTACAACACCAGACACGAAGCATAGAATTTTTCGCGCGCAATGTCCCCATCATCGCTCAAGCTCAATGCCACGCCCATTCATGGGATTGCCACGTAGGCAGACTAGGTGACCTGGCAATGGCTACGGTATTTAGGCAGCAGGATGTGCGAGCTGCAGCAAAATTTTCAATCTCCATATGCGGTCGTGATCTCTGTAGGGTTCATGGCAAGAACCAATGGTATGGCTTTCGACAAGGAGCGAATCGACAGCCCCACAGCGGGCCTCCCCGTTATCAGATGGCGGGCTGTGTGCTCACCTTGACAGGCAGCACTCAATAGAGACCCACCGGACTCGACCCGAGTGGCTCGGACAAAGATTGCCGAGATGTAGATGGAAATTTACCGTGGGTCTGTGCTTGCTTTTGTTTCTGCTTCCCTAATCCGTACGGGGAGTTGGGCGATACGTCCGAGGAAGCTCCTAAACGCGGACAACAGTGATTGCAATGACTCCGCTGGGTTCGTATCGGCACCCGTCACCGCCATTTCCTGGAAACTAGCGTCTCGGAATGCATCCTCTTCTGGTACGCGTGCTGGTACATGGCAATGTGTAGCGCGTCGTTAGTAAACGATAGCAACAAAGAGAGCAACAGGCTACTCTTTCCAATCATTGCACAGTATTATTGCAGGAAGGAAAACTACGAATAGTTGAAAGTTTCTTGTACAGCTGGATTCCATTGATTGCAGGAACAAAAGCTACGAGTGGTTGAAGCTTACTTGTCAAGCTAGTGTTCAGCCAAGAGGAGTCCAAATTGGGCTACATTTCTACAGTCCGTTGGTGATAGAGACTCGAAGATTGAACCATCAGAGCCTTCAGCAAAGGAGATGCGCTGGCACCTCGCAAATTTTTGTTTGAATGCACCTGGACCGGTTTCGGAACTGGCTCCGAGGTGATCTCTCTGGTTCATCCACGACCAACTCTCTGGCTTGAACAATGTCGCCGCATCACATCTATTAAGAGACCGTCCTCCAAGCTCAGTAGTGGCACTTTAACGCATCTACCACGACTTCTATTCAATTCCCTTCTTCCCCAACCTTGAAAAAGATCGAGCCACACATCCAATCCAAACATGGAAAGCTACACTGTAGGCTGGATCGCAGCCCTCAGCGAAGAGCGCGCAGCCGCCGAGGCGATGCTCGAAGAAGAACACAACAAACCGCACGACTTCACGAAAGCGCCCAACGATACGAACGCATACAGTTGGGGCCGCATCGGCCAGCACAACATCGTCATCGCCTCCCTTCCCGAGGGCGTATACGGGAACAACTCGGCCGCCACGACGGCGGCGTACATGCTCGCCTCGTTCCCGAACATCCGCATCGGCCTGATGGTCGGCATCGGCGCCGGAGTGCCAGGGCCCGGGCGCGACGTCCGCCTCGGCGACGTCGCCGTCAGCATGCCCGAGGGCGTCACCGGCGGCGTGATCCAGTACGACCTGGGCAAGGACCTCGCCGACGGCTCGTTCGAGCGCAAGGGATACCTCAACGCGCCCCCGACGGCTCTGCTCTCCGCGCTCGGCAAGATCCGGGGCAACCACAAGCGCAAGGGGCACCGCATCCAAGACCTCCTGGCCGAGATGATCGAGAAGAACCCGATCATGGGCGAGTCGTATGACGGCGAGTTTGCGTACACCAGCCCAGGAGAGGACGTGGACCGGCTCTTCGAGGAGTCTTACGTACACCCGAGCAGCAATCCCGACTGCAGCGCCTGCGACAAGTGCAACGAGGTCAAGCGCTCCAGACGGAACGCCGCCAGACTGCCGGCCATCCACTACGGCACCATCGCGTCCGGCAACAAGGTCGTCAAGAGCGCGGTGAAGCGGCGCGCGGTGAGCGCGGACGCGGGCCAGGCCTGCGTCTGCATCGAGATGGAGGCGGCGGGCCTGATGAACAGCTTCCCCTGTCTCGTCATCCGCGGCATCTGCGACTACGCCGACTCCCACAAGAACGACGCTTGGCACAACTACGCTGCTGCCACTGCTGCTGCGTATGCGCGGGAGCTGCTGGAGGTCATTGATGCGGCGGATGTGGCGAAGACGCCCAAGGCGGCGGAGACGGTGAAGGCTGGTTAGTGACGTTTACTTGTTCTGCACTGGTCATACGTAGATGGCTTCTCCTGTGGAAGCAGGATAGAAACCCCAATCTATGACTATCCATGTACCACTTTTCTGCTCCGACGTTTGACATATTTCTTGTGATAGCCCCCCCAGAGCCTCAACCGAGTTCGCCGCCAGCCGCGGCCACGGCAACGGCAAGCAATGATCGAGGAGCACGTGATGATGAACTCGAGAAGCTTCGGAAGCGCGTCGGCGAGCTTGAAAAATCCAACTCCAATGGAAAAAAAGGTACGTACGCGCTACTACCCATCATCCTCCGCTTTCGCAATTAGCAGTGCGTAGACTAACGACGGAAAGAAACTTCGCCCGGCCCGCACATTGAATGCGGCCGCGCAGAGATCTCCAGACGTCCAGACGGTTCAGGCACGCGTATCTACTTCAAAAAGCCTTTCACACGGAGGCCCGTAGTGTCGATGACATACCACATGGACCAATCCAACTATTTCTATAATCAGAGAGCGTATCTTCTCAAGAATGCATCTCTCCCGGCTTCGACACCGGAATACTTTGTAGCTGGCTGCTGGACCGACAATTACGAACAAGCCTCTGGCATGAAGTTCGAGATTGATTGGGTAGCAGTAGAGCCGGACGAGTAGATACGATGTGGGATGCGTTGGCTTTGCACAAAAGCGGAAACCCGTTTGGGAGAAGGATGCGAAGTGAGCTTTGATTAGATTTTTCGTGAGGCCTCGTCGCTTCTAAAAAAAAAAAAGAATTCACACTGATAACGTCACTTGATCTTCGATGTCATATGTCTATGAAGTTTCTCCATTGTCACTACGGCCCCAACGGAAAACGGTCTTTCAGAGCATGAGTGGGAAGCTACAAACCTCAACCACAGCGAAAAGAGGCTTAGTCGTTTTTCCTTATTTCTTTTTTCAAGATAATAAGGGCGCTAGACCAGATCTCTCACCAAAATCCGCGACAATGACTCTCTTGTGGCCCGAGATCCACAGCGCCAGTACCGCAAGCCCTAGGCCTTGCGCTGATTGACGTGTACATGCCTAGGGCGTATGCGCACACGGGGTGGGGAATCAGTAGTGCTTTCACAGCGGACCCGCACATCGTCACCGCTGCTGCCTGCTCCTGCGTGTTTGTCAAGGCGCTCGATTTGACCATCTCCAGGAATTGTCGGTGTGAGACAGCTACGTGGTGTGGTGGTTTCTGAGAATTCGTGCTGTTGCCTTCGGGAAATGAATTCAGTGCTTCAGCTGGGACGGGTAAAGCCATGAGTTCTACATAAAAGGGCCCTCAACTCGATTAGTCTAGCCATCAACAAGTCACTCCTGCAGTTGAAGTTTCACCAACATGAACCCTCCCGGTAAGAATGCTTTCACGGATGTCGAGGATGTTGTTACGGCCACCTCGAGTTCGGTTCATGATAACTATGGACAGCATTGTAGCTAACAATTGGAAAGGGGAATTCAATCAGTCGAATATGCGTCGTCCGGAGGAAGAGAGAGAAAAGGAAGAGAGAGAGAAGAAAGAGAAGGAAGAACGAGAGAGGAAAGAGAAGGAAGAGAAGGAAAAGGAAGAAAAGAAAAAGAAGAAAGAGAAGGAAAAGAAGAAGAAAGAAAAGAAAAAGAAACAGGAGGAAGAAGAGAAAAAGAAACAAGAGGAAGAGGAGCAGAAGAAGCGAAGAGAAGAAGAAGAAAAACGAAAGCAAGAGGAAGAAGAGGAGAAGAAGAAAGAGAAGAAAAAGCAGAAGAAAGAAGAGAGGAAGAAGAAAGAGGAAGAAGAAGAAAAAAGAAAGCAAGAAGAAGAAGAGCAAAGGAAGAAGAAAGAAAAGAAGAAGCAAAAGAAGCAAGAGCGGAAACAGCAAGAGCATGAACAGATGCAGCAACGTGATTATGGAGCATCCCCCAATCCTGGTAAGCTACTTGGTTGAATTCGGGTCAACCGACTCGCAGGGCTGTAACATGTTACCAGAATCACCGTGCTAAGCATTAAATCTATCCACAGGGCACCCCTACACACCTATCTACGGAGCGGCACCGCAACCTCCTCTCTGTCCCTACCCCAGTCGTAAGTAACCTCCTCACCCTAAATGACCAATGCTGATACAAGCAGTCTGCGTGCAACCTTGCTACAATCACAAGGGCAACTGTCCGCCGATCCAGCACGCGGAGAATGCGGCTCGCGCGGTTGCTGTCGCCGGGCCGGGACTTGGTGTTGACCTTGGTGGCCTTGTTGGAGCGCAAATTTCACCAGCTGGCGTAGGCGTAAATATTCTGGGAGCTTCTGCCAAGCTCGGATTCAGCGTGTTTGAATTGTAGCATTAAGGGCGTCAGCGTTGCAATGCGGGTGGAAGACCGTCACCTCGAGCGATCACTGTAAATGGAAGAACCACTTGAGTAATTTCATCCTGAAGCGAGTCTCGGCTTTTACCTACTACCAAATATGACCACGACGAGTAATGTGAGAATCTCAAGTACGACCAAGCCGAGGCCCAAGCTCGCAACAGCCGTCGAAGATGTGGCCAAGAACAGTACAGTCTTTTTTTGTGCAGGCAGTAACTGTGGGGGCGGAAGACCAAACTGCGTATTCCGCGGCAAGCGGCAGCAGATGTTTTGGGATTGGCGCGACCCTTCTCCGCGGGGTAAGAGTGAACATGGATCGGCACGTCAAATCTCCTTCAGTGTCTGCTGCCCGGGTGTAGCCGCCGCCAACATTCGGATGGAGCTGCCGCTGCTGATCTCGCCCCACAAGTGGTCACGGTATAACCTGGTCGCTAAGGATATAATAATACTCGCGCGAAGGCACAGCAGGAGGCCTAGGGACCAGCGCCACATGTTTGCCGCCGTACAGGCTATTTATGGGATGTTTCGGCGATCCACCCTACGGCGCAGAGGGTGATGCCTGGTCTGTAAAATTGTTGATTCGTCTACCGCGAACAAAATGGATCAAGCGATAATTCTAGGGCTAGGCTGCCGTCTCGAAGTCTCGACAAGACAGGAACAAGGACGAGAGAATGTGCGTAAAAGCAACGGGGGGAGAAGAAAGTGTGTGGATACCAGCTGAGCGGGTTCGCGTATTGTAACGGGTACTGCGGGGCTTGCGCTGGGGTACCTTCAGCCAATAAGACGATGGATCCGTCGCACTGCAGGTGACCAACGAAGAGAATGTGACACAGAGCCGCTCGAGTTTTGTATAAACGCTCGCGAGGCTCGCCCAACTACATCTCACTTTCATCCAAAATCCGGGAAGCTAGCGTAATCGCAATCCCTGCGAAGCTGCGACAGTTGTTTTATTCCACAATGCCGGGCTTGTCTATCAGCGGCCATGAAACACTCAGTCAAGGTGGGCAGCGCAAAGCATACAATCGCTACAAACGGCTGACTGAACTTAGCGTCTCCCGTCACGAGTAGCAACAGCATGTCTGAGAAAACCGACGGGTTGACAGGTTTGGTGTAGGTGGCTACAGTCTGAAAACGAACACTTTTAACGTGAAATCAGCTTCTGCAGCGCCGAGGACCTGGCAATCGACGATGGCCATTTCAACGACCTGGACATCGATCACAGATTCGTGCGACTGGCGCGCCACCACGAAAGAAGAGATTCCAACGGACTGTTCGGTTGTCGGACGGTGCAAAAAGGGCGACAGGAGCCCTTGACACACGGTAAAGTTGCTTGTCGCGGCCAAACCCGCGCATGGCGTCTGACGGTGCGCTAGATTCCTGGTGCTGCTTCAAGATCAAACAAGTCCGGAGAGGTGAGCCCGAGTCAGACGTCGTCTACGAATGGGAGCAGCCGAGCATCAACATCTCTTGGAACGCACGAGACCATGTCACGCTCTTGCTGTGCATGGATACGCCAGGCGACCTTCAAGCCGCCATACAGGACGCTTGGGACTGCGGCCTCGTTGACGGCAGTGACCCCTACCGGTGGCACTGTTTCATCGTGGACAAGGTTACAGATCTGTATAATAGGTCGGTATGGGGGCTGAGAGACTTCGTTCGCCTGGACGTCGAGAAGGTATAATGGCTTGGCTCTGCGTGTATATTCAGCTGAGGTTGACGTTGCAACGGACAGAGACGCTCCCCGGAGTTTGTTGATTTCGAGCGGCTGCATGAGATCGCCAGGCATATCATACATTCCAATGAGACTCTCGAAGTGGCATTGAGCACGCTCGAAGGCATGCTGGAGGCTCACCAAGTCTTTAGCGAACAGACGTCCGGCAGCTCAGGTAGTGTCATGGACCAGTTTTCAGCCCGACATTCGTACAGCAGCTCAGGCAAGGTTATGGACTTCTCGGCCCGACATACGCAGCTGGAGATGTCCGCTCTCAGACGGACAGTCAAGGCTACCTTCCTACGCTCAAAGTCGCTAAGTGATCGCTTAAACAACGAGATCAATCTTGTGCGTTATCGCAGGTGGATGGTGGGTCGTGGAGAAGGCTGACAGATGTGGCTCTTCCAGGCATATAATCTGGTGAACCAACGAGACAGCTTCTTGATGAAGACGATAGCTGTCATGACGCTCATATACCTTCCGGGTTCCTACATTGCGGTCAGTGTTCAAGCAGTCATCGCGCGTAAAGCATCGTCATTGACAAGCCCAAACAGTCCATCTTTGGCATGAACTTGTTCGATTTCTCAGCCGCGGATGGTCTGGAAGTTTCCCACATGTTCTGGCTGTACTGGGTGCTCATGGTGATCCTGACGTTGATCACGGTTGGCACGTGGGTCGTGTGGCAATACCAAAGCAAACATGTGCGCAAGCAGAGACCGGCGAAGGAAAGTCAAGGGCCCCCGTGGACCACGTCCTGGGAACTCCATGACTGGGTCAAAGTCCGGAGACGGACGGGTGTTGAAGTCACGCCTGAGGCTCTTGCTTGAACGGGCAGGAGGACGACGATAGACGCGGACAACAGGTCGCGGAGCTAGGAAATCGCAACGTAATGATCTGGATGTGCGAGGATCCCCCACAAGCAGACTCGAAAAGCGCGTGCGGCCATGGAGATCGCGGGGAAGGATTGTTGTCACTTTAGAGTTAAAACCCCACACGTGACTTCATTCGTTGTTGGTTGCGGCGAGTCTTGGACGGCATGTGCCGGCACGGGCTCGGTGAAGAAGTCGCGTCGTCGGTTAAGGCAAGATTCGTATTGCCACAGGGCGGCGACTCGGACGATCACGAATGCTAACACGTCATTGCGGGCTCGAGGACGCTGCCCAAGCGAAAATCGATCCCCATCAACGTGGCCAACGAGGCGACAATCAAATCTACAAGCGGAGCCGTGTTCCGTTAGCTCTCCGCCGCTCGCCGCGTCCCTTGCGGCCGAGAGCACGCCGTTTTTCCTCGAACGGGACGTTTCCGGGCAGAGCACAGAGCGGAGGTGCGGAGCGGAAGGGGTCTCGGCGCAGGCGGGGCGAATTGCCGAATGACTTCACACACGACACACTTGCCGACGCATCGTTATTTAACCACAGTCGGACCGAGAAGGGCAGCTAGCGACCAGAAAGTCCGGGCCCGCCGGCCGTTCTTGGCCTGATTATTGCGGCGGAGACTGGGAAAGCGAAGCTCGCACCGAGGGGTCGATCGACGCAAGCAAGCGGCGGTGAGTGGGCTCTCTGGTGCGGGTCGGGCGGAGCTTGGAGCAGGGTGCAGCCGGCCAGGAGGCTCTGAAACGGCAGCTGCGGACGGGCTGTGACGACGACGACGGATGCGCGAGCGATTGCTTCTGGAAAGACGGGGCGCTGGGTCCCAGTGTGGTGAGGTTGGAAGAAGCTATGCGGAGAAGGGCAGTCGCAGCGGCTAGGCCCGATAACGGAGAATTTAGGCCTAGCAAAGCGTCTCCTAGCTCCGTGGTCTCTGGCTGCGTGGCACACGGCAGGATGGCGCGATGGACTGAGGCATAAACAAGCCGCTGCACGAGAGCCGGCAGCACTGCGATTGGCGGGAAAAGCGGGCTTGGCTTGAGTGAGGGCATTTGCGGAGGTGGGAGGCGTGAGTGCGTAGGTGGTAGGTAAAGCGTGCGGCGTCGGCCGGCGCGCAGCCGGAGTGATCGGCCGCCTGCTTTCCCGGCGCCGTGTTCCACAGGTGCAGTGCGGCTGCAGCGAGCCGTTGAGCGACTGCCCCATCGGCCGGGTGTCTCAACAACACCGTCACCCGTGCTGCCTGATGTCAGCATGCCACGCGGCGCCCTCGCACGACACGCTGCTCCGAGCAGTCGCAGGTGGCAGCACTAATAATCTCGCCGCCGGGCGCGCGTTGTCTGGCGCGGCCGTCCCCGCGTCGACTGCCTAGCGCGGGCCGGCTGATTCCACTGATTCCACCGGCGGCGAAGGCTGAATCGGGGCGCTGGGCCTATCACGCGCGATGGGCAGGCCACCTTCTCGAAGCGTGGTAGCTGCTCCCGCCGCGCAGGGTCAGCTCAGGAAGCTGCAGGCGCACACAAGGCCGCCCGGAGGCGCTCGCGGGGCACAATCCCTGCCCCGAGTCCAGGCCATAGCTTTTTGTGAACCCACCTGCCCATTCTTATCGCCCGCACTCCTCCACCCACCCTGCCCGCTCACTGCCTCCGCGCTGCCATGTTGCTGGGCCCTGCGTCTCGAGCTCTCCGCGACTGCTAGACCTTCGACAACCCGCGTCTGGCACTGTCTGACACCATGGCCGCACTCGAGGTAAGCCTGCGCGTCTTCCTGGCCCTTCCGCTGCGTCCGTCCGCATCTTCCGCATGCCACAGCGCCGCTATTCTCTCCGTGCTCAGTCCTTAATCTGCCCCCATTGCCCGCTGCAATTCGCCGCGCAACCCACAAATGCCCTGCCCCGTCGCCGCTCCCCATTGCTGACCCAATGAACTCCCTCCAGGTTTCCGTCGCCGTCTCGGCCGTCGCCTCGGCCTTTCACAGCGGAGCCGAGCTGCTCAAGCAGCTGAAGAAGCAGCGCAAGAAGAGAAGGGGTGAAGAAGCCTTCCGGGAAAAGGCCTTGTTGGAGTCTCTGGAAAATGGCGAGACTCAGATTGAGCAGCGCTACGCTCAGGACTGCCAGGAGCTGGGCCAGTCCGTCCGCATAGGCGACGGTGAGTGCTTTCTCTGCCGACCGACTGCCACACGCGCTGACCAGACCAGCAATTGCCCGCGAACGTCTGCTCCACATCGCAGTCTCTCTCCAATCCGACGTCATCAGGAGCTTGCAGATTGCCACGCGCAACGACTCGGCCGTTGTCGATCTCACTGCCTTGCACGAGGCTTCGGTCATGCTCAGGCGCGACACTCTGACCGCTCTCGCCGAATTGCGCCAACGCGCCTTCAACGACATGCCCTCGGAATACCGCCAGAGATTGAACAGCGATGCCGCATATTCACCCTCCACCAGCAGCATCCAGAGGTCGTCTCTTAGCAACAGCCAACGGTCGCGCTCCTCGACCAATTACTCCGACAATCTTCCGCCCGCCGTCACCATCCTCAACACCGAGGAGAAGCCCAAGAGTGTCCTCTCGAGGGTCTTTTCTCACCGGAGGAGCTCGTCTGCTCTAACCTCGCAATCTAGCAACTCGAGCAATTCCGAAAAGAGGAACTCTGGCTACAACCTGACGTCAAATTTTCCGTGGATGTCGGATCGCACCCCCCAGGAACATCAAGATATGGTCAGCCCGCAAACGCACGAGCTTCCTGCCGAAGTCCCGGTGAGGCTGCGCCCTCCGATGGACCCTCCGCCACCGCCGGCCTACTCTCCCAGCAGGTTCAATCGCAGCCCGTTCGACTCGGATAGAAAGTTCGATCCTACTCACTTCCCGGACAGCCCCCGCCCCATTCACCCTCTTGAAAGGGAGTCGATGGACCAGCAGCAGATCGAAGCCTTGAGCCTGGATGCCGCAGTGCAAGCCCCGCCCAGCGTAGTGAGGACGTCAGCAGATGTCAACGAAGCCTTCAATCAGTGCTTGGGCTCCTTGAGGCTGGACCAAGGACTGCGGCCCACGTCTTGGCTCAGTTCCAGCGCGTCTATTTCGTCCTCTAGCCACTACTCCACATCCGAGAACGCCACGGGGGACAATGTGACCATCTCATCCGCCAACTGTAGCGGTGACGATTGTGCGTCTCTCGCGGTGACGGTTGCACCACCGCGACAACGCCACAGTTACACCTCTATCCAGAACAGTAGCCCTTTCAGCACCGAGCCCCCGCCAAACGAGCTGACCTCACCGCCATGTACGGCGACCACGATGCAGTCGCACAACCGCGCATTTTCCGCTCCTACCGTCACCGTCATCCCGCCACCTCCCCAGACCCAGGCTCCACCCGTACTCTCCCCGTCAGCTCCCGTAGTACCAATGCTTGGCCGTCCTTGCAAAGCCAACAACTATTACAACTTCTGCAAAGGTGCTTGGTCCCTTCGCGAAGAGTTTAAGAAAGGCCTTACGACGCGGAATAAGCCGGTCGGCATGTACACTTCCTGCCTGGTCTGGCAGTGCAAAGAATGCAACTTCGAGGGCCCATCCTTCGGCAACAAGAAGCCGTACACGACTGACCCGCGCACTTACACTTTTGTTCACGAGCGAGCTGGCAGCGGCATGCCAGTCACTGTCAAGTACAAGTGGCTCTTCCTGGCGAAGAGCCACGTCAAGATCAAGTCGGGCCTCCTTCGCCCGACCGCCACGGAAAACGAGCAGACTATCGCCAGCCTCAATGGCTTCCTCGGCAACAACCACCATCAAGCCCCAAGCTCGTGCGACCTGTCTTCAAGAGACAACAGCGCCGTCGATGATGGGAAGTACCTCCATAAGCCGGGCTACAGCTACGGCTGCTCCTTCTGCTGCGCCGAGGGCCGCGTCACGAGCGTATACGGCACCGCTGAGACGCTTCTCGGGCACGTCGCCGAGGCCCATGCCGGTCCCGCTGTGGCGGGGCGGCAGCAGTTGAGCGCGGACGCGCTGGCGCGGACCAAGTGCGTCATCGGACGTGCGCCAGAGAAGAGTGAGGAGTGGGATGTTTGGTTCCCTGGGTTTCAGGCGCAGGGGGTGATGCCTTTGGCCTTTTAGGGCGGATGGAACTCGTTCGGCTTCGACGAACCAAGGCCTGCACCATGGATTGACCGAAACTTCCCACGACGTTCCGACCTTTCGATTCTACCGTCCGTTTTGATTCATCGGACGGAGACTTTCTTCTTGATATTTCTCTTGAATCTCTTAGTTTCTTGAGAGCTTTACGGCAAAAAGATACCCGGGACGTTCTTGCTTTCTTTGTTCGTTCTTCGCCTTTTAACGATTTCTCTACACGCTTCTCGGATCTTTTTCCTTTTCTACCCGGGTTGTTTGGCTGCAAGTATGATGTTTTATTGAGTACTATACCCGGGATTTTTCTCGACTTTCCATCCATCTATATTCTGTCATTTATCTCAGACGAAGATCAGGACCGCGTTACGACAGGTTTGATGATTGAGGAGGGAGGACGAAGAAGGACGACGGACGACGACGAAGACGCAGACTTTCGCTTCTTGTAGATATGTTTTGTAATGGACCTTTTTTTTTTGTTCTCATCATCTCTTGTCTCTTTCTTTCCTACCTACTTTCCATTCCTGCCGACGACTTTGGTTTCAGCACGGCGCGACTTGGTTTACGGTATATAGATAGGACAGACACATCAACAACCACCTTGAAACGTTAGATCATATATCCCTTGCGCCGATCACAAGTGAATGCTCACCCTTTTTCCCCCATTCGACATCCAAGTGCTGCTTGCTGATGATTGCACACACGATCATTGGAGGGATGGACGGGGAGGGGTGGGGGGTCCTCCGAGTGATCGACCGTCAGCATCATCAGCATCCCGGCACCGCACCGCACCGCACCCGCAACCGCATCGCACACCCCCCTTACCCTTGCATTAGTTAGTTATCCAGAGAGATCAGCGCGCTGCATGCATATTATTGCTGATTTTTTCCTCTTTTTTTTTCCCTTCCTTCCCGCGTGGCGCCGCTGGCTCCGAGGCTTGTTGGGTCTAGAGTCTCAGATCTGACACAGGGGTGGGGGAGGGGTGACGGGACGGGACGGGAGATAATCGGCCCTCCTACCAGGTAGGTTCTATGTGAGTCTGCTTTCCATTGGTTTTGTTTTTCCGGCCCGCATTGAGGGGGGCACGGGGGATGGTGTTGTTTGGCGCGCGAGCGCGGCGCTGATGTCAGCGGCGGTGGTAGCGGCGGCGGCGGCGGCGGCGGCGGCGGCGGAGTTTCTTTGGAGGAGAGAGGTTTTTTTTTTTGGTGGGGGGGTGGATTTTTTTTCTGTGTTTTTGCGGTCCGTTCTTTGTTCGGCGGCTGCCTTGGGTGAGTGGTGGATCTTTTTCTCTTTTTTTTTTCTTCTCTCCTTCGATGGCTAAGGTCGTTTGGAAGCGGCAGCACCCAGGGAGGGGTCTGGGGATATACGTACACCCATGACCGACCCGGAGAGTGCGGCCCGTGCGTTTGTCGTGTGTTTTACCGCAGAACTGGTAGGCCATACAGGGCTGGTATCGACACCGTGCTGTGTGAAATCATTGGAAAAGCGAGGGCGAGAGGGTGATAGGAAGGTTGTGCAGGATGATGTGGTTTGATTTGATTTGGGTTTTCCATTTTTGATTTTTTTCTGGGATAAGACGAGGCGGGCAATCAGGTGGTCGGTCGGCGGTCGGGCTTGACTTGGTTTGGTAGGAGCTGAGAGGGGGTTGCGCGAGTGGCTTAGGTGGTGATGCGTTGTGTGCGACGGTGTTGCGTGTGTCGGCCGAGGAGGGGATGTGGGATTCGCTGAAGGGGAAGGAGGACGCGATCAATGCAGATGCGGAACCAGAATCTTCTTACTACGATGCCGGGTGGTTGAAAGAGTTGGTGGCTAATTATTGGTCGGGTAGGACTGACTATGGCGCAGCAGGCCAGAGCGAGATGGGATAGAGGCAATGCTATGTAGTCTAAATATGTAGCTATCGAGAGAATGAGCGACACTGCTGGGCTGGTTTTATCCATTAAAAAGCGGACACTTGTTTTATAGCGTTTACCAGAAGATATGTACAGACGGTTGGAATCGCTATAAAATACCCTTAATGTGATATGAACACGGAAATGCATCGAGCCGGGTTTAATAGACAGTTCTCTCTCGTCTGGGTCCAAAGGCCTTAAGATACTTACCGGAATGAATCTATTGTCCTTTATTTTCTGCCTCTTGTGTTTTATATGATGCTCGGGCGCCTGCACATTTGGTGTGCGCAGCCCATGCAGTAATAAATACGGTCTACATGTATCGGGCCATAACCACATTGGCACTTTTCCTAATGTTAGACTCGTAATAGCCTTTAAGAGAGAGATGATAGTACTTACACAATACCAATACCGCTCTCCATGTATCGCTTCTAACGTACAACCATCCTGACTCTTGCTAGTGGAAAAAGGCTCAGTGCTGTTCCATTCTTCCGATGGTATCATAAAGATCACCTCGCTCACGAGATCTTTAAGCTGGATGTAGGAGCGAAGTATTTCCCTTGGTATAGGTTCGTTCTTTGTAGGAGAACTAATCGATCTTTTTCCTTTGCCAGCCGATAGTTGCACACGCTCGGTGTCGGAGCTATGCCCAGTGCCACTCAGACTCTGTAATTGTTTCACCAATGTGACCTCTTGTCTGCGGATGCTATTAAGACGGGTAGTGATGAGATCGAATGTTCCGGGGTCGATGTTAAAAGCCCGGTGATCCTTATCTGCCAGCGTGTCATCTTCCTTGATCCTAATAGTTTCTTTCCAAGTATCCAATTGGCGGATCAGGGCTTCCATCTCCAGGGAGATGCTGGCAGTCGACAGCCGGCCCGTTTCGAAAGCAAGGTCGGGGAGAGCTATCTCTACCAGATGTCGATAGGATGAATTTTCTGCTGCAGATGCCGAATCATCGGTACCTGAGTCACCAGAATCCTCTTCGTCTTGGCCGGAAATTGATGGCAATGCAAAGAGAGCGAGTTGTTCCTGGTGTTTTCCAACATGCTTTTCCAGGTCTCTGAGCTGGATTCTTTGCTGTCCGCAGAGATGGCAGTGTGTCCACGAATCCATGCTGGGATACCGTTCGCACAATATCACCAAATGATTCAGCTCATCCGTAGTATTGAACTCAGGATGTTTCTGACGAACATGGCTCTCGAAATTGGCTTGCGAAGAGAACCGCTCTTCGCAATTCTCAGTGCATTGCCAAAAGCGGAGATGAGCTTGCAGCTCATGCTGGAACCATTCATGTCGCATTTCAAACAGGCTTTTGGAGCTGGTACAAGATGGTCTCGTGCATGAGTATGGGTGTAGGTCCTTAAAAACGTGTTTCCTGGAGGTTGTCAGGCAATTAGGCAGGAATGGAGAGAAGGAGGATGCACTTACTTCCAAGAGCGCCTGGTAGTGGTTGATATGATCATAAAGCAGAACGGGCAAGGGAAGGGATTACCTTCTCGAGCCTCTCTGGGCACGGGCGGAACCCGAAGACCCTCTGTCTCGGGAGCAGAAGTTGCAAAAGACGTTTGGGTTTGACCAGATTCCGACCGATGATCTTCCAGGTTCAGATGGAAACTTTCGGCTTTAACTTCCAGAGGAAGCGAAGAGGCAACTGTGGTTCCGGCATCCTCGTTATTGTTGTCATGGTTGTTGGCCGGATCCGGTGCTTGGTGGGCAAGATTTGGGAGAAGGCCACTAGACAGCTTCTGATTGTGGGACTCGCGATACTTAAAGTACTCACGCCTTCGGGTAATCGCCTCTCCGAGAACAGTAGAAACGTAGTCTGGGGCTTCTGGAAACTTGTTGCGTACGTGGCTCTTGTCGAATTGCTTGAAATGAGATTCGTCAATGTTTGCTGAGTTCATGTATTCGTCGTGTGGTGCCGGATTCCGTATGGTCATAGACAAACGCAGCAGGAGGGTTATGGTCGCATGAATACTGGACATGAGCTGCCGAAGCTCGGTTTCTCCGTGCATGGAGTCATCCTGGCTGTCGCTGTCGGTCGAATCACTATCCGAGTCTTGCTTGAGATACAGTTGATCCCAGGGAATGCGCTCTCCGCGTAGAATTTGCAGTACTTTTATCCATTAGTTTAAGAGCATGGAATGATAAATACCGCGTTCACTCACCTCTCTGTATCGATGCATGTATATCAGCCAGGAGCGACTGTACCTTGCTTTTTATGTGTGATGCATCTCGCAGGCGGTAGTCCAAAGACGACCGACCTTCGCGATGGGCGCCAATATTGCCGGCCCAGACTCGAAAGCGCCCCAGCTCATCTGTCACTTCACAAAGCTCGATCTGGCTTGATGTGCGCTCGATCTGGGAGACGAAGTCCTCGAAGGAACGAAGGCATTGCGATACGAACAAGGCCACACTTGAGCCACGGACGTTGGCAGTGGCCAGACTAGCCTCGCTGGAATCTTGCATGACGGGGCGGCTTCTGATGGAGTGCAGTACGGCGCTTCCCAAAGTTGATGTTCGAAACGCAACTCTTCGTGCGGGGAGTGAACAGGTCTCGACAGAGACACGACATCTACAGCGAAACCAGGCTGTCTTAGATGATTACTCTTACCCCGCTCGTGCGAGTGCTTGTGTCACAGGAGTAGCATATGTCATTGGAGGAAACTTGTGGGTAACTCATACGCCCCCACCTTCGCTAAATGACGACACTTCACCCTCAGCTTCGCAGCCAGCCTCGCCTGACACTTCAGCTCCAACCCGCGCCAAAAGGTTCCTGAGTAAGAGCCATGTCAGGTATCGAAGTGGCTGGGCTTGTCCTCGGTGCGCTTCCGCTGATCATCCATGCAATCACAGTGTATGCAGATGGTGTCTCCACGGTAGAACGCTATTTCAAATATGAGATACCGTTGCGCAGCCTCCATCGGTCCCTCGAAGCGGAGTTCGTGATATATCAGAACACTTGCGAGGAATTGCTCAACGGTATCGTCAAGGATAATGAGGAACGTGCAGCTCTTCTCAACAACCCTGGTGGACCGGATTGGAAGAAAGCGGTATTGGAAGAGAAGCTGAAAGATCGCCTATCGAGGTCCTACATGGCTTACGTCGGGGCCATGGAGGATATGAAAGATGCAATGTTAGATATGAAGAAGCTCCTGAAGCTGGATAAGAGCGGAAAGGTGCGTGTCAGACTAGTAAAGAACACTGCATTCGACTGACTATACACCGCAGGTCCAGCTTCACCCCTCCAGCAAGTTCAGAAAGGAATACCACCGGTTGCGCTTCAGCTTGAAGAAGTCGGAGTACGACGGTCTTGTGGCTAAGGTGCAGCAACTGAACGCGACACTTCGTACATTGACCCAGCAGACACTGGCATTGGAACCAACCCGCTCAAAACGCCAGATACCCGAGTTCGATACCATCCGCAACTATGCTGCCGCAGTCTACAACCTCATTTGCGCTGGTCTCAAGTGTGGTTGCCCATCGACTCATGGCATCAACTTACGACTTGAAGGCATGATGAAATGCAGTTCCTCTGCAGGCCTGCCTCCGTTTCGCGTAGTGCTCTCGTACAGCTCACAGGTGGCTGCACAACCAGGCACACCATGGACTGTAGAGGCAGTAGACATCCACCCTTTTCAAGTTCAAACTTGCGCACCACCCACAAAACAACATCAGAGTCTTGGTAAAAAAGCTGCAAAGAAAGTCACATTCCAGCCTGTGGCAGGACAAGCATCTGCCCCAGCCACCAACACGGCCGAGCCCGGACCAGCACAGACACAAAACCTGCTGCAGATCAAGAACTTATGCCAAACCATCTGCTCCATCAAGGGCTCCTGCATAGACACCTGCCTGGGCTACCTGGAAGACGACATCACAAAACAAAGACTCAGCCTACACCAGCCGCGGGAATCCTTCACCGCACAAACCGTGCCCTCATTCCTCTCCCTCCACAGCGTCCTCGCATCGAACGCCACGGGACGCCGCCGCCTCTCCACCGGCCACCGCCTACGCCTCGCCGTCCTACTCTCCACCAACCTCCTCCAACTCCACCGCACGCCCTGGCTGACCGAAACCTGGGACCACAACGACATCACCTTCCTCGCCAGCACAGGCAGCGCCGACGACTTCAGAGACCCTTTCATCTCCCGCACACCACCAACACCTCGCGATCACATCACTGACAACGGCCGCGTCCCCACCGCACGCCCACCACCCCTCAACCCCGGCACCGTCCTCAACCGCCCCCTCTTCGCCCTCGGCATCCTCCTCATCGAGCTGTGTCTCGGCCAGCCGTTCGACGAGCTGCGCACGCGGGCCGGACACGCGTTGATGCCCGTGGCGAGCGCCGCGCCGTCCGACTTCGTCGTCGCAGACCGGCTGCTGGACGACGTGACGGCCGAGTCGGGCGACCGCTACGCGGACGCCGTGAGGCGGTGCGTGCGGTGTACGTTTGATACGCGGAAGTTCGATTTGGAGGACGAGGGGTTCCGGCGGGCGGTGTATGAGGGGGTGGTGGCGCCGTTGGAGGAGAATTTGTTGGACTTTAATGGGCTGGTGGTGTGAGGGGTGGGGTGTAGGGAAGGGGGGGTTGGAGTGGGGGTTGATGTGTGTTTTTCTTTTTCTTTTTTTTCTGGAGGGGGAGGAGGGGGTACGGTTGTGTTGATACTTACCGAGGGATTCTGGAAGGCGCTTTGTACTGTACATACATACGTGCTGGAGCTGGGATGCGTTTAAGTCTTTTTTCTTTATGTGTACATCCAATCCAAATACACACCTGGAAATGTTTGCTGGTACGGATTCAGACTGACGACGAAGTACATATCTCCTCTCCAGCTGACCCAGGTAAGGCAATCCAGAGTGACAAGAACCCATCAAGCGTACTAAGCTCTCCTAGTTTCCATCGAGCAGTGGAAACCAACCGACACTCCCCATAGCTATCCCAAACTGCACTTCAGACCTCTCACGCTTCGAAACCGGTTCATCAGCACCGTTATACTCTTCTATACCTCATGTATCGCTGGTCTCGTTAATCATTGGGAGAATATGTGCTTTCTACTTTCACGCTTGTCTCATAACTACATTTTTACTCCACCGAGGGTCCCTCAGTGTGAACGCAGGTTACTAGTTCGAGAATGATTGAGAAGCCATGGGAGTGTTTGGCATAGCGCGCAGCACAGTGCGTGACCCCCGTACGCCGCAATTACCCGACGATTTTCATCAGCACAGAAAACGATGCAGGTCAGAAAAATATCGTAGCACTTATATAACAGCTCCATCTATAAAGCGGATGATTTTACCAACAGTTATCGAGACCTATCAAATTTTCTTTTAAAAAAAAAAAGTGAAGACGAACCGCGCCTCCGTGAAAATTTGACCACTGGATCCACCGCAGCCCACGACCTACCGCACCGCCCTTCCATTCCGCCGAGAAGCCACATCGAAAACCTTTGACCTCGAGCGCGCCATCTGACCGACGGTGCGCCTGCGACTCGGCGGTACAGTGTCCCGCCGTCTGACCGTGGCAACAATCTGATCAGCCTGGCCAGACGACGACGACGACGACTGGCTGGAAGCAAGGGAAAAGTCTCTCTCGAAGTCGACGACAAGTATCTTGACGAAGACTCCTCGTGCTTGCATGCGACCAAGCAGCTCGCGGAACAGTTCAAGGAAGCCTCGGCACCCTCCTGCGCTCCCTTGCGACAGTCGGTGGAGGTCTTCGCTCTCGACGACGACGAAGCACTGCCCCAATGCTGGGATAACACGGGATAGGAGGTCCAGCCATTCTGTAGGGGTGTGTGCGTCGCCGAACTTTGCGATGTTGTGCTCGTCTGCTGTGCCGGCGAGGGCGTCGGGTCGTTGGCGAAGTACTTGGTAGACCAGTGATTTCAGTACCTTCTCAGGAGATGGACAGGAATCGGCGGATGATGGCTGCGAGAGCGACCATAGGACGTTGTATTGCTGCGATTTGATGTGGCTGACAATGTTGACGACTAAGTCTTTGGTGGCTGCAGTCGCACGTGCGCCAGGCTGGAGAATGAGGAGTGATGATCCTGGCAGTGACTTCCACTGCGTCAGTTCCGTCAGAACGCTGGAATGGAGGAAGGACGGGCCCGTCCGTCGTTCGCTCCGCCGTAAGGTATATTCTCTCCGGCGAAGCGAGTCCTCGGGTCGGACGGCTGGCTTGAGCTCGTTGAGCAAATTGGGGTGCAGAATCTGAGCGACGTGAGAAGCTGTGTCGTCGACACGAATTTTGATGCCTTCCCCAAGGGTGTGGGTGGCAGTCGTTGTCTGGATGATCTGGTCAAGTTTCAGATGCTGACCCTGCAGCTCTTGCACCACCTTTTTGATGCCTTGCACATCCGTGCCCATTTTCCCGAGCTCCAGACAGATAGACCGCAACTCTACCTTGCTTTGTCCGCTTGCGATTCTGCGGGCGTACTCGGAGCACTCCTGGATTTTGCCAAGGATATCCGCGTATTCCAGCTTGAAGGGCCAGGCGAACGAGCGGGCGATGCGCCCAGTGGTGCTGGTTGTGTACCATTTCGCAGTGCGCAAAAAGAAATTCAGGATGTGTTCGTACAGAATGGCGGTGATCCCGAGCATCTGGTCCGTGGGGTATAGTTGAGAAGAGAGTTTGACCTCAGAAAGGGCGTATCCGACGCTCGCCAGAGCTTCTGAAAGCCTCTCGGTAAGTTCTGCGTATTGAACGACCCCCTTGAGACCATTAGTTACGTCTGCAGCGAGTATAGAGTGAAGCAGAAGGCAAAGTTACCATAAGTACAAATTTAATGGATCCTCAAGCCAAAGATACATATTCAGGGTGATGCTGTGCAAGGGCATCAAATACTTGCGTGTAGTGCAGCGTATACTTGAAACGTCGTGCAGCCACCTCGAGATCTTAGATTTCTTCTTTTCTTTTTTGTCGTACTCCACTCTGAGGTTGATCACGTCCGCTTCAACATCTTCGACGGTTGTTGTTCCAAACACGATTCGTTGCGCTTGAGCGTCATCGGCCACCACGTCCCGTAGCACTAGTAACGCTTTTTCATATGCTTCACTTGCGATATTCCGAGACCTGCTATCTATAAGCTCACGCATATCTGATTAGCTAAGAGGGAGAGAGAAGGAAACACTAACTGCAGTATATCACGAGGAGGTGCGTAGGATCGGAACATGTGTGATATGACTGATGGTAACTGCAATAATTAAACCGAAAGAAGAGTTGAGATGGCAAGGTGTGAGAAATGAGCATGGTGATGTATCCGTTGAGGGGGCTGTGGAGAAATCAGCATGTGGGCACCGTCACCACTGGCCTGCTCAGCCCCTCTGCATTCCGCGTGCCGATGGTGGGTTCCACAGCTGCTCAGCAGGTTGGGATATGGAGGGGAAGAGGTAAGTAGCTGTGTGGATTCCAAAAGTAGAGCTGAGACTAGATACACGACTGAGGAAACGCCTTGAACCTTCTAGTCCAGGCGAAGTTGCTTCATCAAAGCCTCCAATGGGCACACTACCTCCTGGTGGACGGCGCTCTGTAGCTCAGACTTTTCAAGATCGTTCCCCTGGCCAAAATCGCACTCTAGGCACCTCCTCACTATCTCGCCGTAGCGCGGACCCAGCCTCATGGACTGCTTCGCCATTCGTCTCACCGCAACGATCTGGTCCTCTCCGTCTTGGAAAAGTATTGGCTTCTGTTGGCTGATCTCAAGCAGCGCGACTCCAAGACTGAAGAGCGGCACGTTCCGAACGCCATGGTACAGTGAGAGTTGATCGTCTGCTGGGTCTGCAGATGTCGCGGCTGTGGTTGCAGTGTCCTGGATTGTCGAGTCCGCTGCTTGGACCGCTTGATCTGCTACCATCTTGTCTGGCATACTTGTCTTGAAGTGCAGTGTCGACAAGACGGCGTTGGAGAGATCGGGGCTGTCTCCCAGCACGAATACATCTTGGGTTCGCCACACGTCGTCGAGCCATGGGGTCGAATTGTACTGGAGCAGCGAGACAGCCAAGCGATGGGCAATGTTGATCTGCTGGTCTGGCCGCACCTCGTTGTGTGGCATGGATGAGAGGACCTTTGCCATTGATGAGCTATTCGCGTGTAAGGGTCTCGCGACCGGCCGGCCGCCTTTGGCCGAGGGACCGGAACAGTAGAAAAGGTGTTGGCACTCCTCTTCTACTTTCAAGTATCCAAGACAACGGAGGCTGTTTGACTGAAGAGACGAGTTACAGAGCGTTTCGCCAATCAGACGGCATATGTCGTTGGTTTTGGCCAGGTCCACAAGCGCGGAAGGTGTAACAGGCATCTGAACCGGGCTTGCGTGTGTGACTGTGCAGGTCTCATTGCTGCTGAAACTGCTATTTTGGATGACACGTCTTGACAACGGAGCTTCTTCAGCTGCGCTTTCGGACGAATCTCGCGAGCGTTTACGATTAGGTCGAAGTAGATTGTTCAGATGTACATTCAGCAGGTTGCCCTCCACATGCAGAGAATCATCCGACTTCTTCGTCGAAACGCTGGATTGGATCTGGAGCCAGTATGGCACTCTACTGTTTGCTTTAGTTCATTGAGCTAAGCCAACTTTGTTCAAAGTAGACGCTTACGTTTGTGTTGCATTTGAGACATCTTGAAACGAGATTGCCATGTCCAAGGATACTCTCTCGTTGGCGTGTGGCTCTGCATCAAGACAGAGCATTGCTTCGTGACCTGCATGGTTACTCATGTCACAGCCCCAGGAGGTCATGAGTGCTCGATGGAGTGTCCCAGCAGCGTGGCGGACCATAGCGTACTGCCGAGGTGCCTGTTGTGGTACGTTCAGATATCCAGGTCGCTTGGTTTGCCTTGATCGGAACTCGTCGATATACGATCGGACCAGTGAGAGTTCTCCGTTGAGGTCCTTAAGACCGCGTAGCTGCTTCTCAAGCTCTGGTTTCCGAAATGTAAATTCCGTCTTTTTACACACTCGGCGGAATGTGTCTCGAAGGGGTTCGTCTTTCTGAGTGGTTCAAGTGAGCTGAAGCCGCCCAGGAGATGGACAAAGAAAAGAAAGGCAGTGTCCGGCACCTACTTTGAGTCTCTCTTTTTTCAATATCTTGAAGCATTGCATTTCCCGGTGCACCTCGCTCAGCGCGTGTGCAATGTGTTTCAAAATGCCAGCGCAATTCTCGTAGTTTTCCACGAGGCGCTGATCTTCTCGCCCGCCAGATAAGAGTATCCGCAGTGAATCGTCGTCGTCTAGAAGCAACAAGTCGCACTCATTCTCGAAATTGGTCTGTTGGATCTCGAACTGGAAGTAGAATTTGTCAATTTCTTCAGAGCATCTGCGATACGTTTTTATCAGTTTGCGAGCCGCTTTGTACGACTTGATGGCTTCGATTACAAGTGGTACGATACCGACCGCGAGGCCAGCGGCCTCCATCGTAGCGGAATGTTTGTGACGATACTTGGGTTGCTTGTGGGATGCGCTGTTTATCTGGATGTCAGCCGCAGTTCTTAGCCTTGGGGGCGCAGCTGTCTCGGAAGTGTGCCTTGGCTGCCCGCGGGTTCCACCAATTAGCTATCGATCATGTATGTCGGAGTGGGGTCGTCTGACATGTCAACGTCGACTCAGCCTCGCAAGTGATACTGCTTTGCCACACAGAAATAGATTGGATGTTGCACTCCTTAACAGCACCGTTCTTGAAACCACTTCCAAAGCCACTCGTTCTTCTTTTCTCCCCAAATCCATCGCCCATCTTGATTGCGAGCTAAGTAGGGATCAACCTACCGGTCGCAGAATCAAGATGCGCACTACAACGCTCTCTAAACCGACCGTGCCACCTAGCGACGCGCTTGCTCTGTATGACGCATGCCTGAGGCTGTTTCGCTCGTTGCTGAGTTTGGATTCTCGAGATGTCGTCATCCGAGAATATCAGACCCTCGTTTTGTGGGGGGAAGGGCGTCGCGATCAGCTGGGCGTCGCAATTGAGAAGTCCGAGCGACTACGAAAAGTCACTCTCCGATCTCTTTGCTCAATTTTGAGAGCATTGCGATGTGCGATCTACACCTAAACAGCGGTGCAATGGACTTGGCTGACACTGCTTAGCACTTATGCGAATTATGCGTAACGAACAAACGACATCCTCGTTGACAGATACGGATTTCGAGGAATCGGACGAATCGGACGAGGATACATCTGATAGCAGCAGTGACGACACAGATGCTGGAGTGGAAGATCCTTTTTCCTTTAGAACTTCGCGCCTTAGTTCAGTCAAAGAGGGTGGTACTCGGGCAAGATCCGATGTGGATACCCCAGACCCGCGCAAGGGAAAAGAACCGTTCAATGCAGTGGAGACGGAGAGAACGGAGATATCTCAGGGCTCTTCAGCATCAGCATCGCTCAAAAACCCAGACAGAGACGACACGACTTCCATGCTTATCTTTGACTCGGATTTCGCTGAGAAGCTTGACGATCTTCGAGTATATGTTCAAGGACTCGTTGACCTGGGTAGCACCATCGAGCAGCCCGCCGACCACAATAAGGACTCGAGACAAATATCGGAAAGACACCTCTCCAAATCGCTTTCTTCGCTACTCGAGCCTGCGGCGTATACTGGACAAATACAAGTCCGGTTTCCCAAGATTCGCGCAGAGCTTGCAACAGAGCTTGGAGTGCTTAACTATATACGTTTCGTGAGGCTCCAACTACGACGACAAACGAATCGCGGGACATCAGTGACATCCGAGGGTGTGTACACACCATCCATTACCTCTACTTCACCCGGAGGCTCTGCTGTCCGCGTACCTCCATTGCCAAGTGAGGAACTCAATTGCAAGAGCATTGGCTGCTGTATCGCGTGCGGAATGTCGGTGAATGTTAAAGACCGTCGCCAGTGGAAGTGAGTAGTCCCCATTTGATGGGTCGTGAATACGCGCTTACTGACGTCCTCGAAGAGAGCACGTTTTCCATGACCTCCGCCCTTATGTATGTTTGGTTCCAGGCTGTCAGCTGGAAACCTTCAACGACCGTTCTTCATTTGGCAGTCACCTTGTGACTTACCACGCGAACGATCCACTCGTTACCCAACAGCAGTGTCCCATCTGCCACAAGACTGCCTTCACGAGTCAGCCTTGTTTTCTCCTCCATGTTGCTCGCCATATGGAAGAGATAGCTTTGGCGGCATTGCCTTCAGGTGTGGAAAGCGATAGCCTTGTTGAAGACAATGTGAGCACAGACGATGAGCACGAGCTTGCAAGGGCAGTCACCACGGACCTCGAAAACAACAATACCAAAGACAAGAGATCGCGACCACCTCGCCACCGCAGCCTCAGCTCTATAGAAATTGGTTCAAGACGGTTCAGGACCCTTCGAAAACATCCACCAGACGACAGAACCCGGTCTAAATCCAAGACACGCACCCGGCCTCTGATGGCCGAGACGGCATCGGCGGAAGACCCAGCGCTGCACACGGAGCTCGTGCACATGCTCGCCCCTCAACCCATGGAGATGCGAGAGATTACTCGCAGGATGAAGGTTTCGGAAGAGGAGATCCGACCAACGCTGGCAAAAGTTGCTCGAGAGCAGAAAGGAAAATGGAAATTGGCGGATCGGGCATACAAAGAGCTAGACCCCTTCAGCCCAAGCGTTCGATTTCCGACGGAGGAGGAGCGCAAGAAGGCGATCGACAGAGCCGTCGGGGCGCTGGATCGTCAGAGGCTCGATCCCCGCGACGAGATTTGGCAGAAACTCCTCCCGGAAGCCGAGCGCGGCAAAGGAAAGACTCTGTCGAGGTTGACCAGAGGCGCTTTTGCGGCTGTGGCTTTTCCGGGTGTCCTACCAAAAAGGCCCCAAGGGTAGAGTGGGAATGGAATCCCACACGGGCAGCAGGATTCACCCACCTATCGCCCTTGGGAGCCCCGGCCCGCTGCGATTGCTATGCGGAGTGCGGAACACGTCGCTCTTCAGCCTCGGCGTGGCGTTGCTGGAGATCAACCAACAAGGGGATATCCCGCCCGACGGCGACGAGAACCAGATCGTGGCGATAAGGAGATTGTCAGAGGAGCCGATGAGACTGTGGACGCACTGCTAGGGGTGTCGTGTGAGAAGATGCCTCGGCTGTGACTTTGGGTGAGGAACGACCTCGGAAAGAGGGAGCTGCAGGGTACGAATGGTTCACAGTTCCCAACTCCACCACCTACCCTGTCCGAACAACACACAACTCTCACACTCGGACATGCTCCGCTTCATCAGAATGGAATCAGGCTCGCAGAAGTATAGTAACATCCGGAAGCCTCAGATTGAAGAAGAAAAGAATACCATTCGACCGAACTACATGTATATCCAGAAGCAGAACACAAAAAAGCATTAATAAAAACTACATCCAAGGAGAAAGAAGAGAAGAAAAGAAAAAAAAACTGTGTGATGATTTACGCCACCAGCGCCATGCAACAGTCCCACCCAGTGAATGAATCCCCAAAACCCCTGTTTTTTTCAAAGGACGTTGGTATATATCGCTAAGACGTAGCATTTGCCGAAGACAACGGTTGTTGTTTGTGTTCTCTTTCTTTTTTGTGTGCAACGGACATCATTCCAAACATATCCTCATGTAGAACAAGAAACCCGGCGAAACACCGGTGTGTAAGTAGAGCAGGAGGAGATGACCCAGCGCAATCTAGTTAGTTCACGACGCTTCTCCTCCTGCTGCGGCTATGGCTATTCGACGTATGGCTCATCGACGTCCTGCCGAAAGTATGCGACGACCTGCCAAAAGTGTGCGACAACCTGCTAGGGCCGCTACCGCTACCGCTGGCGACCTCGACCTCGTCGTCCTCGTCCTCCTCCAAATCCCTCTCGATGGCGCCCTCGGGCAGCTCCTCGTGGAAGACCCGCCTCAGCTCCTTGCACGCCGACAGGTAGTGCGCCTGGACGCCGGGGGTCGGGCGCAGCGGGTTGGGCGCCTTGTCCCAGCCGTGCGGCACGCCGGGCACCATGGTGTAGACGACGTTCTTGCCGAGCTCCCTGAGGCGGTCGCGCAGGCGCTCGCCCTCGGCGAGCAGCATGTCCCACTCGCAGGTGAAGAGGATGACGTCCTCGGGCAGGCCGGCCATCATGGCGTCCGGGGCGCGGCCGGGCGAGAGGTAAGGGTTGGACATGTCCATGGTGGGGGGCGAGAGGTAGCTCTCGTCGAAGAGCTGGGTGAAGACGGCGGGGAGCTCCTGGTCCTTGCGGACGCACGTCATGCGGCGCTGCTCGCGCGTGACCGTGTAGTCGGTCGACGGGTACCACGCGACGATGGCCTTGAGGCGCAGCTCGCGGCGGACGTTGACGAGCGTGCGGCCGCGGCTCAGCGCCTTCTGCGGGATGTTGTCCGTCGAGCCGGGGGCCGGGCTCATGCCGAAGGGCGTCTCGGCGTCGGCGGGCTCGGGCACGACCTCGCCCTGGAGGCGGAGCGGCACCGTCAGGCTCATGTTGCCGCCGCTGCTGAACCCGGAGACGGCGACGCGCTCGATGTCGATGAGCAGCGACTCGGCGTGCTCGGCCAGGTAGAGGATGGCGTCGACGCCGTCCTCGACCGCCGTCGGGAAGGCGTACTCGGGCGCGCGGCGGTAGTCGACGCTGACGACGACGGCGCCCACCTCTCGCACCACCGTCGCGCACCACCGGGCGTCGTCCGTCGCCTGCCCCAGCGTGAAGCCGCCGCCGTGGAAGTTGACCACGACCGGGAACCGCTTCTCCCTCATTCGCTTCTGCAGGCTGTAGTCCTCGGGCACGTAGAATTGGAGCTTGAACTCGCCCTTGATCGGCGACACGGTGGTGGGTACGGTGCGGGTGAAGGACGGCTTGGGCGGGCGCGGCGATGCCATGCGGTGCAGCATCATGCCAATTCCCATGAGCACCCGCCAGAATTGGGCCTGGACGTGGAGCGCCCATCGTGGGCGCGGTGCGCGCGATGTCGGTGGTTCGGATTTGGCCATGGTGGGTGGATTCGTGGTAGTGGCGACACGCCACGGGGTGTGACGATGTGGGCGAGCGAGAGCGGTAGGGCTGGATGCACCTGCAGGCGGGAGATAAGGCGGCGGCCGGCCAATCTCAACGAAAACGCGGAGGTGGGCGGCAAAGGCAGGCGTGCATTAGCTTCGGGAAGTTGGAGGAGCTAAGGAGGGAGTTCGAAGGTGAAATGGAGAAGAGAGTGAACAACACAGCCTCACTACTTGCATGGGCCGGGGGTACGCGACTATGATGTGGTTCTCGGCCGGGCTTTTGTGCCTGGGTCGTCAGGCCAGAGCGATGACGTAGAGTCCCGACTCCCGACGCCTTGACCTGGGGCATCCAACCGATCAAGGAAGCTCCACATCATCGGCTCACGCCGATCCCCCTCCGGCGCCATCCATCAAAGCATGCTACATCCATCATCGTCAATAATGATGCAAAATCGCGGGGTTTAGGATTGTATTGGGGCAGTGCGCTACTGCCAAGGGCTACAAACAAAGCTGCAGTCTGTCCGCAACGAATAAATCAAAAGCCACCAGATCAGCCCGAAGGGGCGTGGGTCATCATGTCCTCGAGAAGCGCCGCCCATAACCCAGATGCTCCTCTAATGAATGCCCGCAAGCTATGCAACAAAAGAACCCTAATAATCCGAAACCCGCCCAGGCATACTGGGCCTGCCAAAGCTAGTCGGTCATGTCAACGCCGTGAAAGTAACCAAGGTGCAACCATTAATAATCGTGTAAGACGCGCAAAGGAATGTCGGCGGTAGGCTTCGCATCGCCTCGTCCGAGCCGGCTTAGACGTGCTCCCAGTCGTCGTCCTCGCCCTTGGCCGCCCTCTTGCCCTTGCCCGCGCGGCCGCGCAGGTTGGCGGGCTCGCCGTTGCCGTCCAGCACCTCGTACTCCTCGTTGACCAGCTCGTGCGTCTTGCGGTCCTCGAACCGCTCAATCGCCTGAACCAGCGCCTGGTTGAGGATCTGGCTGCCGTGGCTGGGACCCTTCTCCGCATCGAACGAGTATGTGATGCCGGCGTCGGGCTCCGGTGCCGCAGAGGACTCGATCGGCTCGTCGTCTGTCGATTCGCCGCTGGTGTAGTGGTCCATGGGGAACACTTCGTGCTTCCGGCTCCGGGCGGCATGCGCGACTTCCTTGGCCTTCTCGCGGCGATGCGCGGCGGCAACCCTGCATGCGCCGTTAGCATTCGAACCCGTACCATGCACGGGTGGAGTGAGCTCACCTGTGGCTGATGCGAACGGGCCTGGGGTTGCTGTTCAGCGGCCGTCCGGGGCCCCATGCGCCGCCATTTGCCCACTTTGCCTTCTGCTCGTGGTCACGCTGGTAGTCGATGGAGCCGGCGCGGAGGTCGGAGGTCGAGTTGGACTGCTCGGAGGCCATGGTGAAGAGCTGGTGTAGGTTGGCGGTAGAGAGCGACTTGGAGTGAGGCAGGCTGATAAGCTTGGATGGAGGATGGGGGGATTGGTCGGTTATGAGTCGTGGAGGATGGTAGCAGGCGGCAGGGAGGTCGGCGACTTATAGGTCAAGTGGGCGTGTCCGGATGATGAGTCGGAGCTGAGTCACTGGGGGAGGAGGTAGTGGCTGTGCTATGCGCAGTTGGTGCTCTTGCGGTGTCCGAATAGGGAGCACTTCTGGAACGGGGGGAAGCTGGGGCTCGTCTGTTGCGGCAGGCGCGATACAAGTGCTGGCAGGAAGGCAGAAGAGCCGGAAGGCAGGATAAAGGAGGCTCTTGTTTATGTACTCGGGGGGGCAGATGACGCGCCCGGCCGGGTGCTGCGTTGCTACCATGTTGGACAAAGGGATCCGAGATAAGAGGCTGGCTAAGATGAGCCACGGGACCCAGCCTGGACTGCCGCCCATGGAGGCTGATCGCGCTCCACGCCGCAGGATGCTGGCCGCTGATAGGAGAGCGTGATGGCCCTCGGCCTGTCAGCGTGGAGCCCTGATTGTGGCTGCGGTCGTCAGGTACGGGGACGTGGTGCAACGCTGACGTCTGGCGGGGTCGGCTTTGTGCTGCTGCCCGCTGCTGCCCGCCACCGGCATCACGGCGGCTAGGCACTCTGGGGATGTCGCCATCACGGGCGCGAGTGGACGTGCTCAAGGTCTGGCAAGGTGTCCTTCGGTTGGTGACGGACGAGGGGCAGCGCGGTGCCAGCCAGAGCCGATCCTCCGCATCGCCTTGACGCGCTGACTCCACAGCCGCCGCCGCCGCCCGGGCAAGCCCCATCCATTCAGGCAAGATAATACACCCACCCCACCCGCCGCCTATCTACATGCCACCAACGTAACCCGACCGCGGAGCCCCTCACTCGTCAGCTGCCGCTGCCGCTGCCGCTGCCGCTTCTCCGGGTCGCGCGCCAGATGCGTCGCTGTCGCTGTCGCTGTCCTCGCCCCCCGCCGCCGCCTCGCTGGGCAGCTCGCTGGGGAACCAACCGTAGGCCGCGAGGTCGACGAGGTACTCGCCCAAGCTGCCTCGGCCCACGTGGACCCCTTCGCGGCGCAGAGCTGCGGCTTGTCGGCTGGCACCCCCCGGGCCCCTTTGTTCGCCGGTCAGGTCAGCCAGTGCGCGTCGGTCACGGGGTTGGAGCGCTTGCTTTCGCGCTGAGACAATGGCTGTGTTGTCAAGCGCAGCACATACCTCGGGCTGATGACGCCCTTTGAGTTGATGACGCGCTGCCACGGCACGTTGCCGCTATGCCATCTCGGTCCGCTGCCGCCGTCACCGTTGCTGCCGCCTGCCTGCTCGGTGTCGCCCGGCGACGGAAGGTGTTTGAGAGAGACACCGACCTGTCTGCATCGCCGTCAGCCCGTGTCGTTTCCCATGGTCGCGGCCCGGCATCGACGTACCTGGGACATTCCGCTGCTCGATGAGACCGTCGTCAGTCTAGAGTGCTGCCGGGTGCAGCCGGGTGCGCTGGACTTACGCCTGCCCACGAGCCGTGCAATGTGCCCGTAGGACGTGACCGTGCCTCGAGGTATCTCTTGCACTGCCTGATACACGGCTGCGAACCACGCCGCAGCCTCCTCTGATCGAGGCGCCATGTTTGCTGAGTCAAGGTGAGATCATCGAAGAGTCAGATCAAGACTCCGGCCAGGCAGAAGAGTGACTCTAGAGAATCGCCCAAACAGTCCAAGCTCGCCAAGCGCATGTCCGAGAATGAGTCACGTGGGATTGCATTTCCTAATCGGGCAAGCAACCTATCAACTGAGCTCGGTTGAGGACGGTTCCGGGCTTGGGCGATTGTTTCACGTAAAGGAATACAACATGGAATATACTACCGTAGATTTGACATCATGGCCCACCGACCACTTCCAATCCTATACGATGGACGTGGTTTCGTCTACCGTGCATCGGCTGCTCGACTCCCCCCTTCGACATCGCGCGTGCCACAACTCCATACCTCCCAACCGGCAGCACGAGCTTCGCCCGAAACGCCTGCCAACTGTAGTCCACGCGGTCCGCCACATCTGCATCGACCCAGCCCCCGTCGGCGCCATCATCGGCGCAGACGCGCACGCTCGCGATCCCGTCGTGGCTCCACGCCCACCCACTGACCACGACATCCGCGCTACCGCCCTCGCCGCCGCCGGCGACGCCATCACGACGACCGGTCAACAGGAGCACCCGCGTGTCTGGCGGTGGGTCCACGATCATCGAGTTCGGCTCCACCGCCCACACCGGCCGCCGCACCACCGCCAGCTCCTCAGCCACTGCACCGCCACCAGCGCCATCAACACCGCCGGACATTGAAGCAGCCAGCGGAACAGCAAGCACGCTCTCGTTGTACCAGCGCGTCGTAAACGGCGACGGCGCGCGCGCCGGCCGCGCCGAGAGCCGACACAGCCACTTGGTCATGTTTGTCCCGAACCAGCCGGGCACGACGAGGCGGACCGGCCCGCCGCGCTCCCTGCGCAGCGGCGCGCCGTTCATCTCATACGCGACCAGCGCCTCGCCGCCGCGCGCCTCGCCCATCGGCACGTCCTTCTGGTAGCGGTCCGCCTGCACGCCGGCGAAGGCGCCGCGGTCGAGCCCCTCGGACCAGACGAACGCGGCGCGCGGCAGCGGCGCCGCCAGGTCGAGCAGCGAGGACAGGCGCACGCCGGTCCAGACGACGTTGCCGACGCGCCAGAGGGCGTTGGTGGGGTACGGGTCGAGGAGCGGGCTGCCGTAGCATTCGTGGAAGGCGGTTAGGGTGGTGCGGGGGAGCTGTTTTAGTTGGGGGAGGGTGAGGGCGAAGGGGTGGCGGACGAGGCCGTCGATGACTAGGAGCCACTTTTCTGGGTCGACGACGGCCGGGCCCATGTGGATGGTTTCGAAGAGGAGGTCGTCCGGGGTGATGAAGTCTTTTAGCATGTGAGGCGGTGGGGGGTGGCGGATGTGGAAGCCGGGAGGGTCTATTGCAAGGCATGCTTTGCGCTCTTCGTCTTCGCCTGGAGGGCGCGCGAATGGGATGGTGGCTGGGTCCTCCATCGTTTAGCGTTGCGGATTGGAGAAGCTGTCCCCGCGGTCAGCTTGCTGCATCAACGGATCCATTGGAGAGCATGTCGAGTCCAAAGTGCGCACCTTGGAAAAGGTCAACTCAAACTATGTGCATGATGGCTAAGATAACATAACGGAGGCAGATATCGGATAATGAGGCAGCGGCTAGAAAACAGTAGTACTACATCTATACATATGATCAAGACAGACGAATATCTTGCAGCACTAGAGAATCTGAAGAACTGCTTGAGATGATAGCCGTGAGGTGGAGAAGTGGGTTTGAGCGGGGAAGAGGGTGTCTCGCTTACATAATAAGATTCCAACTGAAATCTTGGCATGTTTGCAGCTTTTGGTCACTGCACGACCGCGTCACATACCAGAACTTGTAGTGATAATAGCTCCAAGTTCTCCACACTCCCTCACCACGCCCCCTCCATACCCCTCTACCAAACCGACAATGTCACTCGCCGACTATCTCGCAAAAAAGTACCTCACCGCCGACGCACCCGCCGAGAAGAAGACCAAAAAGCGCAAGAGAAAGCCCGGAGCAGCAGCAGCCGCCGAATCTAGCGGCGGCCTCGTCATCGCCGACGACGATGTCACCGGCTGGAACAACGGGCCCCAGGCGCAAGACGACGAAGACGCCCCCATGATGGGTGAGTCCAATCCCCCTCATCCCCATGTCCACGAAACGCAGCACCTCCCCAAAACGCCTCCCTCCACCACCCATTTCCTCCTCCTCCTCCTCCTCCACCTTCCTCTCCCTCTCCCTCCACAACTCCCACCGCTAACCCCCCACCCCCACGCCCCACAGTCGGCACCGCCGCCAGCGCCGAATTCCGCAAAAAAGCCTCGAGCACCTGGAAGACCGTGGGCGCCGCCGCGCCCACGTCGGCCGACCAAGCCGCGGCCGACGCCATCATCGCGTCCGCGGCGGCCGAAAACGCCGCCCGCGACGCCGCGTCGCGCGGGGACGACGACCCCATGATCGTCGACAACGAAAACGACGACGACGAAAACGACGACGACGGCCCCGCCCTCGAGAACGGCGCGCGCGCGGGATTGCAGACGGCGGCGCAAGTGACGGCGGCGGTGGAGAAGCGGCAGCGGGCGGAAAGGCGGATGATGGAGGAGGCGATCAAGGAAGCGGGCGGTGGAGTCGCGGGGTCGACGGAGACGATATATCGCGACGCGAGCGGGCGGATCATCAACGTGGCGATGAAGCGGGCGGAGGCGCGGCGGGCGGCGGAGGAGGCGGAGGCGGCGCGGCGGCGGGAAGAAGAGGAGGCGAAGGGGGACGTGCAGCGGGCGGAGAGGGAGGAGCGCGGGAGGCGGTTGCGGGAGGCGAAGTATTTGACGGTGGCGAGGGGGGCGGATGATGCGGAGATCAATGAGGAGATGAGGGGGAAGGAGAGGTGGAGCGATCCGGCGTTGGCGTTTTTGTCGAGGAAGAAGGAGGGGAAGAGCAGGACGGGGAGGCCGTTGTACAAGGGCGCGTTTGAGCCGAATCGGTATGGGATCAGGCCTGGGCATAGGTGGGACGGGGTGGATAGGAGTACGGGGTTTGAGAGGGAGTGGTTCAGGTCGCGGAATGCGAGGCAGAATCGGGCGAATTTGGAGTATGCGTGGCAGATGGATGAGTAGTGAGTGGAAAGGGCTGGATGGGTGCGTTGGGGGCAGCGGGGGTACGCCTTCATCGTTGGGGAATCTGGGCAAGTGCATCGGTATAGCAAGGCGTTCTGGGATCCTGTGGGCTGCAGGATGATAGACACCTGAACTCAGGTGTTATGCGTCTTCTGCGATTTTGCTCATGCTTTGTTTGGACTTGGTGTCTTGCTGCGTGGGTCTGGAATTCGTGAAGGCGAGCCGCGCCATTCGTTTGTTCCGGAGCTTTTTCCTACTCCACTTGGAGTTGGGGGACAGGAACAATCTAACAAAATCTACATAAAGAACCTGTCCGATGTCTATACAACCATCCCTTATGTTACAGCCATATCTTCATACAATCACAAGCGTTGACTTCTTTTACACCTACCACAACACCTCGGTTCTCGCCTTCGGCGGGCTTTCCGCACGCTCGTATACACCCTCAGCGTTAAATTCAAACGGGCTGCACTGCCACCTCCGCGCAAACCTCTGTGCCTCCGCCTTGTTCTCCAAGGTGACGATGTACCGCGACGGCACCTTCCGCACTCCGCTATTGTCTACTGGCTTCCGCTCGTTGGAATTCACTCTTACCACGCCTTCGGCGCTGTTGGTGCCGCCAACGACGAGCCACGGCAGCCCGCGGTCCTTGCCATCGCGAGCGATGGTCTTGCGCACTTCATTGAAGGACGGCTGCGCGCCGTCGAACCACAAGAGAACTTTAGCGATGGAGAATTGGGCGATGGAGTCGGCGTCCGACAGGTCGGGAGAAGCACCGAGGGAATTGGCGGGGCCGACGATGGGCCCGTAACCGCCCTGAGCGAGGAGCTGGTGGAGCTTGCGCGGGTACGGGTACGGGACGACGCTGCAATAGATACTGGTGCTGGCGGGCGGACCGAGGGTGTATGATTGTAGGATGGCATGAATGTCGACGCCATGGTCATCGCGGAAGCCTGGCGGATGGGGGAGGGCGGAGAGAAGCGAGCTTGCAGAATGCCTTTTAGTCGTCACATGCAGTTCACGCACATGTTTTTGGAAGTCGCGGGCGCCGCGGACGTTGCGGAACAGAACGTAATACTGGTCCAGACGTTCCAACGTCTCCTCGTCCCGGACAGGGATGACTGTGGGGGCAGTGTGAGCGACTGGGATATGAGTGGAACAAGCGGGTGCTTTTCTTACCTTTGATGAAATCCGGGTCCGACCAGCCTTCGATGTACTTGCTGGACTGGGGCACCAAACGTCTGATATCTGCTTCCGCCAAGTTCTTGCTAAGGCCTGAAAGCTGAACGACGACGAGATCCTTCACGTACAAGGCTTGCATGCGTTTGTTGGTCCATTCGTCACGCTCAACAAGCTCTGGTCGGCGTTCGAAGTTTTGTACTTGAAGGTCAAGACTCAACTTTGGCACCTGACGCTCCTGGGGAGCTGGTTGCTGAACATTTTGGCTATCATGCGCTAGCTCGGGAAAAAGTTCACTCAAAAGCGGAGCCTGTTGCTTTTGATTTTCAGTCACCGTTGGTTTGAGGATTTCGTCAACCAGGCTTCCCGTGTGGTCCCGACTCGGCTTTGCGAATTTGTCTGTGTTTCCAGCTGAATGCTCCTCCGGTACATTGCCGAGGACTTCTTCTACAAGGGAGCTTTGACCATCTTCCTGATCAGACCCCTCCTGTTGGTTGGGAACACCGCTCGTCGGACTCTTTCGTGGGCCATATAGTTCTGCTGGGATCGCTGTTCCGGTCATATGAGGCAGAGGCCGGTTGGGATTCCTTGATAAAAACCGACGTGGGTGAGCAACATCTTCCGGGTGTTTTCCAGTATCCACCAATCCATCTACTCCAGCTCTCACGGGAGAATCCGGGTTTTCCTTCCAAGTCTGGTCCTGTTCATAAATATCCCTATTGCGCGTTGTTTTTGGTGACACATTACTAATGATTGGAGACGCATCATCTCCCGAAGGCTTGTAGCCTTTTAGCTCATTCAACCGTCGAGACGCTTGAACAAGTAGGCTTTCTAGCTCGTCGAGCCGCTGCTCATGGAGAGACCTAGTAGCAGGTTCAACGTTCTGTCGGTATCTGCTTGGCTGAGGATGATCTTCGATCTGCGCTGATAGGCTGGAATGCATTCTCCCAATTGCATCCCGAAGACGCTCTCTCACACTGATGGGATCCGGTTTCCTTGCCTTCAAGTCCTGCAGCGGTCTGTACGTAACCGTTGCCTCTGCCTCCTCAGGGTCCTTCTCCTCAGGATCCTTCTCCTCAGGATCCTTCTCCTCAGGATCCTTCTCCTCAAGATCCTTCTCCTCAAGGTTCTGCTTCTCGTCCGGCTGTTCCTCCCCGAGACCCTCATGCACCTCCACCTCCACCTCTTCCGCAGCAGTCGGTTTTTCCTGCCCAATCTGAGCCACCTCCTGCTTCAAGCGCTGCCACGTCGCATCGTCCATGATGGTATCTCTCGTGATGGCACCGACTCGCAGTCCGCCCGCCCGCCCCCCAACAAGCCGCACGGGCGAGACCATCTGCGCGAGCCTTTCCAACCGACCAGACTCCCGCGATTGCCCGCCCAGACCCTTCACGCTCCTCCATTTGAGATCCAGCGGGCGGTCGCCCATCGACTTCCACTCAAGATCGACGTCCACTTTCTTCAACCTCTTCATCACGGTGGCAGGCTTTTCGACTGGCCGGGAGCTCTTCTTCTTCTTCTGCTTCTGCGCCTCCCTCCCCGGCTTCCTCCGTTTGACACCTGGCGTCGACTCCGCAGGCGTGCGAGCGCGGGAGGAGGAGGAGGCGGCCGCCCCCGCAGCAGCACCAACGCCATTGCCCTCCTGATTCAGCGGCTTCGGAAGTTTTGCACGCTTGAGACGGGGCTTCGCGAGCTTGGTTCTTGTAGCAGTGGGCTGAGCATGGCTCGTGGAGGCATTGGATTGTTCGGTCGCGGCAGGGCGGCGGGCTCCGTCGGGGGTGGGGAAATCGCTATAGGATCGGCGGAGGGGGGCGGCGGCGGCAGGACATGGTCTGCGTGGGTTGCAGGGCGGGCGGGCGGCGGCGGCGGCGGCGCTCCATGCAGGCCGGCGGAGGAAGGACTGCGGCGGGAGCGGGCGCAGCAGCGGGAGCGGCGGCATTCAATTGGAGTGTGGGGAGGCGGCTTCGCTGCGGGCGGACGACCGAAGCATCGCACCTGGGGTTGTGGGC